CAAGTCATAGCTTAATCTACTTACAGGAATACTATTACTGACTCCATGAAGTGAAAAAAATGTGTGGCTTTCTAGAGATCTTATCAAGAGGGAAAAATGAAAACAATGCAATCACTGTCACTCAAGGAAAACGTGGTTCACACCATGTTATCAACTTACCTGTATTTAGTCTCTACAGACACACACAAAAAGTTCCTTCAGCTCTATTTAAAGACGAGACTGTGCCAAGGATAGCAATCTAGCATGCTTTTGATGTCGTTCTCAGAGCAACACATTCATAAAAAAAGAACATAAGAAGTGGGGTGGGGGGTGAGGGGTGTTATGTCTACGCCTAGGTTCCAGGTATGAGGAGCAGTTCAAAAGCAGCACTGTTATCAGTTTTGGGATTCAACAAGTTATTATAGATGTGATCCTGAAACAGTCTCCTAAGGAGAGGCTAGTATATGATCCTCTAATGTATAGTTTATCTGTAGACACCTACGTAGAACTGTAAGACATGCTTTCCTACTGATCTTTTAAACATGCACTTAACCATTTTATAGTGCTTGTTGTCACATTCCTCATAAACTCTCTAAAGGCACAAGCTAGCTGGGTGCCAGCAAACAATGTGGACTAGGCAGGTACTAGTGAAGTGGTGTCGCCCACCTGTCGTGGCTACTCAAATCGATACTTTGAAATCAGTGGTCATACTGAATTGCTAAGTAACTACTCTTTGATTGAGAACAGGCCTATACCAGACATCTAGACTTATCTGTCTTGATTGGTAACTACAGTGCCCAAAAGTAGTTCTGTTAGTAAACTTAGTCATTACTGCTGGGTGTAATACTTTCCCTGAATGATGCACATTAAATGATAACTATAGCTTGGAAAGCAATACATAAACTACACATAATTTTCACAGTGTCTCAAGACACTATATGAATGCTAGCCACCAACACTGATCTATGTGGTGTTGGGAGGTCTATTTTGCTGATGTGAAGAACTACCTAAGAGAGCAACACTGAAGGGAATTTTAAGATTTCAGTATGAGGGATTTGAGAGCGGTGCTATAGATGTGGAGGGGAATACGAAATATGAACTGTCACTGTTGATAACAGGAGGCCAATTTCCTGCCCATGAATGGACGTCTGGAAGTGAGCAGTGTCGGCTCCACAGTTCTTATAGAATATAGTCTGTACAACTGATAGGTATCTCAGGCCTAAGCACAGGAGCACCTCTGTGAAACCTGCTATGGAGCCACTTCATGATAACCATCAGAGATCAACATTATAGTAGCAGAGAGAGAGAGAGAGAGAGAGAGAGAGAGAGAGAGAGAGAGAGAGAGAGAGAGAGAGAGAGACAGAGAGAGAGAGAGAGAGAGAGAGAGAGAGAGAGAGAGAGAGAGAGAGATTATCTTTTATCTTTACTCTTGTTTCCTTTAGATTTCTAACATTCCTGCCTAGAGCAACCTTTTCCCCATGTATCTCCATTTCACCACACTTCACTGAGTTGGTGGTGTTTAAGAGAAAAGTCCCTGATCACCTACTGGCAACCAAAGAAAAGTCAATGACAGTTAAAATGACAGTTAAACGCATGCACACATCCCAAATCAATGATTGAAAAATATGCACACTACCCAAGAAAAGTTTGGAATTACTGTTTTAAATCATATATAATCAAAGATTATAATATTGCTAATGCTAATATTCTATAGGGTTAAAATAATTTGTAGCAAGTTATAAAAAAAAGTAAAAAAAAAAAAAAATCAATTTGAGACAAGAAATTACTATCAATAGATAATTAGTTTAAGAACATTTATTTATTAATTGTTTAGTTATCTTTATTACTTTTTTGTCAAATTCATGTCAAATTCTAATTGTTCCCAAATATATGAAATATGTGAATAATTTAAAATTTTTAATTTGAATAAATTTTTTATGGTACACTGCATAAATTAAACTACATCACCCTCATGCAGAAATTAGCTATTCCAAATTTTTTCCACATATATCGAAGATCCGAGATTTTTTTCGAGGACAGTGTGCACTCAGGTGTACACTAGCAAAAGTTCACTGCAGCCACCTGTTTAATCCCCAACTATGCGAGACGGACTCTCTTTTTAACACTAGACCCTACAAGTCATTTTATACTGCTTCTTGCCACAATCCTCAAAAAAATATTCATAAGTAGCTCTCAGAAAACGTTCTCAGTGAGCTCTATTCAGGTTCCTACGATGTATGTTGGTAGCTCAACTATCAACTGTAAGCCACTTTGGGAAAATGGAAAAATCAGCTTAATATTAATAAGAACATCCTTTTATTTAAATCAAGGGTCGCCCTGAAATGTTAAGAGTACTTTGAGTCAGAGTAGGCCTGTTTCTCTTAATGTTGCAAACAGAAAAATCTGCCAAAGGAACCAAATCTGTTCTCACAGTGTGACATGCCAGAAGTTGCCTGTACAGGAGACACATAATTAGAAAGGAAAGCCTCTGGATCCACTTCAGACAGTCAGACTAACCTCCAGCCTCAAAATTAATGGAAACAAATTCTTACTCACTTAGACTAACCAGCAGCTTTTAACTGTCAGCTCTGTTTTGAAGGGGGAAAGTATGAAAGTCTAAGTTCACACTCAGGGTGAAACCAGCTGTTGTAAGACTCAGAGGAGAGAAGTACAGGGCAGAGAGGATGACCCACAGGGCTTTATCTGGATATGCCTTTATTAAGCAATGCAAAAGATACCTAGTCGACCCGAAAGATCAACACAGAAAACATTACGTTTCACTCACAATTCAGTATGCTTGTGAGTCAGCACAGCCTAGCAAACTCAGAGAGAGAGAGGAGAGCTGAGGTAGCAGTCTAACAGTAGGGAAAAGCTTTAGGTGCTACTACCAACGCCGAAATTAGTTAAAAAACCCACTGATTTGTACGAATTAAACCAGACTGTAGTTTTCTGATTAGAGAAAGAGCTTTCGGTCGTCCTAACAGTCCATTCACTACAGTCAAGTGTCCTGTAGCCTGGCTGAAAGTCATACCAATGTTACTGCCCTGCTGCTCCAAACTGTGACAGGTTCCAGTTTCTGTTCATCGGCGCTGATTCACCAAACAAGGCGGCAAACTCACAAGAAACGTCTCTGCTTAAACCTTAAGAACTAAGCCAAGTGGACACAGCCAGACATTTCTTACCTTTTCTCAGCACTTGTTCTGGAGACGAATCTCCTCCGCGGTGTAGGTAACAGGTTGTGTGGAGCAGCAGAGGGCAGCAGCACTTCCACCAGCTAAGGCTAACACTGAAACCCACTGCAGCTCATCCCTCCTCCCCGCCACCCCTCCCTCACCTTATCCCACTGAAAGTCAGCCTCTCCACCAACTCTTACACACACCGATCAGCTCCACTTATAGGAGCACTTCGTAGTTCTGCAATTACAGACCGTAGTCCATCTGTTTCTCTGCACACATTGTTAGACCTCTTTTATCCTGTTCTTCAGTGGTCAGAACCCACATGGACCCTCACAGAGCAGGTACTATTTGGGTGGTGGATCATTTTCAGCACTGCAGTAACACTGATGTGGTGGTGGTGGTGATGAGGATGACCAACACAAACCATGCAGCAGCAGATGAGCTACTGTCTCTGACTTTACATCTACAAGGTGGACTGACAAGGTAGGAATGTCTAATGGCATGGACCGAGAGTGGACAGTGTTTAACAACTCCAGCAGCACTGCTGTCTGATCCACTTGTACCAGCGCAACAAACACTAACACACCACCACCACCACGTGAGTGTTACTGCAGTGCTGAGAATGATCCACCACCCAAACAGTACCTGCTCTTTGAGGGTCCAGGTGGTCCTGACCACTGAAGAACAGGGTAAAAGGGGGCTAACAAAGTATGCAGAGAAACAGATGGACTACAGTCTGTAATTGTAGAACTACAAAGTGCACCTATATAGTAAGTGGAGCTGCTAAAATGGACAATGAGCGTAGAAACAAGGAGGTGGTCATAATGTTACGCCTGATCAGTGTACAACAGTTAGTAGTCTAGGACTCATGTATCTTATGCTGCACTGACTAGCTCTTTGGATACTCAACCTAAACGTTTTGTTTGTGTTGTGCTTTTTACAAACATGTTACAAAGCAGCTTTACAGAAATCCAGAAAGGCCCATAATGAGCAAGCTGTGGGCAACACGAGCAGAAAAACTCAAGAGCCTGAGGAAGAAACACAAAAATTAGATTTGATCGTCCTCTGGGCTCCGTTTACAGTAATCAATGGAGCTTTAAAGGAGCCATGTTGCTAAACCTCTGGATTTTATTTCCCATCTGAAGTCTTACAACATTTGGGTGGGTTTATGTACCAAAAACAGTAAATCATTTCTATATTATTATTTTCAGTCTCTTTATCCCTGTTCTTGTTACTGCACCTGTAAGACATGTAAATTACTTCTGTTCTGACTGGCTTTCAACATGAAATGTGGCTAAACTGCTGGCAGGCTGAATAGACAGATGTGTGTAAACGCTTTGGTTTTTGATGATACACAAAACAATTCAAAATGGTTGTGCTGCAGCTCAGTTTCCTACAACTACTACAAACTCATTTCACAAAAGCAAGAAATAATTTCTCTTCCATGATAGGTGCCCTTTTAAAAAAAAGGCTGAACAAATCTGGATGCCACAAAGCTTTTATGAAGGACATACAAAAACAGAGCGAGATATACAAAGAACTTTATTAAATTTGCTACTAATGTCAAAAGGCCAGACTTCTGTCATAAAACAAGAAAAAATAAGCCTTAAAAATATATACTGATTTTCAGTAAAACAAAAATTCTCTGACAGAGTTTGGCACTGATCAAGGACATTCGGCCTGTACTTTACATTTGTAAACAATACAAACAGGGCTAAGACACGGTACAAGAAACTATGAAGCTTGAAAAGAACTTTTTTTTTTTTTAAACCAAAACTAAGTTAACATTAACTTAGAATTTAAATATAACAGTATCTAGTCACACCTGAAAACAGTCTCAACACATTACTTTTGGTTTCCTTCTGCACGCTTTATGAGCAGTAGGATCAGCTCCTCAATTCTGTCAATCTGGTGGTTGGGGGGAGAATGTGTGGTTAAATATCTTCTTTGGAAAAACCAACAACAACACCAACAACAACACCAACAACAACAACACCAACACCAACACCAACACCATCAACAAAAGGCGTGTCTCAAAGTGAAGGCTGCAGACGAGATAGGAGAGACCTTGCTAGCACTAGTATACAATGGCTCATGCAGTCATGCACATTCAGGCAGCCTGAGCGGCTGTAGGATTTCTCAGAAATGAAGGGTGTTTTTCTCAGCCACTTTCTAAGGATGCTACAAAACAGGAGAGCCTTCAGTGACGTAGCGGCCAAGAAACGCAGTCTTCCTCAGTGGCATCCTTAGCTTTGAGACACGACTTGCATCTCAAACATACGACAACAAAAAAATTCTCACCTTTGGTTTAAGGGCATCACAGCAGCATGAAGAAATTAGAGCTGGAAAAATAAAGGACCAAAGTTGCAAATGAAGCAGGCTTTTCAGCCTACAATCACTGAAAATTGACAATCAATACCACAACCAAATGGCTAGCAGAAATGGCCTAAGAAATCTACATAAACTGATAACGTATTTGTTATTGATGTGTGTCAAAAGCAGTTAACGTTCTTGATTAGGTCAACATGTTCTTGAGCAATACGGTCCAATGTATATTCTAAGCTTCCACCGATACCCACCATTACTGACGCCCTTTGAACCTGCAATGGCCTGTAGCTCCTTATTTTCAACACTGGTCATCACAGTCTTCATTTTTTCTAAAATCAGACATGATAAATGTTGGATAACTGCTCCTCTATGTATGATAACAAGGCTCCCTGCTAAATAACAGCTTTGGGTCGCAGCCGAAAATTCCAGGTGGGACAGCACCTGTGCAGCAAAGCTGTGCAACCTGCAAAGAACTCACATAGAATGTTTTTCCAGTTTCTCTTCTTTTCCCTCCTCAGTTTTACCACAGCTCTTAAACAAGCTTCAGTGATAAACTTTTACTTAAAGCAATTTGTTTTTCCATTTCATACTAGCACAAATAAGAGAAAAAATCTTGTGGTAATGAGCAATTTAACTACACTAAAACAATTACCAGCAAAATCAACAGATTAGAAGGAAAAAAGGTAGTCTTCCATTCATAGCTCAAACATTTTGAATCAATGTCTGCCCTGTTTTACTTTTTAATGTAACAATGACTAAGTATTGTGCACAAAAACTCTAGATTCATGGATACATACTTATCTCCTGACTTCCAGGTTTAGGCTTCTCAGTGTCTGAAGAAGTGTGTTCTGAGGTCTTAGATGTGCTGCCAGCCTGTGCATGGCCCTGACCCTGGGCGAACTCTTCTGCACTAGCCGTGCCTGGAACCTTCTGCAGAGCTCCCAGGATGACGGAGTTGATGTTCCCTCCCAGGCCTGAGTGCTGGGTAAGCATGAGCAGGTTGTAGGTGCCATCAAAACCCTGTACAGAGGCCAGTACCTTGCCACTCAGCTGGACCCCAAAGAGTTCTAGTACCTCAGGAGGCCACACAGTAGGGAAATTCTCTTTACCTAGAAGAAAAATAAAATACTAGTCACTCTGGCAGTGACAAATCTAAACCTCAATCATGTGCTGTAACTTTTATAGTACAGCATCATACAGATCCATTGAGATTCCTATAAGTGAAATGTATGCACCACTGGCACACCACTACTGCTCTTACCTGAAAGAGCACATCTGGCGATCTGAAATGGGTGCTGCAGAAGCTCTTTAGGGATGGGCAGGATGCTAGAGACAGGAATCCTCTCGCAATTCCCATAATCTGCATAAATTACATTGGCATGTGTGCTTGTTGTGTCCAGTACCACAGCCCTGCACCAATTCTTGTCACCTGAAATAGGAACATTTAAAATACATTCACTTAAGTGTTTTAACTATGAAGTGGTGATGGCCCTTCCTATAATCAAAAGCTAATAAACTCAAACATCTGTTGAAAGACCCTTAAAGGCAGCTTTAACCACCATCAGGACAGACCATTCAAAATGAATGTAGAAGTTGTTTAAAAATCCTATATATTCTCTACCATGGAATGTTCACTACGATTCCTCTCTTCACACACTTTAAGAGCAAAGTCACACACTAGAAGCATGTAATTATTTTAGAACAGACATAGAATTACTGACTTAAATTGGAATTCCACCACTGCATGTACACAATGGCATTTTTCCTGAGAGTTAACTGATCTTTAAGAGTCACCTGGAATTTCAATGGCAAAACTATTCACTTAACACAAATTCCAGTCTGTTGTTTAAGTAACACACTTCACTCCACACTTGTAGGAAAGGAACACTGTCTCTGCTGAGTAATGTGTTTGCAGGGACTGTATTATTTAAAAATCAATGATTTGTCAGGATTTTGTGCCACACTATTGACAGGGTCCATTGTCTGACTATGGTTAATGCAATGGTTGATGTTTCAGTGTGAATGACCTGAGAACTGTGCACAACAAGCCGCTCCCGGTAAAGGAACCCTCTGGTTGGGTAAAGCCTGTTTGCTGCAGTACTTTGCCACATCCATCATGACAGCCTGCAACACCTCTATGTTGACTACAGGAAGTGAAAAAAATGGGAAAAAAAAATTAACAAAAACTATTTTATGATGGGAAATATAAACAAAAAACAATAAAGACAGTAGTCTTGCCTGAGAAAATAAAACAAAACCAGGCCCATATTGTCCAGCCAAGAAAAGAAAGCATTACTGACATAAATGCTGTTTGGATTGGCGTAAAGAAAAAGAAAACAGCTGATGGGTTAAGCTTAAACTAATTTGTGAAGACGTTTGCACACGCACAGTGTACATACAACTAATTTCTCATAAAAGGCTGGCACTCGCCTCTGTGGCGGTATGGCCATACATGTCGAGCCGATTTCTTGGGCTTAAATTAAGCCTAGACTTGGACTAAACTGCAGTGCCAATGGTGAATCACCATTGGAAATTCCTTATTCTTCAGTCAAAAGAATATCCTTAACCTTGGTAACCGAAACCAGTTAATTGTCACGTTTAACTAGGCTGGAGAGGAACACATTGCCTAATGGAAAGAATACTTGGGTAATTTTACATACATACATACAATTGCATAATAAATGGTGAGCACTGAGAATTTTTTTAATTTGATTATTACTTTGCCAACCCTCTATCTAAATAACAGACCAATAGTACACTTACTTTTCTAAACAAATTTAGTAGCAAAAAGGAGAACGTTTATAAACTGCATTAAAAAAAAGAGGGATATCTTTTCACCACCATACGTAAAATCACTACGTGTTGGTTTGTCCAGGTAACATTGAGAACAGAGAAATAACTTTTCTAACTATACCTACCATAGTTAACCAGACTACTAGTTATTCTGTATTAAGTAATAATGCACAATAATAATAATGTACTGCACTAAGTAACCAGCTTATTAGGTACATGTTGTACCTACAGTCACAGTCCATTTTCCAGTACATCTACTAATCGCTGACAAAAACACCCAGCAAGTTGCTAGTATCATGCAATAAACTTTTATACAGGTTTAACTTTTTTGACCAACAACATTTAACATTTTAGCAGATATCCTTGCAGAAATCCTGCACATACTATTCTCATAACATCAGTATCAAGACCAAGACTTCTCACCCTCTCTAGGATTCATCACATAGAAGAGACTTGGGCTGATCACTGCTGCCACCTGTGGCTTAAAAGTCTCTCTGCAAGGCAACTCCACAGTCTTCCAGTCCAAAGGGAAGGAGGCGGCTAAACAGGAGAAAACACCGTTACAGCCAAAGTGGTTAAAAATTATCCAAACAATACCTGTTTCTATAGCTCATACAGAGAAACTTATGTACAGATGTACAACAGTCCTAGAGGACCAAGGCAAGTTTAGACCAATGCACTCATCTTCTAATTATCAAGTTCTTTGAAAGATGCATCAGGTGCATTGGACCAAATGCTGAGCAGTGGTTCTTCAGGACTGAATTTTTTGAATTGAGCTTATGTTTTACTTGAAAAGTTTGACTGCGACGTGGCACCTTTTACAGTGATGTTAGCAGGCTGCTCAGCGAGTGATGTTTTCTCAGCGGGGATGTGCATCTGTGCACGAGATGCCTCTTTCAGATCACTAGATTTGTTCTGCTGTGCAGCAGGCTTGTTCCCCTGCCCTGAAGGTTTGGCAAGCTGTTCTGAGATAAGCACAGCAGCAATGTTTTGGCCATTGCATAGCAACTCCACGCCATAGCCTCTCTCAGTGATGGACAGCACCCTGCCACTGAGCTGCTTCCCCACACACAATGCCTGGAACCTCTGCACTGCAGCCTCTTTCCACTGGCCTCCCATAGGCTCAACTCCTACAGACAGACAGATCGATGAAGCAGAAAATAGATCATTTTCACTCATGCAATATTTTAATATTTAAAGAATCTTGTTGACAGATACCTAACCTACACAGTAAAATGTGCAGGATATGTGGTTTTGTCTGCAGCTTGAACATACATAACACTCAAAAACACATACACACACTCAAAAGACATACCTGCAAGACAGCAGCGTATGGCCTGGAAAGGATGTTTGAGTAGGCTGGCATCAATGGGTCTGAGATGGGCAACCTGTACCTCACAGGAGTTCCCATAATCCACAAAGTACACTCTAACCTTTCCATCACCCCCCACGCTCTGCACCATGGCCCTATACCAGCTGCCATCTCCTACACACATAAAAGATAACCACAATGAATATTAACCAGTCAAAGTTAAGAGTCCAAATAAATTCCAAATAAAGCCAATTAAACACAAACAGATGAAGAGGAAAAAAAGTTACAGTAGTGACTGACCACTGAAGAGCGCGCAGCAGGGCTCTCCTACTGCCGGGCTGAAAGGACCCTTCTCGGTATCACAGTGCTTCTTAAGCTCAGAGGACAACTCTGCCAAAGTCTGCATGTCTGTCAATCACATTAAAAAAAGGAATATCAATGGCAACTGACTTCTCAATAGATGCAGTGCAGGCCCTATATGCTTTGGTTTCAAAAGAACGAACAGAATGACAGATGAGCAGCCATACCTTCTGCATTATAATTATAGCAGTAGAATTCCCCAGGATTTTCTAGTACACTGATCACTAGCACCACCTCCTGGCCATCAATGGGAAGTTCAGCACAAGACCACTCCAACTTGTCTACAGCTAAGGAATTAAAATACATGAATGCTTAAAGCTGGAATTTATACCATCATAAATTAAAAGGACTATAAAGGTATATGGTTCAGACTTACCAGGGCTTTCAGAGACAACATCTTTAGCTGCTTCTTTTGCTGTCTCCATACTTCCTAGAGCAGCACAGCCTGTAGCAACGAGCATCTCGGCTACGTTTGTCTGAGGATCACTAGACTCATCGATCATAGAGACTAGAGCAATTCCATCTCGCTGTCCAAGAATTTCCACTTGGATGAAACGGTTACAAACCAGCCGTTTCAGCATCAGTATTACATCCTCTGACCACACGTCTGAGGCAGGCTTAATACCTGTATAAATAGGTAAGTAAGTAAGTAGGTAAATAAGTAGGTAAGTAAAACAATTCTCGGTTTGGTTGACCTCGATTTTTTATTTTTTGGTGCAGTCTATACCTTGTTGGTTGGTTTTTTTTTGGCAATGGTCAGTGATTAAGAAAAAACAGATTTCTGGGTTTTATTAAAATCAACAATTTGGAACATTAAAGAGGACAACACTAAAGAACATGGTAAACAGCTTGCCCTAACATTAAGTAGTAATAGTAGTTTTGTGATATACATGTGTTAGGGTTAGTTGTGAATTGAAATCTGTATGTATATGAATGCATCAACAGCATTGGTTTTCAGACCATGTACAAGTACATATTTTTAGTACTCACTGATAACAAGTCTGATATCATACTGAGTAACCTACTTGAAGTCCATCAGCTAGCTACGTTATATTATTTAACACTACCTCATCTTGAGCAGTGCAGCAGGAATCACATCCGAGGCTAGTGCCTCGAAGGAGCTAGCGTAAGGTTTGTATACTTGGAGTCTTTTGTTTGACTGATGAGTTGAACGGACAATGCCTACTATTTATATACTCGCACTGTGTGAAAACATTCAGTCCATGCTGTGTGAAACACAGCCACTACAGACAGCTCTGTCTATGAACAACTGCAAATAAAGCTGTTTTATTCAAAATAACCTGCTGCACACGGAGTACGGAGCGCACATGCTGAGAAACTGAGCAGCGCTGCTAACACTGAGCACTGAAGCTAAAACCAGGCAATGATGTCTACGGCAGTACAATACTGTCTCTTTCACAGTATTTTACAAAAACAAACAATAAAGTCGGCATATACAGACTTTAATAGCAAACATCAACTTTGTGTCTGGGAAAGTGGTTGTGATTGTACGTTTAAAATAGGCTAAAATCACATCACTTCATACATTCATAAACCATTAATTTACAGAACTACTTTATTACTTTCAAATTGTGTAGTGTGACAAGTCTAAAAGTGGCTGTACAAAACTGCTTTACCTGCTAGGGCACAGGGGATTGCTTGAGTAGCCAAAGTCAACAGTTCCATACTGATGGGTCGCAGGTGATTCAACGGCACCTCTTCTGAGTTCCCAAAGTCTACATAGCCCACACAAACTCGATCCTCAGAAGAATACGCCAGAACTTTGGCCCTATACCACTGATTGTCCTCTGTGATGCAAACAGGGAAAGAGGCACATACACATAACTGAATACTAATTACCACATTAACACTCAAGATGGTAAGAATGTCACCAATGTCCTTAAAGGAACCCCATTTTAATTTTTTTGCGATTTATTTCCTGAGATCATTTTGTAAACTTTTTGTGTTTATATCAAAAACAGTGCCACTTCATTTTTAGTTCCAAAACGCACTTCATCATATTCTTCAGAACTTTCATATTTCATAAGCCACATTCAAAGGGTGGGTTTCATATGAGAGCTGTAACTGTCTTCTTTCCAGTCAAATAGATGGGTTATGTAATTTTAAATCCCTATAATAGATGAAACTGAATTCACAATTTTTTTGTATTTCATGTAGTTACTGAATAATTCGCCTTACGATTTGGTCATGAAAATTCAGATGGACAAAACAAAATATACTCTGGAGAATAAGACAGTGTAAAAATATTTTATTCCAAGCAATTGTGAAGCATTTCTGTTGGTCAATTCATCATAAATTGTTCACACAATGGAAAGGGAAGCTGTGCTCAAATGATGTAGAGAATTAAAAATATAGATTTTTTTGGACAATGACAACATGTAAACATATATTCTGACTGGTGGCCCAGTTTTGTGCTTCATTAAAAAAAATAAATAAATAAATGAATGATGGTAAACTAACGTAGGCTAAATAAATGGACCTGTAAATGTGTTTGTTCTTGCGACATTACAAAAACAAATTTAAAACTTTTTTTTGCAGCTTATTTTCCATATATGGACTGCATGAACTGGGGAAACAATGGTGTGTTCTGAAATATTAATAATGTTTGCTTGTGAGGAATTACAGTTTTCCATGATATGGACTCTTTAAAAGAGAACACGACCACCCTTATACGATTATGGAGGCGCGTGAAGACAAAAAACAAAAACGCGCACACACACAAAAGATACAAAAATACGTCTGTAAACTGCTACTCATGATAATGTGGTAGTCAGACCAAGTCTCACCTGAAAAAAGAGAACAACAGACTGTTCCAGGAGCAGGCCTGAAGTTCTCACTAGCTGGAGTCTTAGTACAATGTTCTCTCAGGCTTATCTGTAACTGCTGGATAGCACCTGCATAAGCAAAGCAATGTCCAAAAACCTCAGTACCACTGCACAGCATATAACACCTTTACATGATGACCTTAATGGATTATCTTTGATAGATGCAAGTTCAGCCACCAATGTTATCATTACAGTAACACTGCAGTCTCTTGAAGATATATGAGCTGCCCTCGGTCATATTGCATCTTTGTATAGGAAGTAAAAGTATTTTTCATTGAACTAAGCAAAGAAGACAGGAAATAGATAACTCACTGGCATTTTCTAGCTTTTGGCAGATGATCTCTGAAGGAGACTGAAGGTGGGTGACTATGGCTGTGAAGGTGTCTCCCACTCCTTGGGTCAGGGGTTCTGGTGGCTGAGCCTCAATGTTCTCATTCTTCCCAACAGACAAACGCTTGAAGTTCTCAAAAGAGGCTGTCATTAAAGAGTCTTCATTTAAAAGAAACAATAGCACACAAAAAAGGATGTTAAACATAAGAATTAAATGTATGATCAAAAATAAATACATTTCTACAAATAACTCACAAATCTCTTGCTCCGTCTGTGGTTTAGTCGGGGTGCTCTCTTTTATGGCGTAACCCTGGTCAATTAGGAGAGTACTCAGGTTCTTACCTGTGGAACAAATAAAGTAAACACATCTGAATGGTGAATTTAATACCACATCACAAGAAGACTACTTCAAATGAACATGCTTTACCAAGCGTGGACAGAGGAGCATCTACAGCAAGCAGGGTGCCACTGTTCATAATGTCTATCACTGTGAAAGTTAGGTTCTTTGCTGCAACCAGCTGTCTCACTGCAATACAGCATTCTCCTGTCCAGCTGCCAGTCACTGCCGTTAGCCCAGCAACACAGCACTGTAAAGCCTGCCAAGTTCAGTTAACAATGGGTGAGCAATGGAAAACATTTATTTGATGACAACAATTAGACATTACATCACTGTCACATCTTCACCAATCAGCAAACAATATTTTAAAAATAGAGAAGAACATCATACACATGGTGGTGCAAGATCAATGTTCTCTGCCAGTGCACGAATCTGGTCAAATGTGACATCTTCCACATTTCCAAAGTCTATGTAGAGCACTTTTGCTGTGTGGCGATCCAAATCAACAGACTCAACTTCACCTCGATACCAATTCTGAAATGAGATACAGAAACGTTAACTTACAGACTTTTATTCACAAACTATTTATAGTAAATATTACAACAATCTACAACGTTCCACACAAGACCAGTTCTAGATGGCATGCAGACTGCTAAAAGAATTATACAGAAGTGTGTGTGTGTGTATGTGTGTGTGTGTGTTGGGGTTAGTACAGTTGCAGGAACAGATTTCACAGAAATCAAAAAAGAACATGAGTAACCTGATCTTGAGAGAATCTGACGGCGCAGAGTTCCCCAACTTCAGGTTTGTACTCGAGTTTATGTGAGTTGCCATAGGTCTTCTGCAGCTCCAATGAGATGGACCTCAGGGTCTCAGTCATCTCTACTGACTGGATGTGGATGAAGAACTTTCCAGGATTCCTCAGTTCCACCACCGTCCCCTTAAAAGACAAAGAATTACCATGCAGTAAAGAACATGTTTAGATGAGGAAGCTGCAGACCCAACTTAAACATACCTGCACTTCATCTCCTTTGGAGATGCTATTCTTGCGTAATTCACGCAGGAATATTCTCTTCGGCTGAACCACATCATTGCTGTTTACCTGGAGGAAGAAAATCTATATAAAGCACTTCATGCAAGATGATGCGCTGTTTAATTGCATAAATTTGTATGCAAGTAAATGTTTACAATAGCAAAATAAAGGTAAGATGATACCTTGGACTCCAAAACACTAGGTCCACTTCCGCAAGGCATGGACAGACACTCTTTTGGTTTATTACTGGTTGAAAGACTAAAACCACACAATTACAATGCAGCGCAAAAGCATACAAATGTCATTAAATTTTTCTAATTTCTTATCCTATCCTAACCAGTACCTTGCATTGTTCTCTGGAGTGCTTGGTTTACATAGGTGCCGATGAGCTTTCCAGTCCTCAGACTGACAGGCTACCGAGCAGTAGCAGGTCTTTTTGCAGCGTGTGCACCTGAGATTGCCTAAAATGTCAAACAAGCTTAGTGACACTGTCAGGAGGGTGCAGATATAGTTTGAAAAAGTCAAATTAATCTTTGCACTCCATTCAAAATGGAATTGCCAGGAAGCAAGACATCCAGCAAATTCAAATTAAAGCACCCACCTCGCTGACCGCAGTAATTACACAGTTTGACCATTACCGAGGTAGCCAAAGGTGCATCTCTCTATGAAGGGAAAACATTTCTGGTTGCAACACTTCATAATAAAACAGTTTTTTTCGTGTTTTAAAAAGGAAGTATATGAGACATTCTTTATATATAAAAACAAATAATTAAGATACATACAGCACTGTTTTCCTTTACTGCCACCAAACCATTCTCCTTTCTGTTGGCTTCAGTTTTGAGTACTAAATCAACATGGACAGAACTGTTACTGAACATTCAAGGTGGACTATATTTTGCCCGTAGCCTACACTTCATTCTTATCCACAGCATACCATCTAGACTGTCGTTCGTTGGAGGCCATTCTTGAGAACTGGCGCCTAAATCATTAAATACCGGGCTCTGATTTCTAGTCATCACCAAACCAGGACCAGTTGCAGGTCTCCTCAACGGCAGGTTCGGCCTAACCAGTGATGGCGAAAAGGCGCGGTTCATTTTGTCCGAGCTTCGCTGCTCTACAAGAGACAAATCAATCAATCGTTACTCTCAAGTGTAAGCAGCGTTTCATATCGACATAAATGCAACTTCAATTTGAAATACCGACAGAGTCTTTTTTTAATATCATTACTTGTATATTTCCTAATTTTTTAGATTAATAATCTAATAGTGATGAGGATAGTCTTTGGTCCACGTGTGCGGACGTTAGCTAAAACTGAGATAGGTTAACTATGCTAAACTACAACACGCACGATGTTGCTAAAATACTCATTTGAAATGCCAATAAGCGTTTCAGTCAGGAAACGAGACCAGTTTTCTACGTCAATATATTAAACCACAGCATGGTTACAAATGTGCCTTAACGCTTTTCTTCGTGTGGAAATGACATTTAGGTAGTTACTAATGTTGGGTTTATAACTAGCACATGTAGCTTAGTTCGCAAAGCTAGCCAGCGTTAGTCAACTGTCGTTGTGTCTGGCTAGCAGTAAAAGCGGCTAACGCGTTGGTTAACACAAACAGCACTAAACTGAGATCACGGCGAATAATATCATTTTCACTTTACGGTGTCTCTGTCGATAGCGGGTAGATACTGCTTTAAAATATCCAAAGGTAAGTTTTAATTTACCTGATATAATATCTGTTAAAATGACCTTAAACTTGAGCTGAGGTTGGTGACGAAGACACGTGGAGAGAAAACCGCATCGCAGCTCTTATAAAGAAAGTGTTCTTGCGCACGGAGGCGTTTTCAGACACTGTAGTGCCCCTGGAAAATCAAATGAACTGTGATGAGGTCCGTACAGAGATTTCTGTTTTTAAAAGTCTATATAGAGCCTAAGTAACTTACATTTCCACACCAGTTTTTACCTTCTCTTTTTTGTTGTGGCAGCATATTCCGGACCTTTTTCAAATTCAAATGCAAATTTAAAAAAGCTAATTCAGTCGCGTGTTCATTTCCCATGTGAGTGTGGAAGATATAATTCAAATTCACATGCAAAATGTGTATTTGCATTTCTGTGTATAATGGCTGGAATAAGTTCATTAATTATTAATATGGGAAAGCAAAGTGCTTTGACACTTAATTTTCCTTGCCTTAATGGTCTGACTCTGGCATATTAAAAATGAATAACAATCGCTCATTTGTAATTGCATTTCCTCATCATGGCTGTCAACGAGGCTCTCCTGTCAGTCAAATGCTGGGATGGATGGGAGGTGGGGAGGGACTTAAGTAGTGTGGGCGTGTTTTAAGGAGAAGTGCCGAAAAAGTAAACTTTGGCGGAACCGGAGGTTTAGCAGCCCTGTTTGACTTTGCATTTGAATTTGAAATAAAGTCCGGAATGTGCTGCTCCTCCTCGCAATCCATATATTTAAAATAATCGATCAAACTCTATAATGACTCTGAATGGTTTCGAAGTTCTTCCCTTGTCTTCTTCTGGCGGATTTCTGGCAGACTGTGAAACCAATTAAGAGTGTTTTAAAATTACGTAGTTTATTATGGTTGATCAATAAAAGTTTAATGGGGAAATTTTTTGCAGAATTTGCTCTTTCATTACTGCCCACCTGACTCTATTAGACGAATGAAACCATGATCGGTGAATTTCACTTCACTTTCCTCATTATTAAATTCAAAACCTAATATCATGCGGATTTGGTGATAAATTAAGATGGTTCATCCAGGGAATTAATTAGCGCAACTTAACAATGTCCAGAGTTTATACAGCGCTCTTCTACAGTGTGAATTGTGAACTGTATGTGTTTCTGAACTCTTGCTTCCCACCAAACAATGGCTGCCCTCTCCGCGTAATTTTAGGAGGAGTAATATTGCACAGGTGTGTATAACACCTGTAAGAGTTGGAGACAGTCAGGATAGTGCAGTCATTTTGTTAACATTTTCATGTTGTTTACAGTGAGAGATAGATACAGTCATGCATTAATGAATATACGCTAGCCACACATCAGAAATATGCAATTCAGAAACCTTTAAAAGCACTGCCCTGTGTTCGTCCAATTACCTCCGCTGCTGTAATACTGAAGTCTTTTTTCTGTTTTCGTCTGTCATTGTAAATTCACTACAATACCCAGCATGCCTTATGCAAATATGTACTACAAACTACACACTGTAATACAAATATCCTTACTGCCATGATTTTGTACACGCTAAAATATAGATATGTTGTTTAGCTTCCCCACAGTAATATAAACTACTATCTAGATTCTTTGTACGTTAGCCAGTTGGTTGGAGAAAAAAAACAAAAAACAAAAAAACATTTCAAGCAGTCTGCCCTCAAATTCTTCCCACTTCTAAGATTTTAAATATTGCAAGTCTTTAAACCAGAAAAGAGACTTCAGTGTACCGCTGTAGAAAGTAAGTAGGCATATATATATATATATATATATATATGTACATGCATATATGTACACACACACACATATATATATATATACAATATATATATATGTGTGTATATATATATATGTATATATATGTAGATACATTTTTATACACATATATATATATATATATATATATATATATATATATATATATACGTATGTATGTATGTATGTACATATGTGTGTATGTATGTACATATGTGTGTGTGTATATCTACTCTATCCCACCCTGTGACTTATAGTTTAAGACAAGTTTCAGTTTCAGATCTGATCATAAGATTCAAGTGGCCTATTAGAGTGCAGGATTCCGCTAGCCAATCAAAGTGCAGTTTTTAAACAGTAAATCATATTGCAGGATGGCCAATCAGAGTACAGGTGGGGAAAAATTTACTAGCCAATCAGATTGCAAGATTGGTGCTTTTCAGGGCACAAGATTAGGCATATTTCCGTTATAGTCTTAAATGATTACTGCTATAGTATAATAAAGCTGTCACAGGAAGAGGATAATTAAACTGTTAATATCAATAGTCTGTCAGCATTAGTGATGCTTCATTGTCTAAAACAACCTTTTTAAATTAACTTTGGGCAGCATTCTAAACTTAATGTCTGTGGCCTGGCCAAAAAGGGGCTCAATCAATTGTTTGGTTTTCTTGCTCTCTGGCTTTACCTCTGCCTTCCTATTGCAGCGTTGGCTGAAGCTGTTGGCTTGGCTGAAAATGTACACTACGCACTATAAGGGTTTGTATATGACAGAGAGTAATCCTTTTAAAAACAAGTTTTAGCATGTTGTAGTTAAGAAATCCTATTTGGTTGTTTGATTGCCGTATGATATCATACCGGTATGATCACTTGCGTATGTGTTTTTGCTTTCACCTAAAACAGAAGTTCCCAATTGTAGTGCTGGGGAAAATCTACACCATCACATTTTTTTGTGCTTTCCCTAATCTAACACAGCAGATTCAACTCTGTAAATATATTTAAAAACTACTCATGTGCTGGGTTGCTTAAGTTCAGCCCTTCCTGCTTGTGAAGTACTATCTGAAGTTTTGTTTGACTGGAAAAACCAGCTGTTTCACAATGCGGCAGTGAGTAGATGAGGTGTTTGCTTTGTGGCAGGTGAATGACTGTATTTTCATACTGTCATTTTCTTCAGATGCGGTAAGAAACAGAAACTGTCTAATTTATTTTCTTGCTTGCACTCTAGTTGCCCTTTAGTCTTTTATTTGAGAATGAAAGAGTAGACTACTCTTGTCCTTTGCTACAAGTTTTATAGTAAATATTCTGCAGCACATACTGTATGCTAGCTGTTGATCATTTCTAATCCTTTCTAAGCAGTTTTACAAAACTCAGTATATAGGAGTCTTAGACCAGTTAATGTCTTGTTGTACAATAATAAAACATTTGCTGATAGGTGCCGCTTAAATGTGATTTTGCAGTAATAAATTGTATACATGTATGTAGTTACAGTTGTCAGTTTTACTCACATATGTGCACATATTTTGAATTTTTATGTCAATGTATACACCATTTGCTTAACAGTGCTGACTAAGTTTTGTGTTTATATTTAAAGAATACTTTTCTGATGTAAAGTCGGTTGCTTGCACAGGTTCATTGCAGGGGGGTTATTTGAACAATGAGACGACTGAACCGTAAGAGGGCTCTCAGTCTAGTGAAAGAGCTGGATGCCTTCCCTAAAGTGCCAGAGAGCTATGTTGAAACATCGGCTTTTGGGGGAGCAGGTGAATATAAATTATCTCTATGGACATATACTATATGGATTATTTTTTTTTATCTCAAAAGCATTCATCTGCAGAACAAGTAGTTCCTATTACTATCTCCAAAACAGAATCTGAAATGGTGTAAAGTCTGAGGAGCTAATAACTGTATACTGTCCATATTTTCTTCCAGTGTCATTGACTGTTTTTGCGTCCATGGCACTTCTGACCGTTTTGGAATTCTTCGTGTATCAAGACACATGGATGAAATATGAGTATGAAGTGGATAAAGACTTTTCCAGGTTTGCCGACTTAAGTTTCATTCGTACAAACAGTTTTTTTTAACAAAATTGAACTATTAAACTATTAAAAAACATATTTTTGCTTGTTACCTTTTCCTTGACAGCAAATTGAGAATAAACATTGACATCACAGTTGCGATGGAATGCCAGAGTAAGTGTTTTTGTCCCAAAATAGTAATCTATGCAAATCTTTGGGCACAAATATGCTAATGAGCAAGAGTCAGAGAACACCTTTCATTGTTTATTTAGTTTCCAATCAAAACAACAGTTATTCATTTTTGTATTCATTTAAATGCATCTTAACTTAACTTAAAGGCTGAACTTTGGAGGTGTGGAAAAATATCCCTGCAGATTTCTTTGAAAGCAAATCTGCTGAAAAGATTGGAAGCTGTAATAAAGGCAAAGGGTGGACACACTAAATACTTAAAAATGTTGATATAATATTTACTTGTTGAGGCCTGTATTTTTCTTTTATATATATATAAAATATATATATATATATATATATATATATATATATATATATAATATATATATATATATATATATATATAATGAATAACTCAATGGCCATTTTGACTAGAGATTAAATAAATTAAAGATCATCTCTGACTTTTGCTTAACTTGTAGGCAAATGGTGAGGATCTTTCATGAATGTTGAAAGCAGAATTTTAGTCTCACTTTTACTGATGGACCTTCTGTATTTCCATGTTCTGAACAGTGGTTGGGGCAGATGTGCTGGATCGGGCAAACACCATGGTTTCTTTAACGGAACTCAGATACGAACCTGTGAGTGGGATTGGTCATTAACGTAAATTATGTCTATTTTGTAGTTCTCAGTTTCGAGTAATTCTGGTTGACCACTCTTCTTAATTCATTTTCTTTTCATGTAGGTAAACTTTGAGCTGAACCCTTGGCAAAGGTTTTGGCAAAAGTAAGCCAGACTTAATATGCTGAGAAATAATTTGCTGAGACACTTTTGTAATGGAACAAAGACTTTTGATTTTAAAAAGTTGCCCTGTACGTTCTGCTGCATGATTAGTTCTTCTTTCTCTAATTTAAAATTGTAGGACATTGTTGCAATCCCAGAGCAAACTCAGAGAGGAGCAATCCCTTCAACATGTGCTTTTTAGGGATGCAGTAAAGGAGTTTCTCTTTCCCCCAGTTCTGCGGTATGTTTTTGTCATTTCTACTAGATTGGCATGTCAAACTCAGTCCCTGGTGGGCCACAGCTCTGCAGATATCGCCATTTTTGCCTGTCTAACACTCTGAATTCGGTTTATGTAATTTCTAGGTACTGTGCACTGTCAGTAGTTCTCAGCCTTGCTCCTAATAATACCATTGCCCTGCAAATTGTAGTTTCCTATGCTCCCAACAAACATGTACAGCTAATGCACTAATTAACGAGCCCTTCCTGTGTTAAAGAAAACATAACAACATAAAGGGCAGTGGTACTCCAGAACCAGAACTGAGAACCACTGCAACAGATAAACACATGATGATAAAGTAATATAAAAACTGCAATGATAAACTTTAAACTGTATTCAAATGTCTAGTTATGAGGGTAATGTTATTCACTGAATAACATTTTGTGCTAAACAGTAGGAGGACATACAGGAAGGTTTATGAATGCTACAGATATGTCCGCTTTAATGACAGTTACAACTCACATTGTAGGACATTCATCAACATCAATATTTGCTCATGCTGATCATAGCATGATGTTACAAGAACAACATTCTGAGAACATTAAGCAACAGCCATATTTAGTTCATCCATCCATTTAGAGCTGGGTATGGCAACAATATAATATTGCAATAGTTCAAGAAATTTTCACAATACACGAGATATCACAAGATTTATTTTTTCAGGCCTTTGATCAGTTGAACAGAGAAAAAAGGACTAGAAGTGCTACATTTTAAAATACTTTCAAAAACTGTGAATACAGTGATTTTTATTCAATATTTGGAATACTGTGTTGCACAAAACCCAGAGGACTTATTTTCCTCTTTATAATGAAACATGCAGTTGGTCAGTGTTCTACAGGTACTGAGGATATGCATGATATGTGCAAAAAGCATATTACATTGTATTATGATGTAATTTATCACAATAATGATATATATTATCATATTGCCCAGCCCTAAATCCAAGTTTAGCAAAAACTGTTTGAAACAACATAGTTTTTCATGTGCTAAAATGTTTATCATAATTGTATGGAGATGTTCTTGGAATGTTGTGAGAACATCAGAAAAGATATTCTTTATACTATCTGTGGGATCCTAGTCAAGTCAAGTCAAAGTTTATTTATGTAGCGCTTTTTACAACAGGCGCTTTATCACAAAGCAGCCTTGCAGAAAATTCTGGGTCCAAGCCCCCATGAACAAGCCAATGGCAACAGTGGCAAGGAAAAACTCTTTAAGAGCAAGAGGAAGAAACTTTGAGATGAACCAAGACTCAAAAGGGGAACCCATCCTCCTCTACTTGACACCGGATAGGAAAACAATAACATAAATGAAACATGAGCAGAGAATAAGGTTTGACCATTAGTAGAAATACGGAAAAGGGGGCAGAGCAGGAGAAGCAATGGCTGTGATTAAATAATTGGAGTCTGTGCAGCAGCAGTATCATTAGGAGGGTCAGTTCATGAAGGTTAGGTTTGCACAGCGTTGTATGGCAGGAAGCTCCATGGTGGTCAAACTGGTCCAGGAGGCTGACGAGCAGTGGGCACCAGTTCAAGGCAGAGAAAATAACATTCTGAAAACGTCCTAATGGGGTCATTTTGTCAGCTGGGCAAGCAGGGATTGGGGTACTTTTTAAACAAAAGTTTTTAAAGAGAATGTATTGGGTTTGGATTGCAAATCTATTGGGCTCTCAAGAATTAGGCACAAATGTAATAAATGAATCTTGACATGCTGTTTGTTGCCCTCCCAGAAGTGATTCTCTTTCTGGATCTCTCAATGCCTGCAGAATACTTGGACATTTCTACGTCAACAAAGTCGAGGGGAACCTCCACTTCACGCTGGGCAAGTATGTGTGCATATATACATGTGAGAACTGTAAACCCTGAACTTTTTTTCAGGATTTTTATTATGTGCTGCCAAAATGTTTGAAGGTGACCTGATGGTTAAAACAGAAAATCATCTGAAAGCTGGGAAATGTGTGTATTGCTAAAATATTATAGTGCAATTATTTACCTCAATATAATTTGCACATATCCAAGATCTGATTACATGTCATGATTTTCTTTTTCCAAATGCAGGGCCGTACATTATTCTGGAGGTCATGCACACTTTGGGTCTTTACTCACAAATAATGGTGAGATCCCTCTGCTAGACCAACTAGATTATATAGACTAATCTATTTGATTGTACAAGACTGAATGAGTTCATTTGTTCTTGAATATAATACAATTTCTGAAATTATGCCGTCCTTCTTTGGCTTTGCTATAATGAGACTGTGGGAAAAAAATCAAGGACAGTTCTCTGAGGATTGGACATAGAATACCTTATTCTGAAAATGTCCACTAGGTGGTGAAATGTCCATTTGTTAAGTCTACCTTTCTTTTTTCACTCTTAAAGTGCTATTTATTTATTTCCCATAGGATACAGCAGTTTAGCATGAAAACTGGTAAATAGTTAATATATTGTCATTCAGTTTTAGATAGCAAATTACCAAAAAGTCTCTTGTCTTACAGTTCAAAACTTCTCGCATCGAATAGACCATCTTTCCTTTGGAGAAGTTGTCCCAGGACGCATCAATCCTCTGGACGCTACAGAGAAAATTACATTAGAACGTATGTATCCTTAGTAGTGCTTTAAGCACAGTTAACTTATTTGGTAGGTACTGATAAGACCATGCTTTGTTTACGCTATTATGCTTTTATATTAGCTTTGTTTTTTGCTTTTATATCTTTTTGTGCAGGGGAGCAGCGGTTTCAGTATTTTGTCACTATTGTTCCTACCAAACTGCGGACGTCTGAGCTATCTATAGACACGCATCAGTATTCTGTCACAGAGCAGGTAAACTATCCACTCATATTTACACTTTGATTGTAATTGCACATTGGGCTGGTTCATGTGTGGCTGTATCTTTGAAATGTCACCTGTGATGCAGGAACAGGTAATAAACCATACATCAGGCAGCCATGGTGCATCAGGAATCTTTGTGAAGTATAAGCTGAACCCTCTGATGGTGAGAGTGACTGAGGAGCACATGCCTATAGGAAAGTTCCTTGTGCGGCTAAGTGGAATTATTGGGGGCATCTTTTCCACCTCAGGTAAGTGTACACACCAGACGTGGTAAAAACTAGTTTATTTATGCAAGTACGTGTACTTAAGCAAAATCTGAATGGGTGTTCTTTCCTGAGTGTTTCCAATATATAATACATTTAATTCTATTACGTCTTACTGAGTCAGTTTTAGTCAGTAGTTATGTAGTAGTTATTAATTACTTTTTTGCTTTTAATTTCATTCCGTTACATTGCTGACAGCAACTGTACTGCTTTATGATTGAATACACCCTGACTTTGTAGGTTCATTTTAGGCCAAAATTGCATCAAAAAGAGAAGAATAGAAACTTCAGTTCCTGTGCTGAGAAGTTATACTGCAGTTCTACAGGTTACTCAGTACTTAAGTAGTTTTTTACCCTGGTACTACTTCTACTCAAATTGTTTTTGGAAAGTTACTTTCATTTTCATTAAGTCATTATTTCACTGTATTTAAAACAGTTTTACTTGAGTGTAGGTCTAAATTATTCTACCCATCCTAACACATACGTATATATTTTTTCTGAATGTAAATGGCCTTGAGAACTTCACAACATCCCTTTAACATTGCTGTGTGTTTGCATGACTGACAAAGATTTTACATCTGTTCTCTCCTGTTATAGACTTGCTCCACAGGCTGGTTGGCCTTTTTGTGGACATTGTATGCTGTCGCTTTAATCTAGGTGCCTTAAGGCCAAGACAGGTGAGCTATAATGCCATGACTGACTATCACTCTCATAAAGAGCATATATGAACAATATACTGTATATATGACCACATCTCTGCCCAACCTCACTCTTCGAGGTCTGCCACCCTACAGAGTTTAGTTCCAGCCCTGATGTAACACACTTGATCCAATAATTAACTGTATCATTAGGTCCAGTAACATTTCGTTTGCTGTCATGGAAAAACGTTGTATCTCCATTTTTGTCTTTTTTTTGTTACTTTTTATCCATAATTTGAACATTTCAGGTACCCTGTAAAATGTGCTAAAAAGTCATGATGGACAGACCAATAGAAATAATCTAAAATTACTTGGGGAAAAAAAATCACATTACATTAACCTCCATTATAAGAATGTCTCTTCCTCCTAAAGTTACCATTTTGAAGGTACAAGGTTTTGTTCCGTTAGCAATGATTTGAGTAGTAGAACCAGTTGTGTTGGAGTTAAACCCTTCACTCTGATAGATCTACAGCACTGGGTTTGAGTTCACTGTATTAGTCTTTCTGTTCTGAATTTATGTTGTTCACCTGAGGCAAATGATAATGATATGAGTTTTCACTTTCTCCCTTAAGGTCCTGTCTTAATCTCAAGATGGAAAATAAAAAAATAAGGGTGCTTTGTATGTAAGTGTATATGTAAGAAGGTTTTTTCCAGTGCTTTTTAATAGCTCCGTTATTACCTAAGGATAATTTAACTTTTTTTAACTTATTTTCTTTAAACTGTGTTGTGTTATGATTTTCATTAGGCACTCAGAGAAAGATCATATTTTTACAGTTTCAGGTCCAGAAGCAGTTTTATTTGCAATTTTGTGTCTTATATTCAACACTTTGAATTAATGTTGTGTTAGATCCTAACTGCTCAATCCCAGATGACCCATTCAGTGAAGCAAAGAACGGCAACCCCACAGTTTGCCATTAAAATAAATAAATAAAAAGTATTTTTGAGCATTTTATAATTACCTACATTTGAGTCTTACCAGAATAGTTTCTTGAAGAAGTATTTTTCTTTCTAGTCAAGCATTGTCAAAGGTAAGACTAGTGTTAAGGGAGTTTTCAGTTTTTCACCTCTGCAAGACCAACACCACCACACCTTCTCTCCTCAATGAAAAACACTCCTTGAAACGTTTTCCCAGAGCATCCTAAAATAGGATTCCTAATGCAGATTTTGGTTTCATGCTTTCTCTGTAAGGCCTGTAAAATGCCGCAATAAAGTCAACATTCCTACACTTATAATCTGTGTAAATATTGCCTCAAATCTCTTCTGGAAAGTTTGCTGTTGTTTTTAGATTTCCTCCACATGTCTTCTTTTGTTTTATTATAAAAGACTCATTAAAAAGTCTTGTACTACTAAATGCCTCATGTGGTTTTATGTCCCAAAAATATAATTAATTTTTTAATTTCACATAACAATTTACAACCCCTCTTTATACATTAGCATAAGGCAAACTATGTAACTGTGTCTTTAATACATATTCTATTCTGAAACACTCACAACTTCAGTATGAATGGGTGGGGCTAAACTGCTGTAGGCTGAATATGTGGATATATGTAAATACACTGATTTTTGTGTGACATCACAACCATGATGTATTCAAAACGGACTGTTTTTGCAACGTTGTTTCCTTATATCTACTGTATAGACCGATGACTAAACAGTACGTTTTGAAACTTTAGCTGACAGTGTTTAGGCATTACATCAATACAGATTTTAATGGTATTAATTTAAAAATCATTTATGATGTCTTTTAAATAATCACTGATAAAACACAATACTGTAAACGCCATTAACTGTCTGGCATACTTTATCAGACAGACCATAAAACCCAATAAATTCCTTATACTGATAGAGATTTAGTGAAGAGGAAAAACAAGCTGGAGTTAAGGCGCATGCGCAGTGGCTGGACTGTCCCTGCCCCCGTATCAGTCCGTTTAGTACCGTGGCCATATTTGTTGATGTGTCACCTCAACAGGAGAGAGCAGTGGACATCCAGTGTATCACGAACAGACCAACTAACATGAATACTGGTCACACTAAATGGATCTAACATAACAGGTAAGTCAAATGTTACGTTGAGAATGTTCGTCGTTCAGCCGTTAAGCTGAAAGACAGCGCAGGTCTACGTTAGCTGACTAGCTAGCGAGCTATCAGGTGTTTTCTAGGAGAGTCGGTGTAACTAACTAGTTACACCCTCGCAATGTGTGAGAAAAAGGATGACCAGAAAAGACATACTTGAGTATTTTATGTGGTTATTCTGTGCTAATAATACATGTGACCGTTTGTGTGTTAGCTAGCTAGCATATTGTTGCCTACTAGCTTGCTGGCTAGTCAGCTACCTGAACATTTCTCAGATGTTTTAAGGAGGCGAGGTAAACTGTAGCTGCTACATACTGCGGTTTAGGTCCTCAGGCTCTAAAAGTACCAGCTGTTTCATTCATCTGCAGATACAGCTTCGCTATTGGAGTGTCACTGACAGCTGTGCTTCAGTGGTATCAATTTGAAATCACACGTTAAAAATACTCAGTTACTCAGGGTGCTATCTTAAATTATCGTTATAGGTAGCTAACGTTAGGTGTTGACAAGCTATGCTGGATATCGCTTTATAGCCACAGCCTGGGATGTTTGAGGTAATTTTTGTGGAATATATGCTAGCTATGTATTTACGCATAGCATTTTGTCTTTTAGGTGGTTGAAGAGTTCAGGCTAACTTTCTTACCCCAGTAGCTTATGAACCTGTGTGAGGGTTTTTAAATCTAGGTGTTTGGGAGGGAGTTATGATGGTGACAACAATGGTTTTACAGGCTTAAAACGTGTTTTCACAGGGTCTTTAATCCTTTTTTTTAATTAAAACAATTTGAAAACTAAACTCCTTCCTTTCTTCATCTTCATTCTTAGCCCTTAGAACATAATTTTAACTCTAAAATGAGTGATGATCTTAAAACGTTTGTTCCATATTTACCTACTGGCAGTCTCTGTCACTCTTTGCCCTTAGCTGTAGTCTGTGGTTCATTTTTGCACCTACAGTATCATCTGCATACTAATATAATTATATAGAAGGAAATAAAACCAAGTTTCAATTCTGATCTGAATAACACTAAAGCAAGTGTACTATCCGTGGGTAAGGAACAGGTTACAAGTTATTCAATGTATGTATAATTTAATTCAGTTTCAGTTTTACTTGTGTGACTTGTTCAGTGATGCTTATCTGTGTCACATTGTTTTATTTCTTTGGCTCAATTTTTTTTCTTTTGTCATGTATTATAAATATTGAACCTGACACAGGACAGGTCAGCTATCTGACAAAGTGTTGACTGACTCATTTTGTATGTTGATGGGTATCTTGGAAACATTGTCTGATGAGATTTTTTACTCTCCAGTCTTCGGCCGCATTTTAATCACTTCAAGTTTGTTACAGGTTAGTTAACTTATGTTTGGCAAATCTCAGACGTTCAGGTCTTTTGGTAGCTCATTGGATACATATCGTCTTATTTTTATATGTGTACATTGTTTAGTTTCAGATGTTTTCTTTGAATGTTTGAAATTCTCTGTTAGTAGATCCTGCATTTTATAATGAATTAAGGGAACTTTACAGTAAACCGTACTTGGCTGCAGAAGGCTCTGTTCAAAGTTCATTTCTTTCGCCCTCTTGCCCTCTCAGTTACTTTCTCACAGTGTTTCATTCAGAGAAGGAAAAAGGACTGGTGCATGTTTATGTACATTTGTAGCACTTGCTTTGTCCTCTAACTGAAATGTGCAGTTGCAACAGTGTCACATGATCATGTGAAACCAATTATTGTGCCAGTATCTGTTGAATAAAATCCTGTTATTATGAATACCAGCACAATTAATATTTAGGTGCTACTCAGTTTTGAGTAGACATGCTGTAGGCTGTTGCTATGAAAAAGACGGTCATAGTTCAGCGCTCTTTGGTAGTGCATAGGGGACTTGGTGTGAAGCTCAGCTAAGGTCAGAACAAGAAGGAAATGACTGTCATTTTGGCTGTCCAAATTGCAGGAAGGAACTATGATAATGCAAAACTCTGCATTGTTGTGACTTTGTTGTGATTGCCCTCTAGTGAAAACCTGTCAGCTAGAAGTTTTTATTTAAGGTGTTCTCCTGTCTATGCTGTTTAAATTCAATGTAGGCTACTGATTGATATACTGTACCTCATTTACGTTGTGTGATCTTAATTGCTTGATTGTGTGATGTGCCTTTTAGGTCCGGAGCTTTGGGAGATTATGGAGCCGTCTGATTGCCAGGGAGAGCAGCCCTCAGCCTCTCAACCTCCTCAGACTTCAGAGGTCAGCCCTGTGCCCACGGGGTCAGCACAGATCAGCAGTGATGGTGGTGAGCATGTGTTAACAAGTGTCCAAGGGAATAGTTCTGCAAAGGATGGCAAAACCGAGCAGGACAGTGCAGAGATGGACAGCATGCGGTCTGATGGTGCAAATAGAGTGGAGCTGAGGCTGGACCTGGACCACATACAGGACCAGGATGGAGTAGTTGGAGAGGATAGACAAGGGGATGGCAACACCAGTTGTGACAGTGGAACAGCTTCTTTGGATGATGGCAGGACTCCCCCAGCTCATCACAATGGGCTTGCAGAGTCATTACCTGTAGTTCTGGATGGGACACTAGAGGTTTTACCAATTAACCGTGAAGAGCCAAAAGAGGCCTCCTCTTCTGTTCCAGAAGAGGTATCTGTGAATAGAGTACCAGAATCTTCACCTTCTGAGTTGGACAACATTTCCTCAGTTAAATTAAACACTTCAGAGGATGCTGCCAAACCTCAAGCTCCAGCATGTCGAACTGATATAGTCACAAGCTCAGATGCAGCACAGACTGAGGAAAGTCAACACTCACCCTCTGCGCCCAGCTCTAACCCATACGATACAGACTGCAGCAAAAAGCTGATGTCTGAGATCCAGCGCTCCCTTTCTCAGGAGTCTCTGCTGGATGAGTTGGAGTCAGAGCTGCTAAACTTTCAGCTACAAGAGCAGGGCAGCTGCAGAGAAAGCCCTCCAAATGGCCTGCCCAAAGACCAAGGCTCAATGGTGTTTGAGAAGTGCGTCCAGTACAAGTACTCGCAACAGGAGAAGGCCATCAAAAGGTGAAAGCACATTCAGTACTTTGAAACAAAATGTCTTTTGTAGGGCTCGGTATTAAAATGGCTTATGTTATAATTATGGTACCAGCTGAATTACTTCAATACCACAGAGTATGGAACAATTCTGTGTCATTCAGTACCAAATTTCAGTACCTAAGTACTTAGCTCACGGATAGGTAAGAAGCATGCTTGTTCCAAAACCTGTACTGATGATTGACTGTCTACATTGCATTTGGTAAGCATGCTGATAATGTCAGTGCTTTTTGATTGCTATGCATTTATTTACCTTCATTATTCTCACCTCCAACACCTCACACACATTTCTGCTTTTAGCCACAACCACTTTCAGTTTGTAATTGAAAAAAATATTAAAATCAATGTATTGGTACTGGTATTGATATTGAATTTATTTTTAGTGATACCCAGCAGTACCCTTTTCCACCTTCCATGCATATTTCCTCTCTGCAGAACAGAAAGAGTACCCACAGTTTCATTGGCTACAGTGACACATTGCATTTGCAGTGGAGCTCTGCTGAACTAACAAATCAATCTTAATAAAACTTGGTGTATTTTATTGCATGCTGTGTTCAGGTATGACGTTGTTTGTGCTCTCTGCTGAAGCTCCCTCATGATTTTACTTTCCTCATTTTCATAAGGACACCTGCTTTGCCTAGAAACTGGAGCTGGTCCAGAGCTCTGCTCTGGTGTGGAATTATTAAGGAGCATTATCAGTGATGATTTTTGTACACCTGTTCCTTGACAGCTGTATCAGAGAGATTGAATTTTTTAGGGGTCAGTTGTTTGTTAGAAATGAAATCTTGCCAATTGTCATCTTGTAGAATAAATCAGTGACAGACAGTATGAAACTCTCATGGGTGTCCACAAAGCTGTTAGAATAACAGTTAATGTAATTGTGTGACAGGTTGTTGGATGAGAATAAGAAGCACCAGGAGCTCATCCTGGGCATCTGCTCTGAGAAAGACAACATGAGAGAGGAGCTCAAAAAGAGGATGGAGACTGAGAAACAGCACCTTGGCATTATTAAAAAGGTAAAGAGCATTTCAAGTATGCAGCCTTTATTTTCTCCATGATTAGGAAGCCTGTCTATGAGGCTAATCACAGCTTTTGATTTCCATGGCCCCTGTTGATTTTTACAAAATGACCACTGCTCTGTTTGAGATGTGGTCAATAAGAAGGCTAATAATAGCAATTGATAAGTCAGACTTGCACTGTGTTTAGCTCCATGAGCCCGTTCATGCTAGCTGAAATGGCTCCTTGGGACCCCAAAGGCCAGTTGAGGCTCTCCTCACTGATTATAGTGTGCTTGTTTACTGAAGAGCCTGCATCTGGTGCTGGGTAAGCATACTTGTTTGAGTCCAGCCCTGGGCTCAGGGAGATTGCAATCTAATTCAGTCCAAACGGGGCCCTTGTCACAGAGTGTAATAACACAAATCAAACAGAGCAGCCTGGGAGGCCGGCTATCTGTGAAGGGCAGTAATCTGGTACCGTGGTAATGACAGGAAACGGTTGTGTGTGTGTATTATGCCGTCACAGCTTCTCATCAGGGCTGAATAAGAGGGGCATCTGTGGCCTATCATGACACCCCTGCCTCATCAGAATCGCTCATCTTCCAGAGGGTGGGAGAAAGACTGATAGAGACATTTTCATTCCTGATCTCCGCTCTGTGGCTCATTCAACACCATAAAAGAAACAAGACATCAAACTCCTACTCCCTGCTTTGACTGATACGGTCATTTAGTCGCTTAGAGAAATAGTCAGCTTTTATTGAATTTTGTTTTGTTAGGGCAATAATGACTTGAAGGCTGTTTAGAACTTTGAGATAGTTAGTTGAGAGAGTTTTCCCCTGAAATTTGAGGCTATAATAAGAACTACCTTTGCCATAAAAGCTGTACAGCTACAGGCTATTAGTCTCTCATTAGAGGCTGTTGGGTTTTGCTAATAGTGATTCTAATTGAGATGTTTTTTATCAATATTGTGATTTTGATTTAAATTGCACTTATTATCTGTAAATTAAGGTTGAATTGTATGTAATGTGATATACGGTGCAAGACTTCCAGGAAGATGTGTTTGTGTTGTTATGTACACAACATAAATGGCTTTGAATTCTTGTTGGTCTGCCTTCTCTAAAGGCAGTTCACAAGCTGTGTGTTATTGGGTTAAGGCAGCATTGTTGGTAATATAGGCTATAAACAAAATTGTATCTCTTGCAATTGGAAAATTGCGCTCTTTAAATTCTGATTTCGATATTAAAAACAATTCATCTTTGAGCCTTAGTCTGCGGGAAAGACCATTGGACATAAATCCTTCTAGCGGCTGTATGACTTTGTTTAGACAGGTACTGAGGTCTATTACTATATTTATTGTGTGTCTGATCTTTGTGCTGAAATCTGGATAGCACTTACTGACTGTAAAAGACTGAATTCCATTCAGTATATTTGAACCATAATCATATACTGTTGCATTATTTTCATCAAAGCACATCTTAACCTACAAATCTGATGGGATTATATATAGCAGGAAAAATCTGTTGGGCTTTTCACAGATTTATAGATTTATGACAGTAAAGGACCATTTTAACAACACAAATAAAATCTGAGCAGGTCTTCTCTTCTGTAGTTTAAAACATCATTTGCAGTCCAGGCATTGCCATGAAGCCATTCACAATCAATTCAGAATTCCTAACTAGTTTGAAGATGTATTGGTATATTATGTATCCTGTAGTGTTTATTGCGCAACTTCTGCTACCTATACACTAATGACCTTTGGCATCAACTCTTGTAGTAGGTTTGTGTAATGACGCTATTTCAGGGTGTGTCTTTGATCAGCCCTGCTTTTCAGACCTATTTTTGTGTCGTCATTCACAAAGTGTTTGTGATTAGCCTTGCCCCAGCCTTTTCTAAGCACGAAGGCATTAACTTTTAAAAGAAACTGTCTCTTCTTGTCTGACCAGTTTGAGAGCAGGGTGGAGGAACTACTGAAAGAGGTGAAAGAGTCCAAGGACAAACTGGTTCACCAGGACCAAACTGCTAAGAATACCATCCAGCAGATACAAAAGGAGATGGCCTATCGCCTAGAGCAGGTGAGGAGGTCATCACTATGACCACTGTAGCTAATGCCATGGAAACAGTCCTTCAGGATGTGTCACCCTCCCCCTCGCTTTCCCACACACAAAGCTCTTTTACTTCCACAGTGGATCAATTACTCCCAAACAATGACTGGACTGTGGTCCTCAGGCTCAATCTGGCATAACGTATCCTTCAGTGTTCCCTTTTCATTTCCCTCATCCTCCATGTTTTAATTCTCAATAGTGGTTGAGTATGTAGGCAGTTTTTATCTCTCACTTCTAACCCCAAAGGTAGGATGTTTAATTCAATGCCTGCATTCAAATATCAAGGTCTAGTGTGGAGCCAGATTTATTAGAAAGGTGGGTGTTGTTTTATTTCAGCAGGTTTCATTCAGACTTCTCCTCACTCTCACAACAGTGTGAAACTCTCGTAACAGTGTCACTGCTCTTCTTTCTCCACCACACCAGCACATTAAATAATACACCATCTTAACAACTTGGGTACAGAGCTTGTCACAGTAGTGCGAACTTCCCGTGTCTCTTAAAAGTTCTACAGAAAATTTGTACTCAGAATGCTTAATTGTCATTTCTTTCTTTGTATCGTTTGTTGCTCTTCTCAGGCTAATAAGAAGTGTGAGGAAGCACGGCAAGAGAAGGAGGCAATGGTTATGAAGTATGTGCGAGGGGAAAAGGAAGCGCTGGACCTGCGCAGGGACAAGGAGCAGTTGGAGAGAAAACTCAGGGAGGCCATGACAGAGGTGGACAAACAGGCCAGAAGGGGGAACCAGCTAGCACAGGAGAAAGGACGGCTTCAGCAGCTATATGACGGCAAGGTAAAACTTAACAACTTGGAATTTACCTTACTAAGAACACGCTGCCTTATGCCAGTGGTCCCCAAACTTTTTATAGTCTTGTACCCTCTCAGACATTAAACCTCCTACTGCATACCCCCTCTCGCTCCTTACACACACACACACATTTTCATGAACGTGTTCCACAGATTAGTAACAATATCCGCTCGGTTATTAACAGTGCTACAACACAAAGCAATGAATCTAAAGTTAGCTTATTTATTAACTTCTTATTTGAATTTCTGTTCCACCTTAAATGGTACAGCAGTTACATTCTGGCCTCTGTATAAGCCAACTTCAGCTTGTCACAAAGCAGCTGTACAAACACTTAACCAAAATGCTAATTGTGAAGCGCTTATCACAGTAGGCTACAAACTTACTACAACTGCAAACTAAACGTGTGAAAGTTTAACAAATTTGAGTACGCAACTAACAAAGAGCGTAAGTGTTGTATATGTATTAACAACAATTTTGTTACACAAAATATCTAATTTGCAAATGAGAACAGAAACATTTGAGTAATATACATTTGAGTTATAAGTAATACAAAATGTGTTGTCCTTAACTGATCACATTGATGTGTCTGTTTGAGGACGAAATGTGTTTTCTTTAAATGTGTCTACTTAGGGACAAAATGTGTTAATTTTAATGCATCTGTTTTAAGAGTGCAGAACACACAATGCGCAAAAGGGCCAGAATGCCTCCTATCTCCTATACAGCCTTATAAAAAACATAGAGAAAAATTCAATGGTTAGAACACAGCCTTAGTATGTACTATATAGCTCTGTGCGTGTGACCGCTACAGCTTGCATGCACTGGCCATACATACATACAGCATTTGTCTCATGTAGCGGTGCAGCAAGAAAGTTATACCAACACCCTTTTTCTAAATAGATAAGTAGCCAAAACAGTCTGCTCAATAAAAATATAATTCATAAAAGAAGATGGTACATTTGTTTACTCTCAGCAGTGTTTCGACTTTTAACTGGGCAATGCTTTCAAGCCCGGTAGACCAATTGCTAAGTCTGTATGCAGCATGTAATGTTTAACAAGTAATTTATTTTGTTAAGCTCATGAATTAAATTAAGAATTTAAGGTTCTTATGCTAAAGGCCCGGGCCTAGTCTCAACTATCCTGTCACGGACAAATTTTTGGCAACTGCAGTTTTTGAGAAAGGCTTCAGAATGGCAACAAATAGCTGTGCATACCTGTCTTGATTGCTTGTGTAGTGTGAGCAGTTCAAAGATGTGATTTACCCTGTCTGCAAGCTGTTGACGACACCCTGATAATTGTTTGCTTTGAAGGGAAAACCTGCAAAAATACGTACCAACAAATATAGCAAGTTTCTCAGATTCCAGTTTTTCACATCGTAGACACTTCTTGCATTTATTTTTGTGAGACAGTAAAGTTTCTCAGGGATCCCTCCAGGTAAAAGGTGGTGTAATACATAATTCTCATCTGTGCTCAGTCATGTAGTGTGCACGGCACTAAATCAACAAAACATCAGGTCTTAAACAATAAATGTTAGTAGCAACCAGTACAATGATTCTGAGATTTTAAAAGTTGTGTAGTGTCCTTTAGGCATTAAGCATATAAGCAAACATTTAAGAGAATTTGCACGAGAATTTGAGTTGTTTAGATACGCAGTCTGAAGCTAAAGGATGGCTGACAGTGCTTGCTGTTTGTTTTATTTAAGTCATTGTGTGTTTGATTTCTGTGTCTGCAGGAGAATGAAATGACCAGGTTGTCTCGGGAGCTGGAGAAACTCAAGGATGAGATCAACTCCCATGTCATCAAAGTCAAGTGGGCACAGAACAAACTGAAGAGTGAGACAGATGCTCATAAGGTCAGAAAAGGCTCACAGACAGATGCTAAGCAGAAATTACCTTTAAATAACATAATCCCTTTACACCATTCCCAATACTCCCAAAGTTTTATTTGGTTTATTATCCTGTACAGTTCAGAGTGACTACTGATAATACATACATAAAGTGCTGATACACCTAAGCATACTGAAAATTCAGATTGTGAACTGAGTGTTCACTCTTGAACACAGACACATGGCTTACAAAAAATCATTAATACAGGTGTATTTTATAACACAGCAGCCTATTTGGTTTCCAAATGGAATAATATGGAAAATATTATATAAGGCCTAATATTAATAGTAATCTCTTAAGTGTGTGGTAATCTGTGTGTGTGTGTGTGTGTGTGTGTGTGTGTGTGTGTGTGTGTGCGTGCATTTTAATGTTACTTTGCTGTCCTCTTGTTCTGAGCATTGTTGTCTCCTGTTTGAAAACAAAACAAAAAACCAGGAAACAAAGGACAAGTTAAAAGAAACGACTGCAAAGCTAACACAGGCTAAAGAGGAAACAGAACAGATCCGCAAGAATTGCCAAGACATGATTCGCACATATCAGGTATGTCTGAATGGATGTGCAATATGACATACATGTTAAACAACTATTGAGAACTATTAAGACCTGCAGATATCCACTAGAGGGCACTATAGACTCTTAGTCTTTTTTAGGCTCTTGAGGGTGACTGTTGCAGCTGCTGTGGTTTAAGCAAATGGAATTGTTAAATCTGTACTATTTAGGTTATTTTGTAACACAACCATACCAAAACACTAGATCCAGTTGCTGCAGGAGTTGCCTGCAAGAGAAATTGCACCATATAGCTGAAGTGGGAGTGAGTTTCTTGTCATTTGTTTTTAGGGGAAATGGGTTGTTCTCCTATTGCTGCATGGACAAAATGTGTAATTATATTGCTGCGTCTCTCTAGGAGTCAGAGGAAATTAAGTCTAATGAGTTGGATGCAAAGCTGCGGGAGACGAAAGGAGAGTTGGAGAAGCACAAGCAGGAACAGACCGACCAGCTGGAGGTAAAACTCCCATTGCTTTTTTCACACCTATCTCACACAACTGACCTACCGAAACTTTTTCTGAAAAATTGTGTTGAACTGTTTAGAAACAGCAGTGTCATTCAAACATAGCCATAGCCCTGGCATACATTTAGTACTTTGGATGACTTTTTATTATATATTGTGCTGTGTTTTGCTGTTAAGAAGCTTTCATGTTGGGATATCAGCTTGTACTCCCAACTCATGGAGTGTGGTGTTTCACAGCCTGCTTTTAAAATCGTTTCATGAGTAAACCTGTAAAGCTCCTTGATGACTGAGTATGGGAGCAGAAGTGCAGGATTTGCCAGCAGAAAACATTTTCATTCAATAATTATTATTTGCCTTTTCACTCTTCGAAGAGTGAAAAGAGTTGAGTGGTTAGTGGGATGTGTAACACTGTAAGGAGGCTTATTTGCACTGGTCATGTGCTCTTTGTTGTGACTGTCAGATGCACCGAGTTAAGATTAAGGAACTGGAGGATCTGAAAAGGAGCTTCAAAGATAGCATGGATGAGCTTACCACTCTCAGAACTAAGGTATACATCATTGTTTTAATGCATACATAAAGTATAGCATAAAGCATGTGTTTGGTGCACATACATTGTATAGTTATTTATGCATGCTTGTGAGTCGTCTTAACTAACTTTTTCACACAGGTGAAGTGTCTGGAGGATGAGAGGCCTCGGTGGGAGGATGAGCTGTGTAAATACAGAGAGATCATCAACAGACAGAAGTCAGAGATCCAGAACCAGCGTGAGAAGCTGGGTGCCATCCAGAGTTTAGAGGAGCAGCATCAGAGGTGAGGAAGGCATCCTAAATCTCCTACCCAGACACATTTATCATACCCTTCAGAATGACCTTAATGATTCAAAAACAGCCCATAGCCACTGTAATGTTTGTTCCAAGAGACAGCTCAACTCATGGTGCATTTGGTCTCCCCACTGAGAGTGAGTTTCTAAAATTGGTATCACAATAAGAGCATCCGTACTGTTTCAAAGAGTGCTCAAATGATACTGTCTCTTACAATGTGAGGACAGTGGTGCTTTTAGGACCGCTGGGCTTGGCTGTTTATAGGCCATGCTTTGCGTCACTTCAGAATCTGTATTCAGAGTTTGTTTATTTGGCTTTGCATCAGTGATGATTCAGTTGAACATTCCTGGACATCAATAATGTAACCCGTCCTTTACTCGTCTCCCTGTGGTGAATGTGTCTCTGCTGATAAAGAGATGTGACTGTGGCTCTGTGCTAGAGCTAACAGAATTATTTATGTGTGCGTGTTTCTCCAGGGGGTTGCTCCAAGTTGTTAGGACGTGTCACTTGTGACTGTGTTGATATTCATTCTGTACCACATTGATTTTACGAATTGTGGAATTGCTGTAGTCTTAATTTGTGTGTCTGTGAATGTTTGTGAGGTTTTCTATGCACAATCAGTATGTCCTCTTTACTGTCATGGGTTCTCTTTGTTCACAGATTTTGTTACATTTTTGACATAAAACTTGGCTACTGCAATGGCTAAATGACTAAATGCAAAGCTACAATAGTAATAGTTATGTGTAATGTTTGGCGTTGTATGTATTGACAGAGATGAACAGGAAATGGCATCTTTGAGGGAGGAGGTGGAAAGTCTGAACTCACAGATTGCAGACCTCCAGAAGGACGTTCAGGGCGGCCGAGTGCGGGAGGCTGAGCTCCTGGGCTTCACAGAGAGGCTCACCAGTAAGAATGCTCATCTGCAGTCTGAGAGCAATGGCCTGCAGGCCCAGCTGGACCGCATGACCACCAGCTCCAGAGACCTGCAGAGCAGATTGGAAGAGGCTGAGAGGTCCCTTGCCGACATGGTGGGTTAACATCTGGGAACAGATAATACTGTTAGCCATATAAAGTGTCTTCCTATTATCTTGGTAACTACTTTTCTATCCAAATCAATTCTGAGAGTGTGGCATGTTCAATATGTGAAGGCCCACCAGGAGACCAGAAGGCCATGGTTGTTGTTTCGCTTTCCTAACTCCTCTACACGAGAATCCTGAGTTCATTCTGAGAATGAAGGGAGGCTCATCTGGAAGGCTAAATAAAGGCTATAGTATAACAGGTGATACAGTACAAGATGGATGAAGTTACTGACGAGTTGTTAATGAATTTGGTATTTCTATGCTAGACTTATTTAAAACCTTTAAGATGTTTTTAATGTTACTAAACATTTGTCATGCATTCTAGTTACCATCTGGATTTCAAGGCTGTGATCACAATTGAATTTATAGGGCATTTTTTAATGTTTTGTCAAAGTAAGTTTGTGTTAATTTTCACAAAATACAAAATGTAATTTAAATTTAAATGCTTGAATTGTTACCGTTTCACTCTTTTTCAAAGAACAGGCAGAACACTATATTGCTTACAAGATAGAAAACTACCCTCATCCCCTGTATCACTCTTTTGAGTGTAGATTAGTGATTATCACATTAATGCATTTTCCAAGTACCCTTCTAGCCATCCATTGTAGTGCAGTAATTGTGGACTGTACAATACCATTGCAGTGATAAAATTCTACAATCCACACTTGTACAAGCGCTTTTATTCGAATAGTGCTTTTAAATGGCTTTTAAACAGTGCTATGGACACTGGATCTATTGACTGTGTATAAATAGTATGTATGTGTTAACTTGTGTGGTGAACATGCAGCCACTCATGAAAATCTGGGTTTTTACCTGGTGGAAATCATGTGATTTTCAGGTTCAGGTTCAATGTCAACCCTGCCTAATAATAATTTGCTGAATTGTTGAAAGCAATAAATACATTCTAAAGAAGGTTATTTTGTCTACTCATATAGCTATAACAAAATGCACTCCAATCAGAAAATAAATGTTACAGTCAAATGTTGGCAAATAACACGAATTATAATCATTCAGTTGTTATAAAGTGTCTTTTTTTGGTGCATGTTTGTTCAGACGGCGAGACTGAAGAGAGAGGAGCAGCAGAGGCAGGAAGAAGTGCAGGCTCTGCAGGCAGAGAGGACTGCACTGCAAAAAGAAACTTCTCAGCTGAAGACACGTGTAGAGGAGCTCAGAGATGAGCTGGTCACACAGAAGAGGAAGCAGGCAGCCAACATTAAGGATCTCACCAAGCAGCTCACACAAGGTGAGAGAAGCATTATAGTTTTAGCACATAGACCTCTAAGAGAATGCTGCTTTACGCAGGGTATTGAATTGCTTTTAGTTTGTCAAATTTAATACTGCAGTTAGGCCACTATGTTTGATCCACTGATGGACTCCAGCGTGCCATGAAGGTCAAAAGAAACAGAATAACCCAAATTCTTTGGACTCAGTGGGCAACACATTTACGATGGGACTTTTTCTAGTGTTCCCCTTTTGCCTAATCACTCAGACCTGCTTCCTCATTTAATAGCTCTGAGATATTGTCTGATTTAATCCAGTTTAAGCAGCTTTGTTTGTGCTTTTTCCCTCTGCTTCATTCATTCTCAACATTACTGTTTGAAAACTGTCACTTATCAAATATAGCCTGTTTCTGTGTATGTTTGGGTTTCTGTCATTACCTCTAGGCTCACGCTCACACGTTGTCTATATGAGGATTTATTTTGACAACATGGGCACCAGAGGGGTTTTGGGGTTATGGCAAAAATCTGTTGAAAGAGCCTAGCAATAAATTGACTGTGGTGAGTGAGAAGCTCTGAGACCAGAACATCTGTTAATTAACCAAAAACATCACAAAACCAAAGAATCTGAAAAACATAGACAGCTTTGAAGTCTGTGTGAATGTTTAGAGCATTTCTCTCTGTGTGTCAGTGCTTTTTTGAATGATGCTTCATTCACTATTTTAATGGGGCTTCAGCATCTCTTTCCCCGTCCTCAGCTCCCTGAGGTGCTGGTGATAATTATAAAGCCATATTGGAGCTCTCAGGGGGCTGACGGAGGGGCCATGCAGGAGGAGCAGACAGATTGAGGTAATGTGTTCATACCTCACTGTGGCTGCGGGAGAAGCTGGGTTAGGCCATAGGGTGATTTTCATACCGGTTTTTGTTAGGAGTGAGAGAAAAAGAAAGTGCAAGATGAGAGAGAAAGGCCTGTGTCTGGGGACTTATTCCTACAGAGGAGATGTAGAGAACATGAAGATATTTTTAAGCAGCTCTATTTCTGCACTTTCTCTCCGGGTGCCTGTCGACTCCCGTTCTCCTTCTCAAGGCCCAGTCCTTGAGTCTGAAGTCTTTTAATTGAATGTATTTGACGTGCAGTGAGGAAGTGCCCCATGGGGGGAAGCTTTTATTCTCTGCCGTAAGCTCTCGCCAGCAGCATGGAAAGAGATTCAGAGCAGTAAAAGGTCTCTCTCCACTGATGGTTGCTGTGGTTGTTGAGGGGTGAGGGGTATTTTTCAAGTGTGCCTGAAAAAGCTGTAAACGGACTGCTGCAGTGCTAATGTGTGTGTGTGTGTGTGTGTGTGTGTGTGTGCGTGTCTCTTTTTGATAGCTCGTAAGAAGCTGGAGCAGGTGGAGAATGGAGGCTGTGATCGAGAGGGCAGCAGCATGGGCAGTCGCTCCAGCTCCTCAGGTATGCTGTCTTTTTCACTAGCACCGTATTGTATCTTACAGGGCCTTCATAGCGGTTACACGGACCTTCAGTTAACCCGCTCAGTCGCTGGTCATAGAACTCCTGTCTCCAAAAGAGTCGCCTGTCTCTTTCTTTCCATTTGGCAGCCTAGATAAAAGTCAAAACACTTCTTATGGAGAACCTTGTGTTGAGAAAGGAATAAAATACTCTAACTTTGCAAACACAGTGCTACACTTAGCATGAAACCACAGCAGACAAACAGATGAGGCTTCAACAATACATAAGCCAATAAATATACAGACAAATAAAATACAGACAATAAGCTGTTTACAACAAATAAAAATAGACAAGAGAGTGGAGACAAATGTGTACACCTTAGTTCGCTTTTTAGAGGCAGTATACCATAAGCCTATCATGCCTCTATCAGCCATTGCTGGTTGATGGTAGTATAGAAGGAACATGTGGTGGCATGAGCCACTTTCCAAACATAAATAATAATAATCTGAACAGGCTTTCAGTGCACATGGGACAACAAATATTGCCTGAGAGGCTGCTATTGACCTACACACTGAGGAGCCTTGCGGAACCTTTCTCCAGTAACTTGTTTCAGCATGGCAAGTAATGCAGTGGTGCCACAGAGAAGCCTGCTTAAACCAAAGCAAATAAGCATGCTTGTGTTTCTTGTCAGAATCTTGCTAATTTGATAAGTGACCTTTGTGCTACGTTTGTTTGGTATGGTTCGCACCTTACAGACTATAAACTGCTTCCTCTTAAAACAATAAAACAGACAAAGCTTACTGTGTTACCTCAGCCAGTACCCTGCTGTTATTATTAGACTGTGATATATTTTCTGACAACTATGATGGTACTGCAATATTGGTCAGTTAAACCTATGTTCATGTTCCATGTGTAGAAGGCTGCATGTTTTCTGACATTTAAATTATCCAACTTGATAGCCATTGTGATATATGGAATCTGTAAGCAATTCCTGATACTATCGTCAAGTGGCTTAAGCCTGCTTTTTAGCACTTGTGTAGATGCATTTTAATGGTACAGAATGTGAGCTTAGTCATAGCAGAAGGCAGCTAACACTGTCAGAGTATAGACAATGGTAGAAAGTGTCTTGTGCATATCAAATGAAGTGTTTGTTATAGGCCATATATCTTTACATGCATCTCTATATATCTATACATACCTTTTATCTTCCTCTTGAAGGGCCTTGGTCATTTTATTTTTCATGAGTGATTGCTATCTCCTTTGCCAGATTGACTGTCATTCCCCATATGATGTGACTGTCACTTCAGTGCTTCTAGTGAACCGTTGGTTTCTCTGCTGTCTCAGTGTTTTCAGTGACATTTTCTCTGACTCTCTGCTCTCTTTTTCTTTCTGTCTTAGGCTCTTTGAATGCACGAGGCAGCAGTATGGATGATCGTTCTCCTGAGAACCAGTCGGGGCCGTCTGTGGTGGTGGTGGACAGCTTTCCAGAGGTGGACAAGGCTGTGTTGGTGGAGCGCATTGTGCGGCTGCAGAAAGCCCATGCCCGCAAGAATGAAAAAATCGAATTCTTGGAGGACCACATCAAACAGCTAGTGGAGGAGATCAGAAAAAAGACAAAGTGAGTGAGAGAGCAAGTCTGCAAAAAGGGAAGTATACGAAATCTCAGACGTGACTCCAAGTTGGACTAAGTCTTGTCGGTATTGTAAACACTGTGTGTTAAATGGCAGCTTGATAGCAGTGTCTAAAGAGATCACCTCATAGAGAGCAGAAGCTCTCTGAGCTGGTTTTACGTGATATGGACAGAGCTGCTTGGCCTTGCCTCTGTGTTTGTCATACCTCTTTGTTCTAACTCCCTCATCCCGTGACGCCGAGACACTGAGACAGACTTTGACTGACGGCGGGAATTTTTGCTGGGCATTGTCCTTTTTGCATTTGTTAGTTTTCCTTTTGCTTATTTTTCCTTATTTAAAAAAAAACTCTTCCTGACGAGGCTTGTGTCTTGTTTGTCAGACTTGGTCAGACAATGGGATTTGGCAGACATAAACCTCTCACACATGTTCCTACACACAGACAGGACAAATCTGCCCTGTCCTCCAGGCAGATCCTTATTGTTATTTATAGTCGTCAGTTCCGGGTAAATTATGCGTCATTGAGGTTCTTAATGATGTCTGATAAATATTCATGTACGCGCCAAATACACAAAATCAGGCCATAGCTGTGGTCAGATGAAGAAATGTTCAGTTAGTTTTGTCAGTCAGTGTGTGTGAGAGAGAGATGCTCTAATACGATGCAAAAGACTTCAGACATTTTTGACACCTTTGACACTGTTTTAGGCAGAGCTGCTGTCTTGGCTTCCGATAGGCTCAGTTTCTCTTGACCAATGATGTTTTTAAATGAGCCCACCTGCACTAGTTTGTATTTTTTACTTTTAATCAGAGACACCTGCAACTGGACTGGAATTTTCCGTTCATGAATCTGTGTGCAAAAAACACCTTCTTTTCTAATCAAGTCCAGATTTGCCAACTAAATCTTTTTTTAGTGTTTCTCTCTCTCTCTCTGTGTGTACTCTTTGAAGATGAGTGACATGTATAACTACTGGCTTACAGTATGTCCGTATAGTTTATTAGGCTGAATTAATTACAGAATTAAACTTGATTTCATAACATCCTCTCAACAGCGGCATAAATCTGCCAGCTCTGTGTTATTCTGAAACATTAAACCGGCATGTTCTTTAAAGTTATTTTATTAAGGGCAGGAAGTTAATGTTGCTAAGACTGAGATCATGTTAAAAATCAATAGTGGATGTTAATTGAATGGCAGTGATGCCTAACTACAGAAGTGACTAGAAATTATTGTTACATTTGAGTGAAAATACATGTACAGTGCTGTGCAAAAGTCAGAAACTACCCTTGATTTATTTCCAGTTCAACCATTAACTGCAAATTCATTTTTCAGCTTTGGGGGGGGAAAGCAGAAAACATATTTTTGACAGAAAATAACATAAAAGCAACAACTAAATGTAAAAATGGTCAGTATTTAGTGTGTCCACCCTTTGCCCTTACTACAGCTTCCATTCTTCTGGGGAGACTTGCTTTTAGTTTCCTGCAGGGATGTTTTTCCATACCTCCAAATTTCAGTCATTCTTTGTTTTGTCACTTTTTTTGTTTATTTCCTCCTCTCAGTAATGGCTTCTTGACAGCTACACATCCTTTAACAGATCCAGACCTATAACGCTGCGTTGTCTTCTCACAGTGAAAGGATGGACAAAAATACTATTTTTTTTCAGGTCTAAAGCAAGAGTGAAGCTTGATTTTCTCTTAAACAGTAAAGCGTTATGTATGGTTTATTAGGGCTGCAGAAAATGAATATTTTAATGGCTGATTAATAAAGTAAATTAATTGACTAATAATCAGTTACTTGGCTTAAGTGTGACTTGTAACCATGAAGAGCTGTCACAGTAAAATGTTTGGCAATTTTCTGATGGGCTTTTTAAATTTTTTTTGCTTTACCCATAGTTTTGAGCTACGGTAAGTAATTAGCAGTAGCTAAAAATAAGTGATATAATAAATATAGATGAACATGTAGCTCTTCAGGCTGCAGCAATGAAGATAGTGAACAGGTTTCCAGGACAAATGGCTGGCATTTTTTTCATGTGATAAGTGTTTTCAAAATGAGTTGTGTTTTAAGCTAATTAATGTGTAGTTAGCCAGCTAATGTACAGTACTTCTAAATGAACAGAAACTGACATGACTTGCATTCTAGTGACTAACATTAGTAATGTGACATGATAAGCTTTAGTGAGTTTTGACGTGTCCTTCTGAAAAGTCACTTACAGTGCAAACCCGCTCAAAAATTTCACTTTGTCAAAACACTGGCCTGGAAGGAAAGCTACTGTTTACTACAAGGGTGATGTTGACTTCTTACTCACCCACTTCTTATTTGAATCTGTACATGCGACAGAGTGTAACTGTTGCACCAGTTAAGTTGGAACAGAAAATTAGAATAAGGAGCTTATTAGATTAGTCCATTTACTCACGGTTCTGTGTTATCACTAATGTCAAATAATTGTTTCAGCCTGACTGTTTATTTTATAGTGACAGTATTGCTGGTCTGCCAGGACCATGGGTTGTTAGGAGACCCATTTTCGCTATACTTTTTAAGAATTTTTTGAACTCCAGTTTTAGAAACTCCTGTTTATTCACTTCTCCTTTCGTATTGCCCTTCATTATTCAAGTGGATTATTTTAGATATGATCTCCTCGAAAATATCTCTTGAAGAATGAATAGCCTAAATAATTTAAATTAAATGAATGAAGGGTGATCTCTGACTTCTGCATTTTACTGTGTATATTGTGATATTTTCTATTGACTGCTAAATGATAATAGTGCATGATGACTATTTTGTTTTTTGCAAATATGCGTTATGTTATATTCTTAGTTTTTGGTTTTCTAACACTTCCATCTTTGCTGTTTGTGGATCAGTTGTAGCTTGATTGTGAGTGATTAAAATGAAACTTAACTGTACTGAAATTGAAACTGACTTTGCTTATATAGGTCTGACATATCAATCAAGCTGCAACTGAGTTTTGTCTTGTTTTTGTGCGAATTTCTGTTGTTCTGCATGTGTATCTTTTTGGCTAGCATGCTACTGTAGTTGCTGTGGCTGCTGTGGCTGCTGTTCTTGCTTTTTCTCTGCTGCTCTTATTGCTACAGCGGAGAATCAGGCCATGCCATCCTGCCCTGGCTATAGCGTATAAAGTAACAGAAAATCAAATAATTTCAGGACATGTTGCCACTGATATGGTTCTGACCTAGCATCAGAAAGTTGCGTTACCAGATGTCAAAATATTGATGTAGTGGGTGATAACCCCATTACTTTATACTTTAATTAGCTTCTCCCCAGGCAACTGGGGCACTTTCTGTAGATTCTGATTTCAAGCACATCTGCCTGTGGCCCTCCCCTTCGCATGCAAGTTGCTAAATCGGAGGCAACATTTAATTTATTTTTTATTTTGTTCTGTTAAATACTACCATGATGGAAATTGGGTCCAAACGGACCCAAGATAAGTGCAAGGTAAGCCCATCCGCTTTTGTGGTAGTGATTTCATTTAAACTTGTGCAGTTTTGTGATATCTGTGTAGTTGCATTGTCTGTTCTTTGCATACCTGCAAGAGTTTAATCTCTCTTCCCATTCTAACCTCCTCCATGGAGTGTGCAATTTCTAGTCCTTTTCTTCTCACCAATTCAAATAGCTGGAGGCCAAGGTGTTCAAAATTTTCAGAGAAATCTGTATGCTCTATCGTCTCTGATTGATCATGTGTATTAATTAAAAATTTGCACTAAAAACAGTGCAGGTTACTAATTTAGAGACAACATAGAGAGTTCACAGATTGGAAAAACCCTTGCTTGTCTCTCTTCACCCAGACAGGGACCTTTACAAGTATGGCCTCCAATACCTTTGTCTCGAGCCACAGTCTGAACAAAGCATTAAAATCGAATTGGCCTTTATGTGGGCTGTGCGTCACCGTGGTTAAAAAAGGTTCGGAATGGGAAGATGGGAGAGAAAAGCATCTCCTGGAGACGGTAGAATGAAAGGTTTTGTGCCCCTGTCCGTGCCTTCTAAAAAGAGAGAACCACTTAGGTATTCTTTTTTTCATCTTTGTTTCCCACATATTAAAAAGAGACAACAATAATGACAGAGACAATAATGATTTCAGATTTCCATCAGTGCCGTGCCGCTCTTCATTCTCTTTCAGACTGAACCACTCAAAGATAAATTAGGCCCTTATAACTTGATTTTCTTTTTAGGGTACAATTCAATCTGAAGATTTTAGCACATTATTAAAAAGTAGTTATAAGATGTGGTGGTTATTTTTCTCCTGAGTTTGGTTCTCTTTTTCTCTGTGAAAACACACACAGTAGACCATTTAGAAGTTTAATTTAGTCTGGGCAACTTCTTTCAACATATGCTGTCTTTTGTCCAAAATAGCCCAAAAAACCTAGATACCTTGGCCACCTGCTAACACGTGACTTAAAACCACAACCATTATACATTCATTTCTCATAAAGGTCACTCTCGCAAGATAGATATTTAATCATGAGTGACGATGAGAGCTGAAAACACGTCAGCATCTGACCTTGCTGTGCTTAAATGTTTCCTCATTGTTTCCAATCAACTTGCACAGGTTTGTCTCGCAGAGAGCGAGAGAGATTAGCTGAGGTGATTTGTTGTAATGGTGTGTGGCTTATGCCTTTTGCTTTTTTGTGGTTTATTAGTGGCTTCACCTTTAGCCTCTTCCCTGATGACCATGATTGAACAGTGACCATTTTGGGGCTTTTCCAGGGTTTTATTATTGTTGAAAATGTGTGTGCGTGTGTGCGTGTGTGTGTGTGTCCATGTTGTAACTGAAACGGACCTGTGATGTGTGCTTCCTGTATGTTTCCTGCAGAATTATCCAGAGCTACGTGCTGAGGGAGGAGTCGGGCGCTCTCTCTTCTGAGGCTTCAGACTTTAACAAAGCCCACCTCAGTAAGAGAGGGGGCATCATGGCCTCGCTGTACACCTCTCACCCAGCTGACAGTGGCCTCACCCTAGACCTCTCGCTGGAGATCAACCGTAAGCTCCAGGCAGTGCTAGAGGACACGTTGCTCAAGAACATCACACTCAAGGTATTGTGACTTGCCTCACAGCTGTTTGAGTTTTGTTTCCTTTCTCACATGCATGTGTGCACGGGCATGTACTCTGTGTGGAGGCTAATTCATAGCTTATATCTTATCTGCTTGCTTGTTGTAATTACATCACTGCATGTGATAACTTTACTATATATGGTCTACTTAGAAATTGGTACGGCACGGCTGCCTCTCGGCAATATCTGTTGATGTAATCGCAGCATTTAAGTCACTGGGATTTCTAACGATGGCTATCAGAAACAAAGCACATTGAGTGATGATTGATGACTGAGGCACTGTGGATACATTCCCACGCTGCCTGGCCTCCCTCCGCTAGACACTGAAGATACAGAATAAAGAGAGAGAACACTGTGATCCAGGTCACAGACTCAGCCCTGTGCACAAAGACTAGTGATTCACTGCAATGTTTCAGCAAGAAGACTGAGGAAAAATTAAGTTGGATTGATATAAGGGCGTAGTGCTTAGTGAGCGGAGAACTGCATTTGTACAATGTTAGCAGGATTAGAGGCATTAGGAAGAGATGGTAAGGCAATCAAACTGACTTAAAGCAAAGCAACAAGAAACCACTTTTCCATCTCTGCTTCCAGGCATTGTTACTCCCAAACTCACACACACGCACTCTCTTTTTCTTTTTTTCTTGTTTTCTGTTGCTTGAGTAGCACAGGAAAGCCTCACAACAGTCTGATTTGTTTCCCGCTCTGCAGGAGAATCTTCAAACCCTGGGTTCAGAGATTGAGAGACTGATTAAACAGCAGCGGCCGCATGAACATACTGTCAGCAGAAAGTGACAGCACTGGCCTCAGTGGAGGAGTGGGCACGTGCCAGAGGAGGTGTTCACTACAGGATATCACACCTCAAGGTGGACCAAGTTTACCTGGTGCTCTGAAGGACAGACTTTTGTGGTTATTAGCTCATAAAATACAAACACAAAAACTTGCTCATATATACACAAAGAACATGCTTCCACATTTTGCATGACAAATTGAATACAGAATAAAGGGAGAGCCAGAAAGTGAGTGACCTCTTCGAGGACTCTAGCTTTCCTCCATCTGCTTTGTGTCATGCCTGCATCCTATCTGGCTGACTCCTCCCTCCATGTGCTTTTTTACTTCAGCTCTCGCACACATGTCCAGCGTGAGCTGCTCTGTGGAATGTAGCTACTGCACCTGCCCCTTGTGGCCTGAGCCAGTCTCTCAAGCTCCCAGCAGAATTGCACAACCCAATGACTCGCAAGATATAAAGCCCCAGAAGGTGAATGAACGGGTGAATTAATTAATGACTGAATGAATGGGCATCCTGATGAAGGTACTTCCATTTTCCTCTAAAGAATTGAAAGTGCTTGACCCTGCTAATGTAGTCCTATTGGAAAAGGGGGATTCAGCGGGTAATGGCGCATTTTAGAAGCAGAACACCGCTCCAGACCTGCTCCTCTTTATTATCTCGCCTCATGGAGGCGAAAGCGTCTTTCTCTCGCCCATGATGTATACGTGCCAATTACTGAATGTGTTGCATAACGAGCAGACCCTAATGCACACTCCCACGTGTTCTAGCCTGAGAGAGAGTGAGGGGACATTGTTCTCCACGAGGTTCTCTTCCACCATTCGGATGCCATTTTCTCTTCGCAGCCCCTGTGAAGCACTTAAGCGAGAAAGGCCATGCCAAAAAATACAGCGCCTGCACTTTGCCCATATTAAGTGTCTTGTTACAGAATAATACAGATTAATCATAATAATTACGTCTGGAATAGTTGGGCGATCTAAGGCTGGTCTTTAGTAAGTGAGCTTATGTTTTTTAAATTTATTTCCTTGTCTAATTTAATTAATTTCTTATTAAATCAATATGTCCTGCTGTCCTGCTTGTTGAGAGGAATTCATCCTCTGCCTCTTGTCCTCTGTCAAAATTGCCAGTATTTATATTTTCACTTTTAGCATGCACGTACTCTTCCCCCTCTAATGCTGTTTGTGATTCCGTGTGCAAGACTGTTGTAAGACTGAATTAAAGAGGCAGTTACTCTTTTAGCTGCGCTTTGGAGGAACAAGTGGGAAAAGCCTGGTTAACTGAAGGAGACATTGTAAATATTGAGGGCACAAGTGCAATTCTGTTTTTTCCCCTTGATATTTGGCATGGAGGGTGACTTATTCTTTCCATGAAATGCACCTGAGCTATGATCACCACAGTTACTGTCCCTTTAAAAACCTAAAAAAAAAATTTATTTGCAACATCAGATTCCTTGGTTGGGTTCAAACCATGCTGCAAGCTTTCTGCAGAGCATATTGTGATTAACTGGAGAATTATGGCCTGTAGAACCCTGGTCTGCACACTGACTTAGAAACGAATGCCTCATTGGCTGCTGCTTATGGACTTCTTTCGTCTCTTTATTCTTAACATGTGTGTGGAAGTATGAAGGATCATTTGGGATACATCCATGTGTACAGGACCACTTCGTGTCTTCATTTGCGAGCCTTTGTCCAGCTCTCAAGGCTACCTAAGCAAAAGAAAACACAATTAGAATTAAATACCTGTGTACCACACTGCAACTTGAGCTCATTCAAGGCAATATGCTTCTCAAAATGCACAGTCTGCATTTTGTTTCTCCACTCTCCATCATCTCTGACATGCCAGAGACATTCCCTGTAAACAGAAAAGACAGATGAAGGTATTTATGCAATTTTGGGGAAACAAATATTTACATGGAGCCCTGAACTCCAGGACAAACACTGTCATATCTGTCAGTAATTCTTCAAGGGACTGTTTTGTAATTTATTAAATTGCCCATTGAAATGATCTGTTAAAGTATGAAATGACAAGAATTATCTCTTGAAGTATGTGTGTATGTGAGTGGTAAATCGTAACTGATGAAGTGGAAAAAAAAATGCTTGATTCTTTTGCTGGTCTGTCATCTATGCTCTGTTCGATTGAGTAGTCAGTCAAACTGTGATTATACATTTGTAGATACAATGTCATGTACAATGGTCTGATGTTTTTAAAGTTATGATTCTTGATTCCTTTCTGTATATATGGTGCTTACAGGGAATTAAAGAAAAGATGGCCATGTCCTCTGAACCTGTTTTAATTTGTTTCACTTTTGGCATCACAACTGCAAGATGCTACTCTGAAGCCTGATATCTTTCACGTAAGTGCCTGGGCACCTGGTGTTTGAAAATACCCTTGCTATTTTAGATTGAATTCGGGGTCAGTTAGTTCCAACAGCACAATCTGATTGGTTGAGGAGTGCTTTACCCGTGTTTTTTTTACAGCGTATCATACAGCTGAGCACAGATTGCGAAGTAACGTCTTGATTGCACTGCAGCTAACCATTACTAGCTTGTACTTTGGCACACACAAAAAAGAGTAAGTAGATACATTAGATATCTTCCATAATATAATACTTGACCTGCATAGTGTTTGGTCAGACTCTGAAGAAGAGTATGATGGCAGGACTGCATCAAATTCTGAACCTGTCTTTGCCCCCCAAGTTATCTTTTCAGCAGGCAGCTGTCTCGGCAGAACAGCTAAACTGAAATTAGCCAGACACTAATAGCAAACAAGATGGGCTGTAAAATGGTTTATAGACTGGCTGAAACAAAAAAAACATTCTATAACATTCAATAAATCTGCAAATGCTGAAAATTGTGGCTGAAACTGATATTGCAACAGTTTTATAGCTATATCTGTAATGCAAAAGGCTACTACCTTTTGAGGTGGAAGAAATTGCCTGTACTAAAGCACTTTTGATACAATCTCCAGAGCCTTTTGCTTTTACTTTTTTACTTTTTCACCCTGAACCCTGCTATGTAACGTTGACATAACCATACCATAAACATGTCATGGCAGATATCATACACTGTCATGAGATGTCAGGACAGATTTTGTTTGCTGATGTCATGACAGCTTATCTCACACGCTAATTTTTTGCTGTGTTCTACAGTTCGCTGTCATGAAATCAAACAATATAACATCTGTCATGACGCTTACTGGAAATGGTAACATGACGCTGTTATATTACTGGACATAACCTTTCCAGACAACTCATGACAGCATGTGACATCTGCCATGACATGTTTATGCCATGGTTATGTCGTTGTTATGCAACAGGGCTTAAGTAAAGCGTTTTTTTTCCTTCGTTTTTTGTATAAACGCAATAGAACACTAAAGGTTGTGTGTTATTGTGCATAACGCCTGTAATCATCTACAGAACTTGCCTTCAGCTTCTGCTTGCGACCCATCACTGGTTTGCTAGGTTGTGAATTCAGTCAATAGATTATTGATGCAGGGAAAAGGTATGATGTCAAGGTCAAAGACAGATTCTATCAGTGTTTCCCAGTCCTGACCCTTGCACTGCTTATTTTAGTGCTTTTCCTGCTTCCAGTACTACTGACTCAGCTAATTAAACTCTTCATGAGGTTAACATAGGTCTGTAGGATCAATGCAAACATTAAAGGAGGAGAATTGGGAAACGCTGGATTATATGCATTATGGGCGTTATAAGTTAGGCCTGTGTGTTCTTGTAGTCAGAGCAATATTACAAAACATGCAGCGATATCCAGAACAAACACGTCTCTGTTTGCTCTGCTCTACCCCTTGCCCTCTCACATAATATTAAAACACCTGCATAGTGTTTGTCCTCACTTTGTTTACATTGGTTTTGTGACCCTGACACAAGGGCATTGAAATGCAATCATGAAAAAACCCAACACTCTTTAAAAATAATGGTTCCTAAGTGGTTCGTGGCTTGGATGTTTGGTTGTCAGAAATAACTTTAATTAGTAGGACGGGGAGGGTAGAACTGAGTCCAGCACAGTTTGGAAATTTCCCTGTTTTAGCTCACCAACTATACCTGGTAATTAGCTGATGAGTTAAATTAGGTGTGCTTGAGCAGGAAAATCACCAAACTCTACTGGAATCTGGCCCTCCAGGACCGGAGTTCCCCAGTCCTGTAGCAGGAGTTTAATAATACAAAGTATCGTATCGTATTGTTCAGTACAAGCCCCCTTAATTCAGTATGCACAGGTATCAAACAACACATTCAACAGATGGAGCAAATACAGTACTGAGAAGCGTAATGTATTGAATCTTTGAATTTTGTATATCATTACACTCCTATAATGTGGTATAGAATCACGCTCACTTTTATCATTTAAGCCGTTTATCCTTGTGGATCATGTGGGGTGCTGGAGCCTATCCCAGCACTTACTGGGCCGAAGGCAGGAAACACACTGGACGGGTTGCCAGTCCATCACAGGGCAGACACACAGACATACACATTCACATTAAGGGGCAACTTAGCATCTCTGATTCACCTGACAGGATGTCTTTAGACTGTGGGAGAAAACCCACATAGACACAGGGAGGGCCCCAGTTGCCCGACTGGGGAATCAAACCCAGGCCCTTCATGTTGTGAGGCAACAGCGCTACCCACCCATTTGGCTACCAGCCAGGTTTGGTAATCTCTATGTGACTTTGAGGACCAGAATTGAAAAACTTTGTTTTATGGCATCGCTCTAAATGGCACCTTGCTAGTATTCCATTGGAGAATAGAGAAACTGCTGTCTTTCTCTCCTTATCAGAAGCAGCCAGCTCTTAGTACAGCTGAGACTCAGTTGGGGTGCAGTCTCAGTTGCAGAGAGCATCACGGCACTGCGTTACAGTTCTTTTACTGTGTGCAGAATGCGTTTGATAGAAGTTGTGTTATCGACAGCTCTACAAGCTACTATTGTCCTCAGCAAAACTACAACAGGACATTGAAGCCTTGTTGTTCACTCATCTTAAACTGTGATTTAGGTGGTGTGTTTCCTGCAAGCCAACAGCCTGCACTAATAATAGTTCTGTTTACCCAAGTGGCTGAATATGTGTGGAAAACAGAGAGACTATCACAATAGCAAACACATATGAGTGTTTGCCAGCAGGGGAATCACTTGCATAAACAGAGATATGTTCAGAAGAGTACAGCATTGAAAAGGATGAAAAATATGGACGTTCCCAAAATGTGTCCAGATAACAGCATGCAAGTTGTTGTATCTATTCATGAAACTCATTAAACACGCAGTTTCGATGATAGGCAGCACTTTTCTGTCTAAATTTCCATTTGGTGGCTGTAAAAATGATTAGGTTTCCCCCTCAATCAGACAAACTCTAGTTGGCTCTTGCTGAGTAAGTTCACTGATCACACAGCTTCTCTTTCTTTCTCTTTTTCTCTGTCTTTATAACTCTTTGCTTCTTTGCATCAGTACAGCAGTGAAGAAGGCGTCCTTGAAATTCAGCTCACCTGTGTGACATTTCAGTGGCTGCTGTAGGTGGTGAAATATGCCAGGTTAAGAGATGCTGTCTCTGCTCGTGGTGCCAGTGGGCCATTGCATGAACCCAGCTGGTGGGCTATTTTTAGTTTCTCCCGATAAGGAGCTCGGAAACTCATCAGCCTTGAGGACCTCCAGTGAATTCATAAGCCACGGTTAATGTCTACCACCAGCACAGTTATCTTGTCATGGTGATGGCATTCTCACTCTCATACAGATGATTAAACTCATATACATTACTAATATGAAATTATTAAATGCATCAATAATATGCATACATAATTCGTAGATTAAATTTATGAGTGACAATACAAATTAATTTGGTATACGAAGCATATACACCACGGTTCAACAGTTTGAAATCACTTGCCATATTAATCATTTTGTTTACAACAATAAATGTAATGATAAGTGGACTTATGGAGCTGATGTATAATCTACACTATATTGTTTTTTAGTGTTTTAGTGATGTTTTTAATAAATTTGATACATGATGAGCGTCATATCCATTATACCTACAGAAAATGGTGTCCCTGTTGCAGTTAAAAAGTTTAAAACCCTTTAAAGTAGTATAATTTCTTTTTGACACAATGTACAGTACAATCACTGTGTTCAAATTATGTAGAAAAACAAAAATCAACAAAAATGGCGATACGTTTTTTTTTTTTGAACAGCGACGATGCAAAAAGAAACCTGCAACCTGCAAAACCTTGTTTTGATTTTATTGTATTTGCGATGTCACAAAAACCAACATACTTAGATATATCCATCTGTTCAGCCCGTGGCAGCTTAGCTCTGCCCATTGACACTGAAGTTATAAGGAATGTTTCAGCCTGGACTGCTTTTTGAATCAAGCACAATACAGAGCAGCCAATCAGAACAGAGGTCATGCACATGTATCAGTCTAAAAGCCATAGTTGCAAAAACAGCTTGTTTAATTTTAAGGGATAAAGAGAGTAAAATGGTAACATGAAAATATTTTCTTTACATGGAGAAAAAAAAAAGAAAAAATGTGGGCTATCATCTGATATAGTGATATTATGATATATTAAGAAATTATTGTGATAATGAATTTTATCAATATCACCTACCACTGTTGAAATATAAGACATTCTAGATATTAATTTTATTATAACATGTTTTATTTTATTATAATTCGCTTTCATGATTTATGTTATACCACGTTCTCAGTCATTTTATGATCAATTACAGCTCTGTTCTTCATTCTAGATAGACAAAATTTCTTTTTTCTTTCTTTTTTTGTTTACACCTCCCAAGCTTACTTCTAATTATGTTAAAATACAAAACAAGCATATCAGACTTACTTTATACATTGATCTGCTGCAAATATTATGTAACTGAATATATTAGCTCCAACCATTTGAATAGTAGTCTATATATTTGGAATATATACTCGTATTCATGCTTCATCTGAATGTCAGCACAATGGGAGTACTTTTAAACTAACATAGCTTCATTCAGTGGCAGTAAATTTAGACTTTTGACAATACATTATAGTTACATGCTCAAATTATCCTTTACATAATATCACAGTGCATGTTCTCTTAAGGAAATTGTGCTTAACAAGCACCCTGCAGCCATGCTGCCAAATGGAAACTCAGACACATCGAGGAATGTTTGGAAGCCAGACAGATACTCAGGTACACACACTGCATGCCTGCCCTTCAGCACCTCATCAGACAGCTACATAGTAGGCCACTGGTCAGTGTGAGGAGGAAAATCACAGGGGTCTTATCTCTGCAATGTGCTAATAGCAGCCACCGGCTGACATAAAAATGTGTGTAGAGATTGGTGCTGGTCCAGACAAGGTGGTAATAGTCATGTAATGGAAGTTCATTTTAAACCTGATCTTTTGAATGTGCCTTTCCACTGCTATTAATAACTGCTTAAGTCAATGCAGTGAATACAAGGAACCAATTCATGTCAAATTATAAGATTACCAAAAAATTATAAGAAGACCAAAATGCATTTCATTTTTCACAAAAATGCATTTCATTTTCCCATTTTTTCAGTGCAGTCCTTGTGTGTCAATTATTTCTGTTCCTTCAGGTCAAATTTTTATTGAAAACAATAACTGCCAAATGGCCATTGCAGCATGTCAGCGATGTTGCATGCTTCCACGCTTGTGGCCATGGTAAAGAAAATGCCAAGATGACAAGGAAGCCTTCATTTTGTGCAGGTGTTTAATCTGAAGCATATCACACGAATGTGTTTTGCACCATAAGGGCCCTTGTCTGTTAAGCCGCCCTGCTGTTGGGCCGGATATAAGCTCCTGCCAAACAAATGATTACTAATAACAAGGTGGGACAGTGCCAGTGCTGATGCGCTGATGATGCAGGCAGTGCGGTTATTGTTTTTTTTTTTTAATTCTGCACTGTTGTGTTAGAACGGGTAATCACATTCAAATAAGGTTCATTAGCTAAATCAGACCGGCCATATTCCACTCAGCCTTTCTGGAGTGGTTTTAAATGTGCACTAAGCCTCTGGGGACAGCTCAAAACGCTAATGCATTTTAAAGCATCCAATCCTGCCATGATTAATAGCACACAGATGTGGACTCAAATAAAATGTTTCCCTTATGAGCCAATTCAAAACGGCAGGCCTTTACAGCTGCTTACACCTAGATTTTCACAGCAGAATGAAATGGTCCTATAGACTACTGAAAGGAGAGAAGGTTGCGCAGTTTCATATTTCACTCCTTTTACCCTCCATTCATGCTAAAGCCTTCCAACACCTCCATCATGAATTCAGTAATTTGTGTCTGTGCTAATGGTTAGTATCATTTGCTCTGTGATGGAGGAGGAACCCATAACTAAAGCTGACTAAGTAATTGCTACATCCTTAAGGGGCCTATATCATGGAAAAGCAAATTTTCATTGCTTTGTTGGAATAAAAGAGTTTAAGCCTTTCACTCCCCACTCCACACACTCTCAGAAATAAAGGAAGAAAACTGTCACTCAGGCAGTATCGCTCTTGTCACTGGGGTGGTGCCCTTAAGGGTACATCTCAGTACCTTTAGTCAGGAAACATTACTGTACCATAATGCAATGAAATTATATTTTTTAAATTGTATTGACTCCACACAGCCCATCTCGTCTCCAGGCTTTTTATTTTATTGTTCTGTTTTAAAACATTAGGTTACAAATATGTACTTTTCACCTGGAAAAACTTGTTGAAGGTGCACAATTGGACCCTCAAACCACTGTACTACCTTTGAGGGAACATTTACATTGTTTGTACCTTGATGAACGAATAATTACCTTTATTTCTAACAGTGTGCAGTCTATATATGGAAACTACGCTGCAAAAACGGTCCACAAAAACAATGCATTTACATACATCCACCTTTTCAGCCTACAGCAGTTCAGTCCCACCTATTCACACAGAGGTTATAAGCAGTGTTGCAGCCTAGACTGCTTTATGAACAAGACGCAATACAGGGCAGCCAATCATAACAAACATCACTTACATGTACCCCTCAAAAACTGCATGTTTAATTCCAAGAGATAAATAGATATCGGGAAATGGCCATATAACAATGAACTGTGACTGTGGATCTTAGTGAACAAATAAAATACAAGAAAAATGTAGGATAAGAGCCCCGTTAGTTTTTCAGTTTAATCTCTAATCTGCTGCAATTGTAGGATGACAATAATTTCAATGTGCTTTCCTGTAGTTTGTACACATATTGAGAAACTGAGTGAAAACACACTTATAACAGAAACTGCTTCATTATCTGCCCCACAGCTTCTTTAGAAATGAACAAGTAAACAAGTTTCTTGCTCTTCTATGAAAAATAAGCGAACATGTCAAAATGACTGTTTATGGTAATCCTCCATATGCTACAGATGCAGCAGACAGAGATAAGGCTGAAAAATGCTGAGTATTCCTTTGACAGCCCTAACTGACACAGCCTTCATTACAAAAGCAAAAGCATGTGTTTAAACACAGAGCTCCACTTTTGGGAATCCACACAGCTGTTTCATTATGTGAGTTTGCATAACAGTGGGCTGGATTTTGAGCGTCATGTCATTTTCTTGTGAAAGAACTTAATTCTTTTCCAGTCTGTTAGTTCAAGCTTATGTCTTTCCATTGATGCAGAAAATTAATATGTGTGGTCGAAAGTTTCATAACATGAATCTTGATTACCACTGCATCTGGACCAGTGTTCAGGTTGGACGGTAGAAGAATATCATGATGCCTTGTATGTATAAGACATGTGTGTATTATCATGGCTTGTACTATGATTTCAGTCAAATGAAATGCGCATCACTTTTTTTTAATGGCCTTCATTTGGGATGCATTAAGTCTATCAGAATTAGATCAATAAACATGAATATTTAATGAGTGCAGTAATGGTTGCAGTCTGGTAGACTGGACATTTGGTGGCCTTTTGAATGTTTCAATATTTAATCATGTCGATTATGGATATTCAAATATGGATGTAGTCTCACAGCTTATAAAAGTTTTAACTCTCTCAGTCTGACTTTTTTCTTAATTCCAGCTTGGTAGGCCAGAAACGAACATTAATGTTTTATTTATTTATTTATTTATTTTAAGTCATCACAAAGGTGATGCAAAAGCAAGGAAATGAAAGGCAAGGCGTCCTTCAAACAGACTACCTGAATTTAATGCAGGGCAAGAACAAAGGGCTGAGAGGATTCGTCCACTGTGTTTCCAATAGGACACTTTATTCCACACTCGTAAACATGAAGACCTTATACATTACATGAGGCATTGATACATGAATTACTAATGTAAGTATATGGCACTGGGCAGAAAATGCACTAAATAAAACAGAACCAGGCCTATTTGTGCGTCAATTGGTAAAATACTGAGCAACTGTTTCATAATTAGGCAAACTGAAGTATTAAAATATTCAACATTAATCTGACATTGAAAGAGAAAAGAAGCAGCTCACATTAGGCAAAAAAATATGGTGCAAATATAGCAATGAATCACAGTTCCCTTTATATGATCATTGTCCTGACAGTTCATCACGCTCACTCCATCAGCTACAGCCTACCTGGTACCAAATAAATACTGTGTAGTTTGACAAGGTTGTTTAATATAAACAATTTCCTTTCGTACAATTTGCACATTTCTAAGGTATGAGGTAAAGTAAGGCTGTAAAAAGGAGATTTCTTAAAACATCACATTCCTATGTACAATATGAAAGCTGACTGTTTCGTGAAAACTGCTTTTATAAATGAAAAGGCCAGTATTAGTGTAAGTGCTCAAAACAACTCGCAGGAATTAGACAGGGTTGCCAACTTGTGTGAACTTCCATGCAACTGGGCTATAGTTTCCATATTGTGCAGATGAAATAGCCTTGGGTATTAATATTTAAAAAGTGCCCCATTTTTAGACCTATTTTTCTTTTTCTTCCCAACTGCTGTCACTGACACAAACTAATTTAGCTGAGACGCTACTCTCATTCAGCCATTCCTTACTAGGCTAACAGATCGGAGCACAGAAACTGACCAATCAAGCAGAGGCATATGCGGTTGTTAACCAATCATGTGACAGTGTTAGTATTACGTAACCAGAGACCGCAACGCTAACAGCAGTTTCGCTGCACTGGGCGCGTCCAAAACCACATACTACACTACACTAATGAATGTACGACTAATGGCGGTGTTCTCTTTCACATACTGCTTAGCATGGTTTATACGGTTTTGGACGCAGCCCAGAACAGCAATTTCTGCAGGTTTATTTTCTATCACTTCATCGTAGAAAAAAGGCCTGAAATTACCGTGTACAGACAACACTGTAAAGAAACGCACTGACGCCCTTTTTCCTGCCTCCAAAAAGCAGTTCAGCAACATTCAGCATCACCACTTCGGCTACAATAGCTAACTAAAAATAAATAGGCCTGAAGAAACAAGCAAATGTGAATAGTTTTTTAAGTTTATTTTTCTTGAAAGGTGGAGGAGGATGTTCGTACATTTACAATTTTTTTCTTATTAAAACATCTACCATCTAAATTGTAAGGGGGCATTAGGGGGTTGTCTGCTACTGCGCATGCGTGGCTCGGACAGTGACTGCCAATTTTAGTCCTGATTTGGGCTTTAAATAGGGCAGAAAAGTTGGCAACCCTGCAAAGTCGACCCTTTCACTCACTGATCTCCTCGCCATCACAGCACATACAGGGTGGGCTCAGGTACTATGGAACGCCTGGTGATAAACAGCCAAACCGCAGAAACAGCTACAGTCATAGGCCATGAATGATAAAGCCGTTCTTTTGTTCAGTTCCCGTAGTTATTTTTCTAATTTAATGAGCCTTTTAACAGTATTTTCTTTTTCTTGTATAGAAACAATACGATAAGCATCAGCGAACACTGGAATGAACTAGATCTCTTAAGGTGTCCCATATAATGTCCTATAATACTACACTATCCGAGTCCTTCCTATGGCTGCAGTAAGTAGGCTGTTTGTATGTCAAATGTTTGGTCTATTTCGAGGCTCCTTTTAACCTAATTTGAAGTGGCAGAAAAGTTGGCAACCCTGCAAAATCGACATTTTACATTCTTTCAGTTCTCACAATCGCTGCACTTGTATGGCTGCAGTAAGTAGGCTACTTGTATGTCAAATGATAAAAAATAAAACACATTTCCCGACTCCCCCTCGTTCTGGAGTCCGCGCTTTCATTACACGCTCCATAAGGTGAGTCCTGTTTGCTCCTCGTCTGTAATCCTCAGTGCGGTCAGTCAGTTGTCCGACTCGGAACCTCAGCACCGGGTCGTGCTGCTGCCCTCGTCGCAGCGCGAGCACGTGGCGAACGCGCTGGGCTCCGGAGAGCTGACGGTGGGACGCCACGGGTCTCGCGCCCCAGCGGCGGCGGCGGAGCCCCGGTCGCAGCGCACGAGCGCCCTGAAGGCACGCCTGAAGTCCGGGCTGCGGCAGTAGATGAGCGGGTTGAAGGCCGAGTTGGCGTAGCCGAGCCAGTTCAGGAAGACGAAAAGGCCGTCGTCGACGGCGCGCGCGCGGAACACGCGCACCACGTTGGCCACGAAGAAGGGCAGCCAGCAGAGCGTGAACGTGCCCATGATGAGGCCGAGCGTCCGCAGCGCCTTCTGCTCCTTGGCGCCCAGCACCTTGGCGCCTCCGCCGCCGTTGTGGAAGCGACCCTCGCAGCGCTCGATCTTCCTCGATTGCTTCTTGGCCTCTCCGTAGACGCGCGCGTACACGAAGGCCATGACGACCAGGGGCAGGTAGAAGGAGATGACGGACGAGGCGACCGCGTACGCGCCGTTCGTGACGAAGTCGCAGCACTGCGGATCCTCGTAGCACGCCGTGTCCTCCGCGCGCCGCGACCAGTGGAGCAGGATGGGCGGGAAGGAGACGAGCGCCGACACGAGCCACACGACGCACACGGCCGCCTTGGCGCGCGCCTTGGTCAGCAGGCTCTGGTAGCGGAAAGGCCGCGTGACGGCCACGTAGCGGTCCACGGCGATCACGCACAGCGTGTCGATGCTCGCCGTGACGCACAGCACATCCAGCGCGATCCACAGCTCGCATAGGAAGGAGCCGTAGAGCCACACGCCGCGCACCTGCAGAGCGGCGCCGAACGGCACCACCAGCAGGCCCATGATGAGATCGGCGCTGGCCAGCGACACGATGAACACGTTGGTGAGCGTCTGCAGGCGGTGCGTGCGCGCGATCGCCAATATCACCAGCGCGTTGCCCGCCACCGTCACCAGCACGATAAGGGCCATGACCGCGGCCATGCCCACCGCCCACTGCTCGGGCGGCCCCGGGGGCAGCTCCGCGCGCCCGCGCCTCGAGCCGTTGCCGTAGTCGCCCATGCTCGGCCCGCGCGCTCCGCGTCCCGATCTCACGCTGTCCGCCGAGCACGCGCTCCCGTGTGGCGCGCCATGCTCGCCGCCGCGCTCCATCAGTCCTGCCCTCGAAGCGCGAGGCACGGGGAGAGAGAGAGCGCGCGGGGTAACGGAGCGGTGACGTCACATCCCGCCTCCACCAATCGCGTTCGAGCGCCTGCCCAAAAGAGGTGGAGCGTCTCTCCGAGCAAAGAGATGCTGAAGTGGCCGAGGCCAGTGCGTTTTTACGCACGGCTGGAAAGAGAGACTCAGAGCTGCTGTGGCTTTAGAAATAAAAGGAGACAATTAAAGGAGATGTGTGCTCAGCAGGGAGGTCAGCTTACTATTATTATTATTATTATTATTATTTTATTTTATTTTTTTTTTTAATATATCAGTGTGTGGTTGAGTATAGACTTCCAGCTCAGACCTTCAAAGGCCATCAAATGGTGGATATTCCAGTATTAGGGTATAACAGGATTGAGGCAGCCTTTGGGTGTAGTAATTACATCAGGAACCTCTACTGCCAGTTTATGTTTTGAACTTTTATGTGTAGCTTTTTTACATTGTGATCTTCCTCATTATATTTCAAAATCATTTTATTATTCAATTCAAAGCCTTCTTTTTGCATTTTTTCTTTGTTTTCGTTTTTGTGGAGCACATAGTGTTATTAATACTATTATATGCAATATATATCTGCACCAGGGTGGGCTAGTTCACAAACACTACGTTTAAAGACCACATAGGCTTCCTTTTAAGCTTAATCTGCTGATGTTCTTCATCTCGCCATTAAGGTCAGATGTGCTTTATCATCAGCAAAGGCACTTCACTGCACACAACAGAACAATGAGGAAAGATTAGTGCTAAAGTCTAATCCGATCCCAGTACACTGATAAAACTGATAATCCATTCCCAGTTAGCTGATAAACAACATCTTTCTTCTGAGGTTACCCAGAGATGACACCGTATGTTTGCTTCAATATTTGCAGTTAAGTCATCTAAACTTGTTCTGGAGTCATTGTAGGCATGTGATCTTGGAATCTAGATTGAGGTCTAATGAAAGTGCCCCACTAAGTGGCTGCTTATGGAGACCTACACACTGTAGAACAACATGAAGAGTAACATATTCCACCATGTGAGGCCTGACAGAACGAAGCAATTACTGAACCTTTGGACAGATAGGGCACAACCCTGCAAACTTCACAATGCACGATTCAGCTGACCGTAATTTCCAGCATGCCCCAGTACTTTCCCAAGATAAATCGCCACTAGCTGAGCTATAAAAAGGCTGCTTACTTTCCTTATGAAACCTAAACAGTCCGGCGGGAGATGTTTTTTTGCCAGCAGTAGGAAGCTGTTACTGTAGATAAGATCATAATTACCCCTCCTTATAGCAGGGGTGCAGGCCAGGCAGATTGGGCCAGTGCTGTAGTCATGGATAATGTCTCCCTCACATCTACATTCCAGCACTGGGGCCCAGCGGCGTGTGTCTCAGACCCACAGACAGCCCTAAATCCCCTCCAAGCATGAATACTATGCCAACCGTACTACACAATGGGGCTGGACAATTACTGCAGGAAAACGCATTTTTTTTTTTTTTGAAACAGATGCATTAGACAGTGTAGTGCTGCAGTGTCACCAAGACCTAATGCAACAGCAACAAAACCATTATAGTCATTGTTTTGATCTGATAAAGTCCTGTGACTGGAATAGTCAATGTTCCTAATAGGGAGTTTACCAGTCATGTTCCCTTTCTGTGTAAGCACTGCTGAGTCTAACCAATGAGCTGAAGCTTCGAGAGTCTCATGTTTCAGTTCAGAGCGAGATGTACTGATTTGGAAAGATTTGGAAAGTGTGTACTGAAATCATCCATATCCTACATTTTTCTTGGGTCTTATTTTTCTCCCTGGGGTCTATTTATGACATTTTAGTGATGTAGCTAGGATCTTAAGGACCCAGGTGCAAAAAATGAATGTGCTATTTTTACTTGCTATTGTTGCTCGTCAAACAAGTCAATACTCTCCACCCACTGGCATCTAATGTTAACCTTAATGTTAGACTACCTAGACTACCTATTTAAGATTTTGGAGTTAGAAACAATGAATACATCATGTTGCAAGTTGCCAAGGTTCCAATCTCTCTGGTAGTGTTGATGGAAACTCGCTGGTGAAGTATATTGTTAAGAAACTGGATCTTTCTGTGAGTCATAGGGGGAACAGTTGTGTCAGAAACTATGTGAAGGGCCCAGTTACACACCCACCTAGTAGCTATGCAGTTTTATGTACCAAAGATATGTCATAATTAATTTTTACATGACCATTTCCCTTATAGTTAAGCAGGCTATTTTTCTTACTGTGTGTTGCTGTCAGAGCAAAAGCTTGTATCTCCAAAATGATGACTCTAAAGGAGAAGGGAAAAAAATCTTAACTTTTAAAGTAAGTTAATGGAAAAAGTAATTTAGAATTACTTCTGTTGGTCCATTCATCATGACATTTTAATGCAATGTAAAGAGCTGCTGGAGTAAAAATGGCAAACATACAAAAGCAGTTCATTTAAAACAGGCTGCTGTTGCAGCAAAATGTCCATATCTGAACAAGGGAGTGAACAGTATATTTAGAAAAATGTTTATGCCCTACATCAATTTTTTTTCCTCAAAAAAGTGGAAAATTCAGTTTTTTTATGACATAGGCCCTTTAATGTCACTTGTAACTTTGTGCTGCCAAGAAAGCCAACTGAAACTGTCACTGCAGAGAGTAAAATAGAACAAGGTACAGCAGTGTTGATGCAGGTTTGATGGCTTCAGAAGAGACGTGTGCGTTGTGCTGCGTCGTGTCTGGTGAGGGACCTGGTGCCTTGTGTTGACACTGGCATGGAGGCTACAGCAAGGCCAATGGTACTTCATCATCTTAAGTGACAGCTTCCTGTTTATGGACTCAGTGTTTCAGGAACAGAACTTCGAGGGATGGGACGTGAAAATGAGGGAAACATTGCTTAAAGAGCGTAAGTAATGTCTGATGAAGTGAGATAGCCGATGAGTATCTCTCTCTCTATCCCTGCAACCCAACTAGCATTCTGACATAAAAATAAACAGTTATGGTTTTTAAAAACAGTGTATCATTGAAGGCTTAATTCACTGTAGATCAAATAAATGGTTATTTAAACACGACATGTTTCCATCACCTCCATGACTATTCACATACACAGTGCACCAATAACTCTTGGGCCAGGAGCAAACAGCAGCATTTTAGTAATTGAAACACCTTAAATTTCCATCCACATCAGTCTCATTACTTCAGGTTCATGTCATTTTAATGAAAGCCACAAGCCAAAATTAAGGAACAAGTGAATGTCTCCAGAATGTAAAGTACTGTTTTCATTTTCCTCTTCACTTCTCTCCATTATAGTGCCACAGCAGAATTCATTATTTATCCGTCTTCCTCTCTCATTCCCAGTCAGGAACACCCATTCTTATCACTGTGAATAACTGAATAAATAATGCACTCAGAGCTAAGGTGGAATATACAATAATTAAAAGGGATTTCGTAAGCGCTTCAGTGCCATTTGTGGATAGACACAAAACTCTTTAATGTGTGACCACTGTAAAAAATATATACAGATACAGGGATCTACATACAGCACTGAGCAAAAGTCCTAGACCATCCTTCATTTATTTAACTTTCAGTCAAAACAGTCAAATACAAGTTATTCATTATTGCATAAGAAAGGGTAACATAAAAAAACAGGAGTTTCTAAAGCTCAAAAAAAATAATTAAAAGATTCAGAAAATGTGACTCCTAACAAATATGCAAGCCAGCAAAACTGTCACCATCAGATGAACAGTACTTAAAGCTTTTATCTTTGAGAGACAGGAGAAAATTAAGCTCCACCCTTGCTTCAGATCTGAAAAAATCCACAGGTGTTTCTGTCCGTCCTTCCACTCTAAGAAGACAACTCAACGGTATGGGTCTGAAAGAATGTGCAGCTGTCAAGAAGCCGCTACTAAGAAAGAAGAAAATCTGCAAGCTGCTGGTGTTCTTAGAATAACAGACTGACCACCCCAGAGTCCAGACGGAAACATCAATGAATGTGTTTGGGATTACTTGGATCATTAGAAGCAGAAAATACAACCAACTTCTAAGAACTTTATACACCTTGTTTTGCTTGTATTACATTTACATTTAGCTGTTGAGGCTTTTGTATAATTTTCTGATGAACATGTTTTCTGCTTTTTTCCCTCTTGACACTGAAAAATGAATAACTTGCACTTCATGGCCATTTTGACTGGAAGTTAAATAAAGGAAGGGTGATCTCTGACTTTTGCACAGCACTGTTCATGACACTGTACACTCATGAACATCTGTATCTTGTTTATCACAGAATTTCCCAGACTTTTCCATTTATAAATACATCTGTGGACAGGAGGTTTTATCAGGCGAACACATATCTCTATTTTTTCTTGGCCCATAGCCTTTGAAAACGTCTGTTTGTTCTGCACACTTTACGTACAGTAGATAAACACACATAAACAGATGGCTAAAGGTTCGGTGAGTTAAGCACACACAGTAAATGTTTCACATAGCGGATGGTGTTAGCTCTGTTATGCCTTTTCTTACAGGCGACAGTCCGTTAAGTCTGGTCAGGTCCCCAGCTGCTCTATTAAAAACACATTCACATTACAGCGTGCTATAATCATCACCCTGCCTGGCATCAACACCAAAGTAAGAGTCCAATTAACACAACACATAATCTGCCTTTACACTGCGTACGGAGGAATTCACCTCACACACACTGAAACTGATACTCCTCTACATGCTAATGTGAAACACACACTACACTTAACAGTGAATTTAAAACCTCCCAGGCTACCACTGAGACCCACTACTGGCGTGAGACTGCATCTCAGATTTGCACCTGCCAAATCTGCCGTGGACAACTGGCTGGCATTTGAAATGCTCTGTTCAAGAAAAACTTACTGTCAGAATTCCCATGTAGAAAAAAAATGTATGGACATTTATTTTTATAGATTTCAAACACATTTCTAACACACTGCAGTCCATGCCTGAAATACATTCCAAACACAAGGATGCATTTCAGAATATAATGCCATATGAACTAAATATATTTTTAAAATACATTTATTTCAAAATGTATGAGGAAATATTACACGTGAAAGTGTACCATACAAAAATAAATGTATGTAAATGTATTTATTTCAATATATTTGAAAATATCAAAATAGCCAAAATACTTGTTTAATAGAATTTACTGTTTGGAAACGCCTTTTGAAATGAAGTTGTATTCCAGTATCGTAATTTTAAATATTACCAAATAAACCTTTAACATGGCAAAAGCAAGTGTTGTAGGTATTACACTGTGAAAATGCAGTTCCATGATTTAATATATTTTTATTTGAAATGCATACATATGTCAGTACTGTTCATTCAGTTCATGCATACTATCTGTAACCCTTGTTAAAACTACATAAAAATGCAAAAATATAACAAATAAAATAAATACATTTTTTGTTAAATGTTATTTTTATAACATTGCAAAAATGAATTTGATAAATACATTTGGAATATATATTTTTTTCATATGGGTTGTTCACAATGGTGGTGAAAGCTCCCTCAGAGAGTTATGGCACGAAATGGTTATGAATGATTACAGAAGTTTTGGCCTCAAATTTTATTTTTCAACACCATTTACGGTAGAAAGGTACATCTAACCTGTTCTAAGGTACAATAATCCCCTAAGAAAACTTTTTTTCAGATTTACCACTAAATTATCAACATATTAAAATTCAGAAGACACGTATGGGTTCATTGGTTATTTTGGATAGTAAATAGACATTCTTATAGTGTCACTAAAGCTCTTCTTTATAACACTGCCTGCGGGGCACTGTGAGGGCAGTGAAGGGGGCTGCAGCATTGATGTAGGATTTAATGGTGCACTGCCTGCAAGCCAAACGTACTGAAGTGAAGAGGGGCAGTGAGGGGTGTTTATAGTGATGAGAAACCCACACAAACATACACACACACACACACACACAAAGATTATATCAACAAAGCTCAGCATGAAAGGTTACCCTTATCAGCTTAGCTTCAAAACTCTCTTTTTTCCTCTAACTCCTTGCAGATTTCCTGTAAAGTAGTTTGGCGATATAGCTCTCAAAACATTACGTCATATTTTCTGAACAGGGTACTGTGCTTGACAAAAAGGCTGCTGCCACTGTGATGTCCAGGATGAGTGTTTTCCATCATACTCTGCATTTCAGCCACAGTCAAGTAGTTCCAAATCAGTCTTACTCACTCAACCTGACACAATCCATTTCTCACTCAGAGAATCGGAGCAGCATATAAATCACAACAGCACTTGGCTACTCTGTCATTTCATGCAATTCACCAATTACCACTAATTCTTGTTGCGGAGAAAAAGCCTAAAAGGCCTGGCCACGTATTTGCAATTCAGACACTCCTAAAAAATAGAAGTGTCAAACAGGCTTCTTTGAAGCGATACAATCTAAGAACCACTTTAAGTGGATTTTTGGAAGTAAGATATGCAAGTTTGAAGCATGTGTTTAAAGCTTGAGGAACCTCCACATAATGTAAAGATTGTATATAAATTTAGAAACCTTTAATTTTCAGATCGTATGGCATAGTTTATGCTGGAGTGCCATATATATCAGGAATATTATTAATTGGTTAATTGACAATGACAGAGTTAACATTTCAAAGCATATGTGTAGAATCTTTCCACCATTTTTTAAAATTCTATCATTTTTAAAAATCGTGCATAATTAAATCATTAAAATCACTAACAAAGTCATTCAGAGTGGTTTGATGTAAAATGGGCTGTTCTAGAGAAACTTAACTATTAAGGTATGTGCAGAGTGCTGAACTGATCCAGACATCTGAAGCATTCAACGCTTCTACCTTACAGATAGTCATCACATGAAATGGCTACAAATGTGTTTTGCTGATGTCCAAGACATTTTTTATGGTAGTAACAATAGCAGAATAGCACTCAAAGAAAAGCTTCAGATTTACAACTATTTTACCATAATCAGCATTGCATATAAAAACTTGAGCCATCTGAACTGTTCAAACTGTTCCCACCAGCAATACTGATAGGAACAATTTAATGCCTTTAACATCTCCCTTACAGAAAGTTATCACAGAAATGATTAATATGTTATTTTTAAAAATATAATTCAAGACGAACAGGTACTTGCAGGGTGTTGTAAGGCAAAACAGTTCCCAAAGAAAATGTTTTTTTCAGATTGACCTATTTTACAATGATCAACATTACATATAAAAACCTGTGTAGGATTTGGATAGTGAATAAAATGGCTATATTTGTGTTGTATATATCAGGTTCCCTTCGCCACAACTGCAAAAAAAATCAGAGCTGGGAAGTTTCTCAAGAATGCACCATTTCACATCAAAGTGCCTTGAATGACTTTGTTTATCTCAGTGACTGAATTATGCAGGAAAAATCAGTGGAATAACCTTTAAAGCTGCCTCACAGAACATAATAACATGAAATGGTTCTGCTGTCTGATTCCAGAGACATTGTTTTACAAAAGATGGTTTTGATGTAAGGCATAAAAGGGTAAGAGCACCCAAAGAAAACATTTTTTTTCATATTTACCACTATTTAACCATCAGCATTCCATATAAAACTCAGAAGACAGTGTAGGTTGACTGGTCATTTTAGATAGTAAATACAATGGCTATATTTGATCGTACACATTTCTACCCCATCACCACCACTGTAATGAAATCTCAGTCAACATGCACCATTTCACATCTAATAACTCTGAAAGACTTTGTTTACATCTCAAAAACTGTATTAAAAGGAAATTTTGAAAAATGATATTCATGTAACACAAGGAAGCAGCATGGCTACTTTGAGTGCCAACGCAGGCCATCAAGGCTGAACAGATAAAAGTGCACAGTCAGCACATGGGTGAGTGACGGGTCATAAATATGTAATGAAACTGGTCCGTGATTTCAGACAAACTCAGGTTACAAATCAGGGAGGCATCTAATTCCTAATGGCATGCAACATGTAGTTACATCGCAGCACAAGGTCATCATGACATCCATATACTTTCACTTGCTGTTTAACAAGCAGTTAACAGGATAGAAACATTCATCTGAAGCATCACTTTAAACTGAGATACAACAAATCAGCAGACACTGAACGAATAGTTGAATAGTAAAATAGTGTTTATTATATTAATTGCTCCAAACTTTCTGTTAAAGCGCAGAATATACATGCTGTGTAAAAAAAAGAGCTGCCTCTGGAGGATAGAGAGAAAGCCATTAACTGTGAGTGAGCCAAGTCAGAAACATCATCCTGCGATCTGGATCTGTTCAAGCAGTCTGTAAACACGGTCCATAAGTAACTTGAGTCCGAACTAAATATAATAAATGTAAAGCGTAATGCCAACTTAAACTTATTCTTGCAAAGCTGTTTTCTTTTTCCATCATATTTGGGCTTTGCCTTAATTGCTTATCACTCACTCACAAAAGAAAATGAATGAGTTAAATAAATGTTACTTGACAATGTACAGTAAATATTGTATACAGTCTTCCATTTAAAGGCACTTAGACCTTGTAAACAAGCACTGAAATGACCAACTAAATAAGTAACTCAACTGCTTACTATTACTCAACAGTAGCATTGTTGTATTATAGAATAACGCATAGAGTGAAATTCAAGCAAAGTAATAAAGCTATAGCTTTATAGACTGAACAGCCCAGCACCATCTTCACCACTGCTTATAGGCTCCTTCTTATATGCTAATATGGCTCTGATTACTTGGCTATGCATACTGTGTATCATAATGAAGATGACTAACCATGAACAACATCCAAATACACTCATACTTGAGAAAATAATGCTCATTATATCCTGACATTTTATGAATTCATTACATTGCCACATACTGGCGTTTCCTTAGCATAGTGAAGTGCTCTAAACCGGTCTGTTTTCTTCCTTTACCTCTTCAAATGTGCAGTACTATCTATGCTAAAACAACTGTGTGAGAATATGAATGCGGTTCAAACCGGTTTTGAAAAGATGTACTAAGGTAAAAAAGCTTCTGCTGTTTGGACTTCACTGAAAAGATAAGGTACATCAGATTAGAGGGGGGAGAAATAGATGTCACTGACTGACTACACAAAGCCTTGAGCCAAACAGAGCCAATGCAGCTAGATAATATGCACTTACTTCTAAGAAAAAGGCACTTTGTTCTGGATTTTCTAGCTCTTTTGAAACTACACAAAGACATGATAATCAGATTCTTATCAGTGGACATGTGCTCACTCTGTACAACAACTGTCAATTCATATGCACAATGGCTTAAATATGTATACTAGGGATGCACAATGATATCAGAATCATGCAGGTATCTGCAGATTGATGCTTCAAAATAAAATGTTGGTATTGGGCAGATGTTTAGATTCGGCTGATGTAACAAACTGATTATTACTTGAGGACGTATTTAGTGTATCCTGTAAAAGCAGGACATTTAGGTGACACTGGGCTAAAAACATCTCCATAGGTGATGGAGAGAAATCCAGGTGGATTTTACAAATGTTTATGAACAGTCTTATGCAAATGTTTGAATATCCCTGGTCAAATGACATATTTTGTTGATTGTCTAAGTACAAATAAGTTAAAACAGCCTCTAAATCCATCCTTAAATATGGCATTTTTCTGCTAATGTGCAATGCACAATTTCTGATTCGTTTTAGTTGCCGTAAAAAAAAAAAAATTAACAATTTTTGCACAGGCCACATTTATAAATAAATAAATAAATAAATAAATAAATAACTTTGCAAGAAAATGTGAGAAGTGTGCTAACTTATTTTCACTACAACCAATCAACAAAACATGTACATTTGTCCAGGGCGCACAAACTTTCTATCTACATCTATATCGACAGTAGCATGATGACACATGCGTATGTACAAAATACCAGAGAGCGACACTGGCCCAAAATTCCTGTATGTACTGGTGCATCCCTAATGTGTATGTATGTAACATAAATTTAATTCTTTGCTTTATATGTGTGTTACACAAGCGTTTCTCAATCCTTGTCCTCGGGTAGCCCCTGTTCTGTGTACCTTAGTGGTTTCCTCGCTTTAAAATCACCCCACCTTATTTTGCTGCTTAGTTGGACTGGACACAGTAGTGAAGACAAAACCAAAATATACAGGGCAGGAAGACTCCAGCACCAGGGTTGGGAACGCGTTACAGTATTTGTAGCTACACGCTGTGCAAAATAAAGACAAAACTGTAAAATGACAAGTGCTTGTTTCAGAAAGCATGTGTTAGCATCACGGCAACAGTGCCGTTCTTGCGTTCTGAGCCAATAAGCAGAGGCTGCGTAAAGGACACCACTTTCATCATGCAGGCGCCTCCCTCTGAGAGGCAGCAATAGATCCAGGCGCTGAGGGTTAGCACAGGGTCTGTGGACTGAGGCTGAGCTGGGACAGAGCAGGTGATGGAGAGAGGCTGGGATAGATCGGCGATGTCACCAGTCACAGCCTGTCCTTCCAGTAACCACTCATTACCTGCAGAGGACAAGAACACAGTGAACCTCAGTCATAAGTCAACAGCAATTACTGCAAAACCACTGACTGACGATTCTTTAAAAAGACCCTGGACACTGTGAACGCAGTGTGTGTGTAAATGAAATGGAACATTTCTCCTCCAGCTGGTGAGGTCGCTTAGCATACACACAGGCATGCGCTCGATAAGGGTGAACATCTTTTCGTGTTGAACAGGAGCACCCTCATTTAACAAGGCTGTTGACGCGATCTGAACCGAGGGAGCCCACTGCACTTAGTCTGCAGTGTCTGTGTGTGCGTGCTACTGGCCTTGTACCAAGGGCATGCAAGAAGACAAGCGCCAAACTGAATTAGGAGAGCCTCCAATCAAACACACACCCTAAACACACGGGGGAAAGGAGAGGGAGCAAGCCAGGCTGAACACAGAGACACACAGAAAATCAAGGCTGCAGATTTTTTATTTTGTACTTAATACCATGATTTTATCGGACTCTCGTCCTTTTAAAAGGGCACACTTCAACACAGGTAAGCCACGCTAAAGAGATACTGTTCACACTGCCATTACCCATCAATCAAATACGTGAAAGTTCTTTATACTTTTAAAAGGTTCTTCACACTCTCATATCTCCTTTACAAAAATATTCAACAGTTCTTCTATAGTACTGTTTATCACTTTTTTTCCTTCTTTCTCTTCAAAGAGTGCATATGGTGCATATTAGTCATTACTATCACACGGCTATGCCACAAATAGACACTTATAACACAACTTACATACAGTGCAAAATAGGCTAATTCCCTCACCTCCCATGTAGTGAGTTGTAGTCTAAGGTAAGTTTGTCCAGAGCAGATATCAGATTATAGTGAGTTAATGAGTTAAAGGGAGAAAAGAAAGTGAAAGGAAAAGTCAGGATTAGACACTGACCTAGCCTAGTATGGAGACTAGCTCTTACGATTTCACCCAACAACAACAACAACAAAAAAAAGATTTACTTCAGATGTTAAACATGGCTCTTAATAAAAGTGAAGGGACATCTCAGAATAATATGCCTCGGCTAATCGACAAAATAGATTATGCATTCAAATTGTTTTTAGTTGAAACAAATATATATATATTTACTATAAAATAATTATACACACACTATAATTATATATACTACAATTTTTTTATTACTATTCGCAAATCCACTTTTTACACATATGGAAAAAAAAGTTTTGATTTTAATAAGAACAAGCCTTCAGCATTGCATGGACGTGTTAAAAAGCAGGCCAACCAGTTTTAATAGTTGCAGTCCAAGCAAATGTGCATCAAGACTGTAGCAGAACAGTTCATCTTGCTTGTGGCAGAGCACAAGTTTATATGACAAGAAACACGTCCACTACAAAAACGTGGCAATTAAAGTAAACATACGATGGACAGCTGAAAGGCTGGGGAATGACAGAGTAATTTAGGACAACTTAGCAAATGTTTATAATTTATTGCTTTTGTTCATCTAGGTGTAGCCTAGTCTGTTCAAGCCGGTTTTGTTTTGTAGAATGTGGTGAATCCAGTGTGTGCTCCTTTTATTTGCAGTGCTTCAAAGAAAAATGTTGATTTTATCGTCACTACTACTAAAAGAATCCATTTTCAATTCCTTTTATGTCTTCTTCCCGCAAACTCAGTGTGTTTAAAAATTGCATCAAACTTGGTGAGGAGGTTCCACCACATTAAAAATTTTGTCTAGAAAAATCAGACTTGTGGGGATGGGCCTAAAGTAGCTGATTTGAAAAATGTGCACAGAGTTTACATCTTTTTAAGTTATTCAACACTTTTGTTTGAAGCTTTAAGAAGGTAGTAAGTGAGACCTGGGGTGTATTTTTGTTGTTGCCTCATTTTTAAAACTGCCTGCCCTTGCATGTTATACAAAAGCAATGATTTGGGATTGGTTATTTGCATGTCAGTCAGACCGCCCTTCCCTGGCAAAGCAGGCAGTTCTCTTCGCCACGTTAAGTGCCAAAATGCACCAGACTGGTGTAGTGCTCATCATGAACATCACGGCAATTACTATCTACAGTCCTCAGGGACCATTCCAGCTTTGGCTTCCTGAGAAACACATTTACAAGTAACTGGGTCAGTTAAATTAGTTGTGCTGTAATTGAACAAATGAATAACAGGAGAATCTCAGAAGGACTATATTGAAAATTGCTAATGAAAACATGGGTTTTATCTTTAATATTACTTTGATAATGTTGGAGAGAGAGGGAATCTGTGCAGTAGTAATAAAAAAATGATGAAGAGGGAGATGAAGAAATAAAGAGAGAGAAGGTGAGGGGAGGAGAGAGAGCGTGCTTGTGTTCTGAGGCCCAGTGGAATCGTTAATTTTTTCCTTGGACTCTCTCCCAGTGTGGCCGGCTGGTCCCTTCAGCCTGGTGAAAATGTGTGAACAAAGCACTCCAACAAACAACTCCTTCCAGCAACGCTTAAACCCAAGGCTATCCAACTCCCAAAGGATGATTTACAATGAAACAAAACCTCACAAATCTACTTTATATCATATATGTGGTTTTCTTATCCTTCTGTTTCCTGTTATTGGACGAACAGACTCTAAATGTTTTAACAGAGATAAATATAGAAACAGTACCTTCAGCAGACAGACTCCAGAAGCTGGGGGCCTCTTTGGTCAGTTTGGTCCCAGCAGGTAAAGTCAGGCTGAGGTTCATACTGATGTCCTGCCCTGCTGACACTGGCAGTGCAGTCATACTGAGCACAGGGGCTGACTTAGGCAGCTTGGGAACCTTTCTGACTGCAGTGGTAGGGGCAGTAGTGATATGAAGAGCATCCACTTCCTCCACTGAAATAGGAAACTGGAGGAAGACATAAAAAAGTAGAAGTGGCCAATATGAAGATTCTCACATATCATGGTATTTTGTTTTTTACATATTTACATTTACATATATCCAGCTACTAAAATGTAGCAGCAGCCACTCATACTGAAGTTATAAGGAGTGTTTTAGCCTGCTTTTTAAATTATATATATAAAATTATTATTATTTTTTAAGGCACAATAATAAAATAAGCCTGCTTAATTCTAAGGGCTAAAGAGAGGTCGGAAAATGGTCACGTAAAAAAAGTGAATTGTGGCTGTTTTTGGTACATAACCATACACAATTGTCATTAGTTCAACATTTAATGCATCACTATGTCCATTTAAGCAGGACCAATTGTGTTCACTTGGACTTCCAGTACTGTCAAAATTTAAACTTGCAATTTTACACAGACTGAAACCTTAGACGCCTACACTTTGTGGTGAGCTCCATCTAAACCGCTGTTTAATAAGACATGCAGTTGGTCAGTGCACTTTAACTACAGACAATACCCACAATATGTTCAGAAAAGCTTCTTTTGACATGATTTATTGTAATAACAATATCATATCATCATGTCAAAGAGAGAGAGATGGAGAGAGACAAGGATATGTTTGCAGAGAAGTCCTAGATAGCACAATTAAAGCATCAATGATTTAGCATGACACACAGCCAACACATACACTACATGGATAAAAGTATTAGGACACCTACACATTACACCCACAGGAGCTTTTATGACATCCCATTAATATGTTGGTCTCCACTTTGCAGCTACAACAGCTTCCACTCTTCTGGGAAGCCTTTCTACAAGATTTTGGAGTGCATCTGTGGGAATTTTTGCCCATTCATCCAGAAGTGCATTTGTGAGGTCAGACACTAATGTTGGATGACAGGGCCTGGCTCACAATCTCCGTTCTAGTTCATCCCAAAGGTATTTGACAGGGTTGAGGGCAGGGCTCTGTGGGCCAGTCAAGTTCTTCTACACCAAACTCACCCAGCCATGCCTTTATGGACCTTGCTTTGTACACTGATGCACAGTCATGCTGGAACAGAAAGGGCCTTCCCCAAACTGTTCCCACAAAGTTGGAAGCATGCAATTGTCAAAAATGTCTTGGTCTGCAGAAGTATTAAGATTTCCCTTCACTGAAACTAAGGGGTCTAGGACAACCCCTGAAAAACAACCACATAGCATTATCCCTCCTCCACCAAACTTTACACTTGGCACAGTGCAGTCAGGCAGGTAATGTTCTCCTGGCATTCGCTAAACCCAGACTCGTCCATTAGACTGCCAGAGAGAGAACTGTGATTCGTCACACCACAGAATATGTGTCCACTGCTCCAGAGTCCAGTGGCGGCGTAATTTACTCCACTCCATCCGACGCTTGGCACTGGGCTTGGTGATGTAAAGCTTGCATGTAGCTGCTCAGCCATGGAAAGCCATGCCATGAAACTCCCAGCACAGTTTTTGTGCTGATGTTGATGCCAGAGGAAGTTTGGAACTCTGCAGTTATCGAGACAGCAGAGCGTTGGCGACTTTTATGCGCTATGTGCCTCAGAACTCAGCAATCCTGCTCTGTAACTTTACGTGGTCTGACACTTCGTGGCTGAGATGCTGTGGTTCCTAAACACTTACACTTTTCAATAATATCACTCACAGTTGATAGTGGAATATCCAGGGGGGGAAGAAATTTTGCAAACTGACTTGTTGCAACAGTAGCATCCTATTACAGCACCATGCTCGAATTCACTGAGCCCTTTAGAACAACCTATTCTTCCACAAATGTTTGTAAAAGCAGACTGCATGGCTAAGTGCTTGATTTAATACACCTGTGGCAATAGGACTAAATGAAATTTCTGAATTCAATGATTAAGAGGTGTGTCCCAATACTTTTGTCCATATAGTGTACGTGTGTTCATAAAACTCCACATTCACCACTCACCAGGGAGACAGTTTTTGTCTCCAGGTCCAGCACTTTGATGTGATGGTTGTTGGTGTCCGCTACGTACAGCACCTTGCCCCCCTCAGCCACACACAGGCCTCCAGGCTCGTTAAAGCTGGATTCTGTGAAGCCTGGGCCAAACACATCGCTCGCTTCACCAGTGCCTGCTAGCACCCTGCACTGCTTAGTCTTAGGGTCCACTACTTTGATCTGGAACAGAAAGCCATGCTTTGTAATACCCATGAAAAGACATCTGTGTCTGCTCACTGCATGACAAATGTGAACAAATACAGCGTGGAACTTGTGAAATGGATGTCACTGTAAGGGAATAAAGTTCCAGAAAGTACAACTTTATTCTCTTCAGCAGACAGACCTTGTGGTTGTAAGAGTCGGCCACATACAACAGGCTGCCGCTTGCATCCCAGGCCACTCCTAATGGATGCTGGAGCTTGGCGTCTACACCTTTACCATCCACATCTCCAAAGGCGAAAAGATTCTGTCAAGAACAAAGAGAAGAAACAGGTCTTTAAAAGGGCCCATTTCTTAATGTGATTGTATTCTGACTGTGTGGGTTTATGTAGCAATTATAATTATTTTACATTAACTTGTTCAACTTATCTTTATCCCTTACAAATAAACAAGTTTAAAAAGCAGTCTGGGCTAAAACAATTCTTATAACTTTGGCACTAATGGGTGGATCTAAACTGTTTTAGGCTCAAAATATCGGGGATATATGTGAATGTGTGGGTTTTTGTGACATCAACAAAATAATGAATTCCAAATAGTTTTTTGCACAACTTCTAGAATGCTTAATTGAAAATTTAAAAAAAAAAATTTTTTAATTTGGTTCTCCGTGATACGAGGCCTTTCAAGGGCCCATATCATGCAAATCCCAATTTTCCTTGCTTTTTTGAAGAGATTAAAAATGTAAATTCACCCCTCCATACAGTCACATATTGAACTCCACAGCCCATTTAGAACTCCCTGTTTTTTGCGTTAAATAATCTGCATATCTGACAAATTAGCCTACAGTAGTTTAGCCCACATCCATTTGTGCTAAAGTTATAAAGGCCAATCACATGCTGACAAGGCTGGGCATCAGGTGTGGGCTCTGAACGCCCCACAGTGGCGTTGTCATTCTGAGCAAGTCAACATGCTGAACCATTAAATAGGAGGAAACCACACCAAGACAGTGAGGTCATGCTCTAATGCGTCTATGAGCATGGCAAATTAGAAACGAGCTTCCTTTGTCACTTCACTCCGTGGGAGTCACAGCCAGACTTGTTTAATTTACCAATCAACTCATCTAACGAGGCAGGAAAGAACATAATTACATACAAATCTATCTAGCAAACGCAGAGTAATACAATCCATTCTTATCGCCTGCCAACGGAAAAGGCAGGCTGTGGGACGGAAATCTCACATCTGAAAAATGTCCTCATTATGGGGTGGAATTGAGCAAAATACTTTTTCGTCTAGGTCGCCTTGGTTCAGTACATGATCATAATTGCTCCCCAGCCTCATTTATTAAACGTCTCTTTACACTACAAAGTGGTTTGGAAAACCTGCATTTTTGCCTGAGCAAACTTGTAAAAGTTTAACACAGCACATCGTTATAATGCCTTCAAATCTGACATGTAATCGCTGAAATAATTTATGAACCCATAAAAACTTGAATCTCTCCATGTGAGATCCATTTTTTAAACTGATCTGGATTACAGAGGGTTTTTTTCCCCCCACTCATAGAGTGGTTGCCAGACTCTCCATATGAGAGAGGAAGACAAAGTACTGCAGGGTAGAGAGCACAAACTGATGCTGATTAGGAGCACCGAAAGGAATGGCTGGCCACAGCGCCAACAAGGCAGGCACAGAGAGAATCACACAGCTCTCATCAGACTGCCCTTCAAAGCAACCCTACATGGAAGAAGAAAGTAAGGAACTTTAATTCCCTTCTGACAGCATGAGTTCATATCATTAACAGCATATACACCACATTCTGAAGGATCTATAGGCGACAATCTATTTTATAATAATGTTTTTAATAATTTAATGTCTTTAAAACAGGTAAAAAGTAGGTCCCTATTGAGCCAAAAGCAAAGTGTGCAGGATGCGTAAATGAGAAGGACACAGCTATCCCCTCTCCACATCATGATGGATCAAGGTTAACCACGGATATTGACTTTTCCTTTGGACCGTAAAAAGCACACTAGAGACTTTTAATACCAGTTCAATTTTTTGAAAGACTTAACAATGCAATGGGCCAGGTATTTTAGAGCATCAGTGAGGCACACACAGCAGCTATAAAAACTGATGCTCAGACTCACCAAAGGGTCTCTCTCGCCTCCCACCACGTGCTTGACAGCCCCATCGCTCAACGACAGACTTCTGATGGTGCTGCTCTCACTGTCGGCGATGAAGAGGCAATTCCACGGCTGGCTGGGGGCAAGGGCAAGACCTGAGGGCTGAGCCAGGCCAGCCTTATGTGGGTATGCATTATTCCTGTTCTCCTCATTTCCGCTGCCTGCAAAACGCACACACGTGCCTTTTCCATACTCACTGCAACGAGAAAAATGAGAAAAGTTTTATTACACTGATCGCACAAAAACACATTGCATTTCCCCAAGTCCACTTTAGGTTTGTGTGGTTTTATTTACCAAAAACAGTCCCAATTCATGTTTACATGACCATTTTTCAACTACTTTTTATCCCTTAAAAGGGCTGTTTTTTGCTACAGTGTCTTTAAGACTGATAAATGAGATCTGTTCTAATTGGTTGCCCTCATTCAAAAGGCAGTGAAGGCTGAAACACTCCTTATAACTTCAGCAAGAACAGTGCAAAACTGCTATAGACTGAGTAAGTGGATAAATCAAAGTCCTTGTAGGAATATCTGGTCACTCAGCAGTTATTTCTAGTTATACAAGACTAGGCTACTATCTGTTTAAATGGGGAGAGACCCCCAAAAATCCTAAATTGAAAGCCACTTTAATTTTTCAAAAACGTATTTAAAACCACTATTAAAATCTTACCTGTATATACACACACACACACACACACATTATATATATATAAATTGCCATATAAAAATCTAAAAACGAATGGGTGGAGCTAAATTGTTTTAGGCTCAAAATATTGGCAATATTTTGCCATATAAAAATCCCAAAATAGTTTACATTTGGCTCAAATGTGTTTTTTTCAGGGTGGGCTTTCCCGCTTGAGGCTTTACCAAAAAGCCGACTGCCTCTTTTCTATTGCTCCATAATTAGCAGATGCCAAGTTGAGCAAAGTTTGCCATTCTCCCATTTTTCAACCAATGAACTGTCTCCTTTATAATACTTCTGGATATATGTAGATGTTCTTGTGACAGCACAAAAACATTTATTTCAAAAGCTGTTTCTGCAGCATAGTTTCTAAATATTGACTTTACTGACTGGGGATTGGAAAATATGTTTTGAAACTAACAGTGTTATCAGTTGTAAAAGAAGATATGAAAACGACATTTATAAAAAAAAAATGAAAGATATAAAAATAGATGGTATCAGTAATACATTACTACATTAGAATCTTAAGCATTAACAGAACATTTTTAACAATGACTGTAAAAGCAAAAAATGATTTTAGAGAAATATTTCTAACAATGGACGGCAATGTATACACATGTATGTATACAGACTGAATTAACTCAATTCACAAATGAAAAACAAACTGTGTCCCATGGCGTAACATGCTGAGCACCAGAGAATGACATCATATCGGTGGCCTGTGTATGAGCATGTTGCCATGTCCCTAGTGGGCAAACAGTGAAAGCTCTAGGGAAGATCTCACCTTCCTTTGGGCAGCTTCCCATCCTCCAGGAACACAGCCCAGATTTGATGCGTCCCCACCATGGCAATCCACAACACGTTATCCTCCATACCACCTGCAGCAACACACAGACACATACATACACAAACCAGAGTCAACATTCTGAACAGTACATGCTCATGCTAAACATTATAGATCATTCCTCTACACTAATACCACCAGAAACCACCTTTTTTGGAATTACAACTAAATTACAACTAAACTCAAGGTTTAAACATTCAAATGTGTTGAATACTAAGATTTGCTATTCTGATATTAGCATTCAACATCTTGTATGAAACAGAAGAGCATTATCTCTTATCTATAATATAGCCATCATTCTGCTGAGCAGCAGTTACTAAGTAATGACTCCCTTTACACTGCAGCTAGAGTGTTACAGTGTTAGGGTTACTTTAGCACATACAGAAATGGAAAATTGATATATTAAATAATGTTAAGATAATATTTGACCTGCAGCCCATTTGGTCATATTTTAAAGAGTCTGACAGCAGGACTACAAATCTGGATCTGTTGTTGCCCCTAATCAAGCTTTTGGCCGGCAGCTGTGTTGGCGGAACAACTAAACTTACTGGAATTAGCCAAAAACGTACACAATACAATTTAGCAAACAAGATGGGTTTGGAACAAAATGACATTCAGGTTAATGAGGCAAGTACTGAAAAAGCTAAGCTGAACCTGGTATTGCAGTGATTTTGTTGCTCTGGCCTTAACAAAAAGGTTCTAGAAAGACATTGGTTAAGTGAAAGCAGTGACAATGGGGTGGTCTGCTTTTTAGCATTTTCAACTAACATGCACTACTATAACATTAAATAAGGGTGCTGGATGTTTGAAGGGGTCCAACTCCATTGGTCAGATTTTGAACATCATGTCATTGAGAGAAAAAGACAATCGCAGACCTGAGTGAGTTAAATTATTTAGCTCATGTCCATTAATATACAATGAGTGTTTGGGTGCATCAGAGTGTGTACATGTGCTGCAGTGTCCAACAGCACAGTCCAGACAGCCATTTAATTCCATTTCAATTAACTAAGCCCTGATGGGGAGTGTCTGTGTTCTAGACCATTCTACAGCTGTGGGTGTGTGTAGGTGTGTGTGTGTGTGTGTGTGTGTGTGTGTTTTGCGACGAATGGAGAATGATGGCTATTGCACTTATGTCTAACAATAGCTGGCTAATGCTACTATGATTATCTGAGACAATTTCAGTTGGCTTGAAGCCCAAATACAGGCATTCATGAAAAAGAAAGATGGAGAGAAAAATGGAGTTTTCTTTTTTTGGAATTACAACTAAATAAAAGGTAAGGAGAAAGTGATACAAAGATTAGGAGATTATTAAGCAAAGTTCCTAGGCAGCGATGGAAACTTTATCAATCTAGGCATTGATAAAGTTCCTAGGCGACCAAACAAGGTGTAATATGATAACTATAAATACTAGATTGCTTACATCTCATTTTCACAGATGTTTGCACAGTATTGTTTGTGTGTATGTGTTTATGTATTGTGTGTATATTCATTCTCTCTCTCTCTCTATATATATATATATATATATATATATATATATATATATATATATATACACACACACACACACACACACACATACATACATACATACATATATATATATATATATATATATAGATAGATAGATAGATAGATGCATTATATTACAGTGGGCTAAGTCTATTCAGTCATATTCATGGGCCAACTTTGGACTGACCTGGTATATATGATTACAAATTTAAAATAGACAATAAACATACGTGCCTCAAGCATCGTGTGGCTAACTTCAGTAATATGATGGTATGAGACTCAATAATATCCTTGAATGCACAGTCGAATAAGGCACTGAATCACAGACAGAGGGCAGAGAAATGGAGCAGTTCTGTTTAACTAGTAGGTCAGCTCAAAGCTAAGGAGCTGCTGAATGGGGAGGATAAATGAGTGCCCAGCTGGCCTGAGAACAGAGCTAATGGACTACAAAGATCAAGAATCAAAACACTCTCCCACTGAAACTGACACCCAAACACACGCCCTTCCACCACAGAACAGCAAAGGCCCAACCTAATTTTTCTGCTTCTGATGACCTTATCCATTGTGCATTCATTAGCTGTTTATGGAAACAGTATGCCTGAATCACCAAATGTCCACAACAGATTTCTGATTGTATAAAACTGAGGTAATATTTTAGATTCATCTCTGTTTTGAAACGACACCAAATCAATCAGCACAGATTTATGCGATGTCATCTCATCTTATGCGTCATACATTTTGCTTGTCAACTGAGTTTCTCAACCAAGATGAAAAACATTTCACTTCATAAGATTAGCTGTCCAAGAGAAATGCTAAAAAAACCCAAATGCTGTGTGGACCAGTCGCTTTAGACGAGCCAAACACATCAGGTAATTTGTTCAAGACGGCTGTATTAGTTCTTCAACTGGCCATGGTCCGTTTGAAGCCAAAGCTCGTCCAGGAGCGCTTTTGATCTCATCATCTTCTGCGCTCAGTGCAGACAACACAAATGCATTCATCACAACGTCCGTTGCTAGCAACCAACAGACTTAGTTGTTTACTTCTGGGCTGCTCCAAACAAGAGTCTATTCTATGAGAACAAAGCCCCACTTTGCTCAGTCACACTCCTCACTCAGGGAAATGAAAGTCAAAAATGGTATCTACAAAGAGAGCTACAAAGAGAACTTCTAAGAACTTCAAACAGGAACTGTGATTAGGATAGGCCAAGACAGATGAGACTGATAGGGAGATTACGTTGTGGTGAATAAGATGAAGAATAAAAAGATCATAAAATTGCTCCTGGCAGAATAATAAACTGAGGCTTTATATAAGACATTAAATTTTATGAGTAAGACTGAAAGAAAAAGATTAAGTGACCCTAATTCCAATGCAAGGAGGGAGTACACAAAGGAGAAGAAATATTAAGACAGAGCAGGCAAAGTGCCAACCTACGACTCAGCAAGAAGCAAAGCAGTCAATCTTCTCATATGACCCCTTTGCTCTGCTTCCTCCAGACCTTTCATGATCCCCTCATTTGACCTATAGCATGCTCTCCTTATGATTTTCCTGGCTGTAGTCCTGCGTACTATGGCGCGAGATTCTCAAGTAAGCAAGCCAACTTCTGGATTAACCCTGGGTATCATGATGAAGACTCAAAATCTAGCCATCTCAATCACCATGACAACTTCCTCTCCACAGCTAAGCTGCTCTGGGCCTCCTAATGTTACTTGTTAGCTCAAATGAGTAGAAAATAATTGGGTCATTAACCAGTGAAATATGAGAGAAAATGAGAGATGTGTTTTGATTAAAGTAATTGTTAAGGTTTTAGTAGCAGTAAGAAGTAAATCCTTGTTACCTTTAATGCCAACATCTCCTCGTTAGGTGTTACCAAACTTGTGTGTTGATGATTTAGAAAAGGAGCATAAAGGCTAAATTCACATTACAAGGTTGAAGTAGCACCTGATCTGATATTTTGCCCTGTGACGGACCTGATTTTTTCCAGAGCTGTGTGAATGCAAAAATCTGATCTTTTCACATCAGATTTGAGCCACTTTCACATGTGCTCCTATGCCAAATACATATCAATTAATGGCCAAGTCACAGTAATGATAACAGATAGATTGGGATGTATTTTACATTACATAGCCAAAAGTATGTGGACACCCTTTATAATTAGCAGCTTTGCCATTTCATCCACACACACTTCAAATGGGTGCATAAAAAGAAGCAAAAGAAGTAGTTAGGGGTGGGTGATATTGCATAAATATATCTATAAACATTTTTTACAATCACAATATTTGTTCTAATGAAAAGGATAACACTGAGGATAACACTTCAATTTGATTGATTTAACATTCTTACCTAACTGATATGTATTTGTTAGTAATGGTGGGAAAGAGCATGTGCCAGATGACTGTAAAGTTCTCACCCACAGAGCCAAGGACTACATCCCAGGGGGAGCTGATTGGCTGCTGTGGTCCCATTGCCCCGCCCTCCTTGTCTGTGCCTTGTACTCCAATGCCAGCTAAGGTGGTGACTCTTCCCTTTGAAAGGTCAATCTGATAGAAAAGAGGGAGTTTTACTGCTTTAAACAGAGACACACGATACAGCATGATGGATCTCATCTTTACAAGCATCAGTCAGAGAAGTAGGTCAAAGCCCAGTGGAACAGCACAGAGCTGCCCTAATTCTTCATTTACCTTCCTGATCAGATGGTTCTCTGTGTCAGCCACAAACACGGTGTCTCCCTTTATGAATACTCCTTGAGGAGAGCTGAACAATGCCTCAGACAAGCTCCCATCCTTCCATCCACTTCTAGATCCTGCCATAAACAAGAGAAGACTGATTTAGCATGTAAACAACATTTAGAAAACCTAATTATCCTCAAACATCAGTTAAATAATAATCTGAAGAGTATTCTCACAAGTGTAACCAACTACACCAAAATTAAAAATTAACTGCGCTGTGTGACATTTATGCACTTCATAATTCATATTGTTCCCTAGAGATTCAACTGTTACAAGAAGTCATGCAAAGTACTGTACTGTGAAAAAATCAGAGACCACCTTTTGATTTCTTCAACTTCCACTCAAAACGGCCATTAAGTACAAGTTATTCATTTTTCAGTGTCAGGTAAAAATAGCAGGTACCATGTAACATAAAATTACACAGAAGCCTCAACAACTATATGTTATATTTATTTCAGTATTTAGTGTGTCCACCATTTGCCTTTATTATAGCTTCTATTCTTTTCAGGAGACTTGCTTTCAGTTTTTCAAAGAAATCTGCAGGGATGTTCTTCCACACCTCCAAAGTTCAGTCTTAGAAGTTGGTCACATTATCTGCTTCTCATGATCCAAGTAATCCCAATCACAAATTTAGACTCATCAGCCCATTAAACTTTACTCCACATCTCAGTTGTCTAGTATTTTTTGTCTGTTACCTTTTCTCAGTAGCAGCTTCTTGACAACTACACATCCTTTCAAACCCATTGCGTTTAGTTGTTTTCTTACAGTGGAAAGATGGACGGAAATGCCTGTAAGTGCAGCAAATAACTGCATATTTCAAGGAAATTTTTCAAATGTGGACAAGTACAAAAATTGGCACAAACCCTCCTTGGGTATTTGTCTTTAGATAAAGTCCATTAGCCGCTCATGCAAACAGAGCACTAGGTAGGCTAACATGCTAACATGCATGGTTCAGTATTGGCGAACAGTTTTCCATCACGGAGCTCCAAGACATTTGAAAACTGTGCAGTATATGATGTCCTCCCTACAACAGAAGCTTATGCTACAAAATACAGAAGACCAGACATCATGTTTGATGTCTACCAGAAATCAAGCTTGAAAGTTGAAACTAGGTCAAAGCAAAGACATGGAGTTGTTAGCACTTTTACCATCAGCCTAGACAAGGCAACTCCATATAGTCATGAAGAATCTGACAAAAGGATCTTTTCACTGGCTGTGATGTTTCAGCCTTCTGTGATAAAGTTACGAAGACTGCTTGGCAAACCTGTAATGTATTGGATGAGGTTTCTAATCTGCAGCAAACTCAGCCAGTACCCACCAACATAAGATTATAATGACCTGAATATCTTGGAAAAGTTAATGGTCATGATATATATCAGATCCAGTAGAGCTGAAGGTGTTGATGATGCCAGGTTGGAAATGTCTGCAAGGAAACAAAAGCTGTGCAAAGCCACATTACTCCATATGCAGCATATGAAGCATGCGGCCTACCAGGTGGGCTGCATATGGAGTCAGTCAACAGTACACCAGCCAGAAATACAGAGTGGACATTCTATGGTGCTCTGCATTAGACTTTTGCCTGTTTCATGTTATGTGGCAGAATTGATGTGGATAAAAGGTTTATGTCTTCAAAATGTGCAAACATGATGAATATTCTTATATGTTGCATTGTTACATCATTCATGATAAATGTTTTTCTGCAATTATATCATGTTTTAAGCATTATTTTTCACATTTATTAGAATCGTCACAAAAAAAAGCTCTAAAGAAATGTAGACATCCTTGTACTCACAAACACAGGATTCAATTGCAAAATCATTAAAATTGGTCCAGTGGGTAAAATCCTGTGTTAAAATACATTTTCTCTATGAAGGAAATGGTGGTCATCTTATAAAATATCAGCCATTTTAAAATTTCATGTGACTAACAGGATTTTTCAATTGAACATGTTTCAGATAAACATACCAATTTTGGTGCTTGTAAACGCCTTTGAAAGATAATTACAGTTATCTGCTGCACTGTGTGTATTTTTTTCAGATCTGATGCAAGAGTGGCGGTTTTAAGTAAACAGTGGACAGATTAATCTAATAGGACAGATTTTACATTCTACTTAGTGTCAGAGGCTTTCGCTTACTTTTCTGTTAAATATTTCCTTCTTTTTTGACTGTATATACCAAGATTTTTTTTCCCCACTGTGTCCCAGGCAACAAAAACAATTTGCAAAGTCCAAGTATCATTTATCTAGTCAAGTAGTTGGTTATGTAACCCATCCCTAGTGAACACTAGTGCTGCTTACCCCCTACACTGTGTAGGATGTTTCCAGTATTGGAAACCACCAGAACCCTGTGGTGCCCTGTATCTGCAATGGCCAGCTTCTTGCTGTTGGGATCCACTGCCACCTTTCCAGGGAAGGAGAGGATGGATGAGGATAAGGAGTCCCTGTAGAGTTTTATTCCCACAGCATGGTCTCGGAGCAGGCCCTGCTCTTTATAGTGCTTAAGAGCAGCAGCCGTATAGAGGAAGAGGCTTTCTCGGTGGCCTTCACCCACCAGAGAGAAGAGCAGGTTTCCCCTGGGGCCCAAAATCACCAAGGTGGGCCAGCAAGCCACCTCCAACTCCTGCCATAGCCGTGCATCACTGTCATTCACGACTGGGTGGGTGATGCTATACCTGAGCACTGCGCTGCACACATTCTGTAGAACCTTCTCATTAGGGAACTTTGCTGAATGAACACCTACAACAACCAGGCCATCTAGGAGAGATTAGAATGAGAGATAGAGAGAAAAAGAAAGGAACAGGGAAATGATGATTAAATTGATGATGAATCATCAAGATCAGCACCTTTCCCATATTTTCATCATAAAAAAAAAACAAACAAACAAACAAACAAACAAAAAAACGATTAATCCATGACCATGCAGTTGACTCGGGGTGTGAACAACTAGAGACACAGGGATCAATTTTTTAATAACTGATTTCAGTTCCAATTTCTTTACAGCCAAATTAGCCAACTGGTGATTTTTTGGCCAACTTTATTGCTTAGTTTTATTTATTTTTTTAACCTGAAGTTCTCACTCTGTGGCCTAAATAAATACATGAGCACACAAGCATCATTTCCAGCATTTACTATTAAGTAAAGTTGCAATATATATAACATGCTTTCCTCTTTATTTTATTTCATTTCTAAAATGAAAAACTGGTTCATATTTAAGTAATACAAATCAAATAAAAGGCTACATGGAAAGTAAGCTACAATTTGGTAGAGGTGTAGCAGCAGCATATAAATGCAGCATGAGTTCATTTACCTGTATAATTTACATCACAAAACTGCAACACAGATTTATCAAAATCAAAATAATAAACTGGCCAATTGCATGTTTGGAGCAAAAATCTGCTGATGCCAATTTCCTAGGCAAGGACAGCAAATTGTACAGTGGGAACTCAAAGTGCATCACAGGCATGTGTCACACATCTATTAACTGTTGTGCGTTTTGGATTTCCCCTTTTCCTATGCTGATAAAGGCATTAGGAGTTGCCGATGTAACAGAATCCTTACCAAATGGGACACTCACAAGAACATGGTTCAAACTGTTCAATCAGTTAGAATCACTAAAGTGTACTTCTTACAAAAAATTGACCATGACTAATACAGGTAAAGGCAAAAGAAATGAGATTTTCCCATCAAAGCCTGTAGGTCCAAGAAGTTATATGTGTGTGTGTGTCCTGCAGTAAATCTGGGTCTCCATAATATTCAAAAAGGTCTTTAAGTGGGGAACTTAAATGTTTAATTGACTAAAATGGGAACCCAACTCAAAAGAGAACAAAAATGTACTGCGCCATAACAGTGAAGGTTTCTAAACAAAGTATTTTTGTCCTTTTTAGAGGAATTCAATGCTATATAAAGTACAGTTCTGCCCATCAAACAATGCATGGATGTGTGACTGGCATGTTGGTGGATGTCTTATTCAGGCTTCGTATGAATTCATCCTGTTTGTCTGAGTTGTCAAATGTTCTCCTTGGTTGACGGTTTCTGAAATGGCTTTTTGTCTTCATGAATTTAAGGCTTTCTTTTCATTCAAGACCTGTCCATTTTTCAGGCGTATATGAAACATTGCAGACAAAAGGCCTAGTTCTTCCTTGCTAAAAAAGCTAGAAGATGAGACAAGATGTAATTAACTTTAGAGTCACAGTCCTCAAAAAGAGAGATTAATCAAAAGTGATATTTTTGTCTTTTTTCTTTCCGAATTTGGTCATTGACTGAGCTGTGCTATCACCCCAGGAGAGCTGTTTCCCTCTGAATAAAATTCCAGGTTTAAACTCTTCCTCAACTCAAAATATGTAACACTTCGTTCGTTTATTAATTTATTTGATTCCAGTTTTTTTTTATTTTTACTTAGTAATTCCTTTCCATGAGGCAAGATAACATTAAGCATACTTCTTTAGTATTTTGATGAATAAAGCCGATGGGGTGCTTTCATATCAAATGGAAAAGCAAATCCCATCAATGATGAACAAGACTTTTAATAAAATGCCCATGCAACCCTCAGGCAGCCCATTATTACCTAGGCATCGCTTTACATCAGCTTTCAGAGTTTGTTTCCCTTCAGCCACTTTCTGTTCCTGTTGCTGTATGCTCAGCCTGCCTTTTGTCTAATTCAAGTGAAATGTCAGGAGAAGTACTCTGCCTCGTCACTAGAAGCGACATTCTCCCATTCTGTGTCCTCGGGGTGTGAAACACAGCTATTGATGAATGAAATGGATAGATGGCGGTTTCGGCATTCAAGCTTCAGCCGTCCATCAAAATATTAAAATTCATAGCCTCAGCAGCAAAGAACTGCAGACCATGCAGACCACAGTGAAATGGAGGTAATTTCAGCATGTTTGTTCCCTTTTGAATGAATCTGAAATACACCTGGCGCTGCTGAATATACAATGTATGCATGTTTGTAATTTCTCTTTTGTCCATGCACAAGCTAACTCACGCCCAGGAGGAATCATAAGTCAAGCACTGTTAAAACCACCACTGCTGCAATGAGATACAGAAAACTCTCCAAAATGCCCACACATGGGTTTATTTAAGCATGTGCACTGCAACATATAACTCCTTTAACTAAAAATAGAGACAGTCACCTGCTGTGTATGACTTCAATTGTAAGTTTAAACTGAGGTAAGGTCAATGGCAAGGTTAAACTAAATCAAAAAGTGCACGAGAGATGTAAATAATGTCATCCAACAAACTCCTGTTTAAAAAAACAAAAAGGGACCACATGACCTACTGAAGCCACTCTTCTGCATTAAAAGCTGCTTCTTAACAAACTTGCTAAAATAAAACAGTGTGGGAGTAGAAGGGGCTTGCGCATGTTCTGCTGTACAGTAACAGAATGTACTGAATTCTGTGCCAGAAGAGGCCTTTGTAACTTTTGAGATAGGACAGTGAGTGGGCTAAGGGCTGACTGGTTTGGCCCGTTTCCTTAAATGATCCTACTAAGGGGCTAATGATGGGCCACTGACAGCTAGAGCTGATAGGACTTTTCTCAGGGCTGCTATAATAAGCTACCAGCCAACAAAACATTCATGCTCTGTGATGATCTTGCTTTAGAAAAGTGATTAAGAACCTCAGTCTAGGCCAGGGGAGTCAAACTCAACTAGTAAAAATGCCATATTAAAAAATCTCATCGAATCTCTGGGTCAGAGAAAAAAATGTTTTTATTTAATTTTTAATTAATGTTGTGCTATAACCCAAACTGGACATTGTTCATTCAAAATATGCAAGAGACCTTGTAATATTACATGGACACTTGAAATATTCAAAAATTCTAAAACGGGCTAATATTAATAGAAAATTAAAATACTTCAAAATACGGGATAGGATTGTGTGGCGGGCCAGGTCTGGCCCGTGGGCCTTGTGTTTGACACACAGGCTCTAGGGGATACAATGTCTCCCATAGTTTCCATTAAAACAGCCATTTACCTCATGAACTCAATTATCAAGCCCTTCACAAGCTGACTCAAATGAGTAAGAGAAAGAAACTGACTTTGCAATGCTGAAACATAGTTAGTAAGGGCAACTGTTCACTACTGTAAATAAAACTGACCTTGATGCTTGTTACCCTCAAACATCACTTTACAGGTGAGCAAACCTTTTGAGCATATAACACACAATGTGGGAAAATGATGCTGGAAGCAGTAGTGCCATAAAAAAGAAGGAAAGGGAGCTGGTTGCTTAATTTACATAAAGATGTGATCCTTGATCCTATGATCCTTCCCGTCCCATATAAAAACTAAAAAGAATAGTCTACAAGCTTAACAACCATAACAACTGACCAACACCATTCAACATCTCATCTCTTCTCAACAGGCTTTAAAGGCATTATAAGGATGTACGTACATTTGAGGGCCAATAATGTCATACGGCACTACTTCTGTGTGTGTGCGTGTGTGAGATTACCCTGCAACTGCCAGTCTTGTACTTGAGAGTGGCTCTAAAAAGCTCAGGGTTGATTAGTCCAATCTGTGCAATTGCTAATTCATAGGTAAGCTTAAGATTTTATTTTGACTGTTGCGGTGCATTGCTCTCCATCATCAATTATTAGAAGTGACAGGACCAGATCTGTTAGGGAATGTTGGCATTTTGACACCTTCTTGCTAGAAAGTTTTTTTGTTTGTTTAAACTGCAGAAAATATCCTCTAGAACTGAGAAGAATAACACCCAGAATGCACAGTAAAATCATGACATTATTTGGTCTGCACATGGACAAAACACCTTTAAGGAGCATCAAGCATAGTAACTTGTGTCAACTTGGTACAGGCCTACGTAACTTCAAAATTCTAATGTGGGTCTTCTCTGAGGTGCAATACTTCACTGCCTTAATTTCAAAAAGCAGGCAGAACTGTTTAAAAGCCAACCTAATATTGTTTAAGTGACATGACAAGGTTGATGGCAGTTAGCATCACTTCAGAACTCCAATTCCCCTACAATATTAAGAAATAGGAAAACATTTCAGAAAGTTTTGAGCATAAACAAAAACATATAAAATGTAAGTTGACTATGGATTTATTCTGACATTCCTACACCTGTTGATTAAAGGCATGTAAGTAGCTGGCCTTAATCTGAGAAACAATGCTTCCTCAACCGATTGAACTCACAAGCAGGCATTTCCGAGATCAAAATGCGTTCTCCATCAAATGTAAAGGGTTCCCACACCTTCCCAAACACAACATTCCAAAATCTTTTCATGACTTCTCACTGACCCTTTTTAAGATATCTAACGAACATGGAACATGGCAGAATGATGGGAAATATAGTCAAGAACATGTACACTTAGTAGTGCTAATTACCAGAAACATTAAATACACTAGCTACATAGTTCAGAAATTTAGTGTCTCATTAAGAGCAGTCTAAATCAATTTCTGAAGAGATACAATGAATCACTTCATAACTTCGTAACATTTAACAGTTTTACTAAAATTCAACTGCATATCTGAAATTTGAAATGGAAAGATGCTCCACTGTCTGGGCAAGTGTACTGATGAATTACTCTCTCTGACTTTAACCTCTTGACCTGCACTGGGGATGCAAGAGGACGGTGCTAAATGCATGTGCGTATACCTTTAACAGTGTGAAGTTGCTCCAGTTGGTGCAAGTCAGGCAGTAGGTGCACGCAGTTGATGCAGCAGTAGGTGAAGAAGTCCAGCACCACCACTTTCCCTGCCAGCTCCTTTTGCAGAGACAGAGGGCCCTCAGTGTTCAGCCATTCGAGTCCTGCAGTACAACACTAGAGTCAGAATGCTCCACCAACACCACAGAGACATTTAACTGACAACCACCTGGTATGTCATTCTTTCAGAGAGCCACCCTTTTTTTCTTTAATGCATGAATGACAACAAAAGGACTGCATAAGAGTGAAGCAACAGATGAGCTAAACTGTCGTTACAACTTTCTGGGAAACTGTTACTTTGTAATTAAGCCAGTCAGTTCAGGTTCTTGTTGATTCCCAATTGTATATGAGCTCCACATCTCTGAGACGAAATCTAAAGCCGTTCAAAACGACGCTGGATTTCAAAATTGAGTATTTTTAGGGCACTGATTGAATTACTGCAATACCATCAAGCATCCAGACATTCTGTGCCAAATGTCATTCTTGTTAGCATCATTCAGCCAATAAGCATGTGTGCTCCAAATTCTAGACTGATAGAACAAACAGAAGAAGTGTCTCTAGACACTCCCACCACACATTCTTCAAAATCCGAGACAGATGGGTTAGACTCTATGACAAGCCTTTGGGATACATTTTTGTAACCTATTGAACAGCAAAAGAATTTGCAAAACCTCTGCATGTTAATGATTTTTGCACGTTAACAACAATACTGCACAACCAAAAAAACTATGAATGTAGCTGTTTCAGTTGATGTTATCGTTTGTGCTTTGTCTTCTTTGTGCACTGTCTTTGCACTGTGTGTATGTGTAAATAAGGGCAATATGTGTAATCCATGCATTTATTATGTATGTAGCACCAACTCACTGAAGTGTAGGACAGGTACTACTGCCCTGTCCCTCTGCTTCTCACACAGCACAGTCAGCTATATTTGATGAGACACAGTGAATGCTCTATAAAAGCGGATCATTTGGAGTTATTTCACTAAATAGAGAGTTTATGTGACAGTTTATTTAAAAACGATGCAAAGCTTTCACATTTTAAAATCCACTTTTTTACTTTTTTTTTCCACTTAAGCGCTTACAAAGAAATCCCAGTTTTGAAATATCTGTATTGGTATCGTGATATCAGCCTTAGTATTGCGTATTATCAGATCGAAAAGAAAATGACTGGTGCTGCCCATCCTAGTGACTTTACTAGCTGAAAGGACGTCTTTATCGCTGTGGGAGGATTTCCACCGATTGTTCGAGATATCCGCGTAATGCATGCTGGGTACTGTAGTAAGAGAGAGGATATGGCTGGATGAGAACGCAAAAAGAATACAATAAGTATAATAACATAGTACATGACATAGTAAATGCTAGTGTCAGGCCAGAATGCCGCTTTAAATGGAGATAATAAAAGTATCGTTCAAGAACCGGTGTTCTTACGAAGTGTGCTACTTTGTCGAAATGTCCTACCGTAGCGCCCTAATGAACTGTTTGATAACCTAAATGACCGTTTCAGAAAATTTTACCAGCATTAAAATACGTAAGTAGGATATTTTGATAATCTCTGTCAGAAAATGTCACCAACATTACAAAATAATTAAGATATTTTGATTATCAGGGGATAAGTAGTTCTGTTGAGTCTGTAACGTTACTGAATTAACTTTAAAAACAAAATAAAACGTCTGAAACATTACTACACTCGACTAATGATGTGCGCATGCTCAGTGGGACCATTAGGGTAGGGCAAATCGTTTCCCCATCGGTATCGAAGTGAATGTATTGCTATCAATGCCGGAAAGTGAGAAAGTGAACAATACTCAGCTCCATAAAAATTGTATTTGTTTTTAACCCCGAAAAGTCAGACAGTAATCGCGACCCGACCCGCTGCTACAGTAATGTTAAACTCCTGTTTTGTTCACTGTGTCAGATGATTCATTAATTTCCACTCCAACCTGGCTCAAAATCAGGAACCCTCAAGTCTTCCCTTTCATCCAGCTTTCTTAAGTACTGTAAGACAAGCTTCTCCTTCTCCTCTGGCGTAGCTGCGTCCTCCAGCCCGTAGTCTAACTGGCTCTGAAGTGGAAACAGAGCTGAGAGGCTGCTGTAGGTCGCCATGTTTCTGAGCACAGCGGCAGAGGGAAAACACCGCACAAATTCGCGATCGGCACATTCAACATGTACAAGAATTACACCGTATTTAAAGCATTAGTTACCAAACCACAGTATAATCGTGCAGAAATATATTTATCCCAAGAGAAGTTGTATACATATATTCAAAATATTTTGAAACTTTATAACCAAAGAAACTTTGTTTGGAATATGCTGATTGGGAATGTGTTATGTGTTCTTTCCTCCTTGGCGGTAAGTGTGTTAGGTTAACAGGGAAAGTACAGTTGGAGACGTTCTTGTAAATAAATGTTAATATAAGTGCTTGTGTTGCACGAAACGTTTTTAAACGAGAATGAGCGCCGATATAACGGGATTGCAAACCACGTCGCGACTGTTCTGTGTGTAAAGTTATGCTCTTTGAAGCAAAAGCGTAGCTGCTCCTGCTTATGGCTGGTGTGTGTCCGTGGGATCGCCGCTTCTGTGTGAAATGTCACAGAGCAACTCAGAAAGTGACATCTGGGAATACAAATCTCTTAAGAAGACCAAAAAGCAAGATAGGTCGAATTCCAGTGAACATGCCGCTAAGAGACAGAGGGTGGTCAAGCAAGGGGCGTCAAAGAAAAACTCAGATCAAAACATTAAGGAGAATAGAGTCAGTAATAACAAACGGTCTAATGTGGAGTCCAAGGCAAGAACCAGATCCACCACCAGAAATCAGCTGCCTAGCCAATCTGGCCAAGCGGTCAGTGTAAATGGATCACTGACCAGCTCATCTCATCCAGCCTCATCTGTGTCACACGACATACATGATGATATCTCTCATGAGAGTGATGCACAGAGGGAAACGGGCTCTGAAACTGGGGCATATTGTCCTGTCTGTCAGATGCCATTTTCTGTCTTGGTGGTGCAGTCTCAACGATGGCATGTTGCTGAATGTTTGGAAACCCCTGGAGAAACCAGTAAAGGTATGGCTTTACAGACAAATTTAAAGGGACACACTGGCTAAAATGAAAAATGTATCCATCACAACATCTGTCATTAACATGTCTACTCTACCTTTTACAGCAACACCACAGTAATCTCTAAAGCACAATATTCAGGTTTAAAGACTAGGATAAACCCCCTTCTGATGATGTACCAGGAAGTTGGAAGGACATTTTCAAAGATTAGAAGTGTTGTAGGGTGGATACTTGGGGCCAGGTGTTAATGTTTTTGTTAGCTGGCTTTACCTCAGTTCTTCACTTCCTTTAACAAAGGAAAAACAAGTTTCAATAGCCCTTAGTGCTATATCACTAATACTAGCTAGCACCATAGATCTGTATAACTATCCTCTAGATCAGATCAGTGCCTAGCAGTCAGAATTTATTGAGTGCCATAGGGATTACCAATGATTGTGTACTATATTTGCATAATGCATGGCCAGTAGTGCAAATGATAAAAAAGAGTAGGATGCAATGCTGTGCTACAGAATACTGCCTAACTGCCTTGAGAGTGATGCATCTGTTAAATGATAGTTTTAAGCCAGAATACCCCTTTAAGTGATTAACAGTAGGGTTTTTTAAATTCTAATACTGCTAGATGATTTAACTCACCTGCTCACAAGGACAAAACACTTGACACCTGAACTTGTGCTGTACTGTAGGTCTTAATTGTGTTTTTTGTATTCATTGTGTTTTTCTGTTTTGTCAAAAAAAAAAACAGAATGCCCAGATGGTCTCCAGTGTTCTTCATCCATCCCAAATCACTACAAGAGGTACAGCCATTCTCTTTTAGCTCACTGTCGAGCAGTAAACAGCACAGACACGTCAGCTTCAGCACTAGGCGCCACAGCCCCACATCTGGAGCAGATGTTGGTTAAAAGTGAGGACACCATCTCCAGTAAAGACAGCTCTGTGGACAGTGCATTGAATCTGTCCTCTGTGTCCAGCCACAGTGCCTCTCCCGGTCATGGGTCCAGAGGACCTCACACACCTGTTCGCCCTAATGCCTTATTGCTCTTGAGATCACCAGCCCCTGAGGACATTAAGAAAAAGAAAGGCTGGTCTCCCTCTACCAAAGGATCTAGAGCTCAAACTTCATCTCAGGAAGCTAAAATTACGGTTTCTACTCCAATTAAAGCAGAAAGCAGCTGCCATGCTGTTAAAACGGTTGAAATTAAAGAGGAGCCCTCTGCTTTGAATGACGATGATTATATCTCCTATTCTCCCCTTTCTGAGCTCCCTGCTGAAATGAATTTGACCCAAACTAAGAAAAAACTGTTTCACAGCACTGCCCTAGATGAAATAGATGAGGAAGAGGATGAGAATGATTCACTAATGCTGTTTGATGATACTGTGAGTGATGATGACCTGCTCTCTGATATCTTGGACCAATATGAGATAGAGAAAACCCAAAGCCAAGGAGGTTTGCTTGTTATGGAGTCTCCATACACCTGTGACCAATTAGATTCCTTAGAACCACATGAACATTTGACAAGTTCCAGCTCTGCAGGTGCTGCTGATGGACCAAATCAGTTCAGTTCTCCTGTTAGGCACTCAAAAGATGAACATTTGGTGATAGACTGTGAAGGTAGCAGTGACAAGCCTCAGTTGCAGTCTAATGGAAGTTTAGTACTGGAACGCCTTCGTGAGCGCATATCTAACCCTGCAGATTCAAACAGTCTTGGCTTTACTTCTGCAGACATTAACTCTGTTTCTGTGAAACAAGAAATATCTTCCACTCAAGCAGCCATGTCTGCCACCCAGAACAAATCTGTCCCTGTTACTCCCAGGAAAGCCCAGACCAAGGCCTCTGGGTTAAAGCAAACTGATATTGGAGTGTTCTTTGGACTGAAGCCATTGAGTAAGAAGGCTGAAGCAGAAGTTAATGCAACAAAGGAAGAGGGCCTTCAGGTGAGATCTACTCTTGCAAAGAGATCAACAACTGCAGGGGAAAATGCTAAGCGACAGGGAAGGCAGCGCAGGAAGAATACTGCAATGTCTGAGGAGTCCACAGTGACAGAGGCAGCAGAAGAAGGAGCTGCTCAGCCCACGCAAACAGAAGGAGGCAGAGGAGTGAGGGCAGGGGGGAGGAAGAGGTGGAACAGAGGAAGAGCGACAGATGGAGGACCAGTGGAGCCCAAGCGATGCCCGTTCTACAAGAAAATCCCTGGTTAGTTGGCTTGTTAATGCTTGTTTTGAGTTGCATGTTTTTGTCCTATTTTTCATTTCAACACATTCTTTTTGTCTTTTTATTTGTGAAATGCTAATCAGAATTAGGCAGATATGTCTAGATATATAAGGGACTGGTCTTTAGTTGCACAGTGGCTCATACATGCACACTGTTACACAGATATACAGATATCAATCAGAATCAGATCAAAAAATGAAAAGCATTGAATATTTTGTGTAAAGTGCTATATTGAGCAGCCAGATAATGGGTAAGACACAGGTTAATTATTATTAATACTGAATTAAAAGCTTTTAGCATTATAGAGAAATAAGAAATAAGTAGGGTTACAGAATACTGTAAAATGAGTAAATTGCAGACATTTTAACATATTAGCATTAACTAAACAACTGAGTACTAAGCATTTTGCTCTTTCAGAGAAAAATAAACATGCCATTAAACATTAGTTTAAAATATCTGTATAAATATCCCTCCAGTCTAAAGGGGAAAAAAAAACAAAATTTGCCCTTTTGGTTCCTAATCTTTTTTATCTTTCAATGCATGATCCAAGCCTACTAAATTATATGGTACCTATTAATCTGATTGGTAGAATAATAGGAGGAGCCAAGGAAGACACTGACCCATTACTGTATGTTAGATGCTAACAAACAGTATATTAATCATGATGTGAACAGTTATGAGGAAGGATAAAGATTTTAGTGTGCTCAGTCATTTTATTGATGTGCTGAATTGGTAGAACGTAAAGATTTGACAAGTTCAGGTTGCTGTAAACTCACTAAATGCTTTATGGAGTCCTGAAATGCTGTATCTCCCTGTCTTTGCTCAGGAACTGGCTTTGCTGTGGACGCTTTTCAGTATGGGACTGTCGAGGGAATCACAGCCTATTTTCTCACACACTTCCACTCTGATCACTATGGAGGACTAAACAAAAAGTCCACTCTTCCTGTCTACTGCAATAAAGTGAGCCTTTTTTCTCAGCATTAAAATGGACTGGCCATTTGAAAAGTTATATATGCTCATTTTCTAAAGCTCTCCCCAATGATTCTAAAGCCATTTACTTTTGCTTTTGTTTGCAGAAATGTTTTCCTTGATAACATGATAGTGATTCTAATTCCAGTGAATTCTCTGGACATCCATACATCTCTACTCTTCACTCAGCAAATGTGGTTTTATCTTTACAGTGACTTTGTTTGCTATCTCTAAGGCAGCATTTCTCAGTATTAGTACTGGAGAAGCCCTGTTCTGCATTTTCATTTTTTCATTTGCTATAATGCATCCACTACAATTCATGAAGGGCTAATGAGCTTCTTAGTCAGATTTGTTGTGTTGGAGCAGAGAAAACACTTGAGAACCACCGCTGTAATATGTGAGCGTTGGCTGATGGGTTTCTGTCATGGTAGATAACTGGGAACCTGGTGAAGAGTAAGCTGAAAGTAGATGAGCAGTATGTCCATGTTCTTCCAATGAACACAGAGTGTATGGTGGATGGTATGAAGGTCATCCTATTGGATTCCAATCAGTGAGTATACTTTTATACTTAATCATGTATGTATGTTTGCATCTACACTGTGTCCAAATGCATTTAGACAGCCTTTCTAATTAGTGAATTCAGCTACTTATGATGTACACATTGCTAAAATAGGTTTTAAGTTGTGCACACACAGCTTGTATACTTTCTGTATGTGTATATATATATATATTTGTGTGTGTGTGTGTGTGTGTGTGTGTGTGTATATATACACTTAGTTATATACACTTATTACAGTAGTGAGGGTTTTGTCCAGCTGCCCAGGTGCAGCCATGTTGCTGTTCCTGCTGCCAGATGGCCAGACCGTGCTCCACACTGGTGACTTCCGGGCTGATCCATCCATGGAGCGCTACCCAGAGCTGCAGGGCTTAAGGATTCAGACGCTGTATCTTGACACCACGTGAGTCTTCCATCTGAAATGCAGCCCAAAAACAGAGCAGCTCTTTACAGCTCTGTGTTCATTCTTTGTTTTTAATCAGTCTATAGTACACTATTGAAACAGCACAGGGGAACTTTGGGTTCATTCTCATTAGAGATCACCAAGACCTTCTAGTTGGGTGGAAATGTTATTCAGTTGGGTAATGGAGCTATATTTGGTAGCTTGTGAATGCATTAAAGCAACTTGTTAATTTGTTCGCCCAAAGACAGTCGTTTTCAATGCGTGTAACCTTCACCATTTTTTTTTTTTCTTTTTTTAGATACTGCAGTCCAGAATATACATTTCCCACTCAGCAGGAGGTGATAACCTTTGCTGCTAACACAGCCTTTGAGCTGGTCACACTCAACCCTCGCACACTGGTGGTGTGTGGCACTTATGCTGTGGGGAAAGAGAAGGTTTTCTTGGGTAAGTGACAACTACCTTCGTGCTTTTCTAGGAAGTTTTTCTACAAGTTCACGCATGGTTTCAGCAGTTTCCAGTAGAGACAGAAAATCCTCTTTGGTGAAGAACAGCATGTAGACATACATAGATCAGCCGTAACATAAAACCACCACCTTGTTTCTACACTCATTGTCCTTTTCATCAGCTTCACCAAATAGGTGCACTTCTGCAATTAGACTGTAGTCCATCTGTTTCTCTACATACTTTGTTAGCCCCCTTTTACCCTGTTCTTCAGTGGTCAGGACCCCCAAGAGGACCAACACAGAGCAGGTATTGTTTGGGTGGTGGATCTTTCTCAGCACTGCAGTGACACTTATGTGTTGGTGGTGTGTTGCACTGGTATGAGTGGATCAGACACAGCAGACCTGCTGGAGTTTTTAAACACTTCGGTGTCACTGCTGGACTGAGAATATGTCCAGCCAACAGTGTCCTGTGACCACTGATGAAGGACTAGAGGATGAATAACACAAACTGTGCAGCAACAGATGAGCTACTGTCTGACTTTACATCTACAAGGCAGACTGACAAGGAAGGTGTGTCTGAGTGGACACTGTTAAAAAAACTCCAGCAGCAGTGCTGAGTCTGATCCACTCACACCAGCACAACACACACTGACATTCCACCAGCACATCAGTGTCACTGCAGTGCTGGAAATGATCCACCTTGATGTGCTCTTGGTTTTAAAATATTAATCACCTTTGTCCAGCTTTCTTTCTGTCTATTTATAAACAAATTGGTTGTTTGATTATCGTTAGGCTCAGTTAGTTTCAGACTGCACGCTGCCAAGTGCACCAGATTACATACATGGGTGTTCTTTGATTGGTCAGGAATTTGGCAGAGAAACTGGCACAGTTTCTTTCATATTTGCCACCATTAGTGCCAAAAACAACTTTGTTTCACAAGCCAATCACGGTATAAAATCCAAATACACTATACGGACAGTAGTATTGGGACACCTACCTATAGGAGCTTTTATCCCATTCTTAATCCATAGGCATTAATATGGAGTTGGTCCCTCCCTTTGTAGCTATAATAGCTTTTACTCTTCTGGCAAGCTTTCTAGAAGATTTGCTTGTGTGTGTGTGTGTGTGTGTGTGTGTGTGTGTGTGTGTGTGTGTGTGGGAATATTTGCCCATTTATCCAGAAGAGCATTGGACAAGAGGGTCTGGCTTGCAGTCTCCGATTAGTTCATTCCATAGATGTTCAATGGGATTAAGGTCAGGGCTCTGTGTGGGCCTGTCAAGTTCTCATCCAGCCATGCCTTTATGGACCTTGCTTTGTGCACTGGGGCACAGTCATGCTGGAACAGAAAAGGGCCGTCCCCAAACTGTTCCCACAAAGTTGGAAGTGCACAATAGTCCAAAATGTCTTGCTATGCTGAAGCATTAACATTTCCCTTCACTGGAACTAAGGGTCCTAGGCCAACCCCTAAAAACCAACCCCATAGCATAATCCATTTTTCAACGTTACAGTTGGCACAGTGCAGTCAGGCAGGTAATGTTCTCCTGGCATTCGCCAAACCCATACTTGTCCATCAGACTGCCAGATTGAGAAGCACGATTCATCACTGCACAGAATACGTGTCCACTGCTCTAGAGTCCACTACTTTGCACCACTCCATCCGAGTTTACCACTTTACACCACTCCATCCGACGCTTGGCATTGTGTTTGGTGACGTAAGGCTTGCATGCAGCTGCTCGGCCATGGAAACCCATGCCATGAAGCTCCCAGCACACAGTTTTTGTGCTTATGTTAATGCCAGAGGAGGTTTGGAACTCAGTTACTGAGTGAGCAGAGCGTTGGCAACTTTTATGCACAAAGCATCTCAGCACTCAGCGACCCCACTTTACATGGTCTGCCACTTAATGGGTGAGTTGCTGTGGTTCCTAAACACTTTTCAATAATACCACTCACAGTTGATTATGAAATATCTAGAAGGGAAGAAATTATTCAGTCCCTATTACAGTACCACACTTGAATTTAGTGAGCCCCTTAGAATGACCCATTCTTTCATAGATGTTTATAATGGTAGAGTGCCTGGCTAGGTGCTTGACTTTATACACCTTTTGCCATTTTATTTGCTATTCAAAAACTGGTAAACCTACATGTCTTCTGAGTTTTAATGTTATACTGATATTAAAATGGTGGCAAATATGAGGAATTGCATTTTATTTGGGGACTATTTTGCCATCATGCAGCATATTCATAACCGTCACATGTAGTAACTTTGTAGAGTTACACATCTTGGATGTCTAGTTCCTATCACCACAGCTATGACCAGTCCTGACAGCTAAACCTGCAAGAACGACAAGAGGTTCTGTCACATATTAAAACGAGCACATTATGCAATCTGGACAGCACTGATATGCTGCTAGAAGAAGAAGAAAGCATGATCTGATGTTGAATTCCTTCATTTAGTGCGGAACATCATAAAAATGTGTTCTTACCAGCAGTGAACTGAACTAGGAAGGTGACCTTCATTCATTTGTTTAGTATGCTCCCAAGTCAGGTGCACATGCAAAACAGACCAAACAAAAAGCTTAAGTGGTCCGCACCAAACAGGGTGGGGGTGTGGGTGTGGGGGTTTGTGGATGTTGCTTCAGAATGAACACCTCATGATTAGGAGTACACTTACTGTTTTTTCTTTTGGTTTCTCTCCCACCCCCTCTCTACTCTGATTTCTCTATTAACCTTATTCCCACCCTCCCTAGCCGTATCTCAGGTGCTGGGTTCAAAGGTGTATATGTCCAGGGATAGGTATAACACCATGTGCTGTCTGGAGTTAGAGCAGATCCATCAGTGTTTCACCACAGACTCAAAGGCAGCTCGGGTTCATGTTCTCCCCATGATGCAACTCAATTTCAAGGTGAGTTCTAGACTGTTCACAAACTGACAGCCAAGCAAGTTCTTATAGACTCTGTAATGCAGTGTCCAAAAATGGCCATATGGCCATCATTATTTTAATTGTAGATTTACTTAAATTTAGCCTCTCATTGAATATCTAAAGCTTATGGACTGTGAGTATGCTAATGTGTGCTAAGTTTGAACACCGAATGATTAAGATATTAATTACAGCTGCAGAAAGCAAGTACAGGAGCTCTGGCACAGATTAATTCTGGCAAACATTTTATCTTCCCTACAAACTGTTAGGAGTCAGTTTTCACTAATGCTGATGGAGAGGTTGACTCTACTGTTTTAGAAGCATAAAATCCCCAGTTTACTATTGCCATTCCCTTGACAGAGTAGGGGAAAGTTAATTTACAGATTTTTTTTTAACTTTGCGCTGAGACACAAATTATTCTAGAGGGTATTCTGGAGTTTGTAATGTGAAAATTACATTTCTTTTATGATATTCTTTGTACCATTTTTATCAATTTAAATCTGAGATGGGGAAGAGAATTAGTTAGGGTACATTAAGGCTGTGAATTGCTGTTATTGTGACTTATGGTCTGTGCAGTTTTACATACACAGCAATCTGTTATTTATTAATGTGCTCATTTGATGTGTAGGGCTGTAATTAGAAATGTTTCGGTATGATGCACTGGACATACTAAAAGTAAATCCACTATTTATGATATTTTGTTATAAAGGTGATCTGCTACAGGTGAAGAGTAATTAAAAGAAACATTACATTTAGAGATGCAATCAAATGTACATATGTGCATGTTAAATGTTTTTTCAGTTTGAAGCCACAATCCAGATAAAAGGTTTTGTCAAACTGATTGCTGGAATTTTATTTATTTAATTAAAAATGCAGTGTTATTATAAAACTTTATCTGGTCGTTTTGTAGTGCGTATTTTAGCATAAATCTAGCTTTTACTAGTATATTAATAAATCCTTCAGTAATATTCAGATGGAAAATATGCGAATGCAGAAACTTCTAGAACCTTAGAAGCTTATTTGGGTGTTTATATTTAAACTCTGCAGCAAACCAGTTTTTCAGTGATTACATGACATGGTTGTGCCATCTGTGTCAGAGCTGAGCCTTTGTTAAAGTTGCTAACTTTGGGAATTACAGTTAGATGTTAGTGGACACATTCACAAAACATGTTAAGGATGCAGTTTTTCCAAAAATCTGAAAAATGATTGTCTGAACCAATATTGTCATTTCTGCCTGTAATTTACAATACATACCTAGAAAACATTCTCCAGCATTAAAATGCTTTTGTTTGTCCTTCACATATTTTTAAGAACCTTGGGTTGGTTCTGGAGGACCAGCATTCTGAATGTGTTGTCTCTGCTAGATCTCCTTTGGATTTCTCCTTTACAACATTTAAGTGCAACCTTCTTAAGACAGTGCCTAAATTCTCATTTAAACCTTGGTCATATATACGCTAGAGTACTACAACTCCCTACTTCCTAATATTTATGAGCTTAGGCAGGTTTGATCATAGAGCTGCCAAATCAGGGTTCAGAGTCTGACTCAGAAACCTGGGTCTTCAACTGTAAATGCACTGCAAAATCTTGTTGCATTAATATCTGTGCCCTGTAATGGTGGAATGAGCTTCCATCTCAGTCCTGAATTGCCCAATGTTGAACTCCTACCATCATAGTCTTAATTTGCCTCTTCTGACTGTTCCTTGGGCAACTCTGTTTGAATAATTTGTAGTAATGCATTTTAGCTGTGGATGCTCACTGCTGGTCATGCAGTTAAAGAAAAGATCAATAAATGCTAGGAATCTGGCCTTTGCCAAGCGTAAAGGAGATAGGATGTGTGTGTGTATATGTGTGTGTGTGTGTGTGTGTGTGTGTGTGTGTGTGTGTATATGTGTATGTGGGTGTGTATATATATATATATATAGGGGGAGTCAGGAAACCCCCAGATATCTGTAAAAGGCTTGATATCGATTGGGTATTGAGCTTATTACAATTATAGTATAAGACCAATAGGTAACTTGCATCATGAGAACATGCAGTGGCCTAATACATAATGCTAAAGAGATTGATCTAACATTGAACATCTTGCTGATCGGTCCCTGAGCTGTAAAACATAGATTTTAAAACAAGATCAAAGTGACTCAAAATGTTCATCTGCCAGATAAATAAATCTACTTGACTACATAAGCTGTGTGCCAGTTAATGGTAGTAATTTAATGTTTAATGTAATTAAAAATGTTCTAAATATAACAATCTACCATTACTTCTTTGAATTAAATTTAAACAGATTTTGATGTAGCAGAGGCCAATTTCAGTTTTAATTATATGGTGCCATTCAGATGTTTCATAACTCTTGACATTTAAATGTTTCATAATTTTTTTATTTTTTTATTTTATTTGTTTTCAGAATTTAAAAACACACTTGAATAAGTTTTCGGAATCATATGACCAACTGGTGGCTTTCAAGCCGACTGGCTGGACCTTCACTCAGTCAGGCGATGTGAATAACATACAGCCTGAAGTCAAAGACGACATCAGTATTTATGGTATGTAATCTGTTTATTTTGAAGCTTTGTTTGCTTTAAATAGGAACTACAACAGAAATATAGCCATTTAATTTGGTATCCAAAATGACCAGTGAACTTGTTTTCTTGATATTTGTTTTGAGTTTTATATGTAAGGCTGTTATGGAAAAATAACTGTAAATCCAAAAATACATTTCTCTTTGGGGGACTGTTCTGTATTACAATGCTAATCATATTTCTCCTCCATGAATATATTTAAAAAATGTTTTAAACCAAAAGCTTACATTAAAACACTCAGACATCAGGCAATGTTTTAACCATTTCATGTTGGAAGTTTCTTTTGAGGTAGCTTTTAGAGAAATTAAACGCTTCCGGTGTTTCTTCCTGATACTACTATTGTGAAAATTCTGACTTGATAAGTTTCTTTAGTATGTTTCATATCGGACCACTGGGAATGACTGTTTTTGTATTAATGATCAAATTATGCAGTTGAAAAATTGGAATTTCCCTATAAAACCTTGGTTGTACTGTAATTGGCACACTTGAGTTCCAAAGAACAAAAGAACTTAGTATTTTGAAAGTTTTGTCATTGATATTGTTAAGCATTACATATTAAGTTAAAAGTCAGCCTTCAAGTAAAAATGAAGCCTAGAGTGTTTACTTATCCTGGCGTAACTGGCAGGTGCTCATGTTCAAGCATTTGGCTCAGGGGTGGCTTTGAACATCTATTCATAAAAAAAAAATAGAGCCTTGAATGGTGTGTGGAGAGAATTCAGAATCTGTACCTTTTGAGAAATTCTTTAAGGCTACTAATAGCAGTGGATTACAAAGTCCTTAGGCAGTCACTTTGTCATTCTCTAACAGTAACTGAATAGATTAAACTGAATAGTCTACTTTTAAATGGGTTGTAATTTGATTATATTGATTGCCATCACCCCTCTGCTTCTATTAAAAATGCTGAATGTTTTTCCAGCCACCAAACAGCATGGTCCATATTAACGGAATCAGCGGAAGTGTTTTGACCCAGAGAGACTGCAGTTTTTGCAATTCTGAGATTTAATTTTCACATCTCAGCATTCTGTAGCCTAGTCAGGTGCTGTTACAAGCGAAAGTCACATCTCATTTCACAGGCCTCTCTCAGATCATATCCCAGCCTGAATGAATTCATGGAGCATGTTCCTTAAGCTGTAAACAAATGTCTAGATACAGCAGAGCAGGAGTGATTTGCCAATAAGTGTTTAATTTTTCTTGGAAATAAACTGTTTAATTATAGAATTTTGCACATGTGGATAGTGAGTAGCATGTTCGTGCATGTAGGTTCTAGGGTTAAGTCTTGGCAATGACCTCTCTGTTACAGGTATTCCATACAGTGAGCACAGCAGCTACCTGGAGCTGAAGCGCTTTGTGCAGTGGCTGCAGCCACTGAAGATCATTCCTACAGTGAATGTAGGCAGCTGGAGCAGCAGGAAGGCCATGGAGAAGTACTTCAGAGAGTGGCAAGCTGAGGTTAAAGCCCTTAACACCGTGCCAAGGAACAGCTGCAGTAGGTCTTATACAAGGCAATAATGATGGACCACCTCACATCGGATGTCAGATGGTGAATTTAAGACTTGAGTGCAAGGACAGTTACTCTTACCTGCTTATGTTTTAGAGCTGTGGTTCCCAGCTCTGGTCCTGGAGTACACCCTGCCCTGTGTATTTTAGTGGTTTCTCTGCTCCCAGCAAGCTCATCACTAAGCCCTTCATGACTTCAAGTGGATATGTTGGGAACTAGGAAAACACTAAAATGTGCAGGGCAGGGGATACTCCAGGACCAGGGTTGGGAACCTGTGTTCCAGAGGACCTTTCCCCTCATTTAGAAAGATGCAGAGGAAGTTATGGAACCACATTTGTATGACTTATGCTGGTTTTTAATTGTGGTCTTTGCAGCAGTTCACATGGTTAATATGTTAATGACATTTCTTAATGGATGCTAACTTCAGTGTTTACTTTCATTCTGCTCACTTCAGAATGAATAGCGAGCAGTCAAGAGATTGAAAGAATTATATTAAAAAGAATTGTGTTAGTCTGATGTGATATGTAGTTTTCATAGATATGTTGTGTTATCCTAATGAATCTCATCCCATTACACTAATGTCTTTGTTTATAATTTGTTTTTTAAATGTACAAAATATTTAACTGGAATAAATCCTTTTTTCAACAAATCTTGGATTTATAAGATCTATCTCTGTCAGCTCTTTTTACAGTTCTTAACCTACTTTAGCATTTTTGGCAATGATTGAAGGTCAGTCAAGGGAAAATGTGTTGCAAGTATGATGGAAAAAAAATGCAGGCCTGCAGGGAGTCTACAGGTTCTCAAACCCATCCTCAGGGCCCCCACAGTGTCAGTGTTTTTGCTCTGTCCTTATGCATTGCAATTTAGGTTGGAGTGAAAGTTTGTGGACTGACTAGGGGCTCTGAGGACCACTGTTTAGAACCCCTAAACCATCAACCAAAGTTTGTTGACATTGTGTTATTTTGTGTCATAAATCCTGTCTAATCCGAAGTCAGGTGTATTTGCAATTGACCCAACATGATTTTGATAGATGAGAATTTACTGCATTTATTCAACTCAAAGACAATAATGGGGCAATTGGACCATCAACAGCTTAGCTGTGGTTTACAGTTTAAACCTAAATGAATCGTGCGGGTTCTCGAACTCCATTGCTGTCATTTACATCACTCATCTGCCACTAGATTGTGCTGTATATCAGGTTTAATTGAGGTTTATCTTAAACCTGCTAAAGACATGGTTTTACTGAGGTTTAAGGCAAGATTATTGTAACAGAACTGCTTTTTCAGCAGAGATATTTTAATATTTCACACCTAGGCCCATATACTTTCTATCCTAATGTTTTGTGAACTTCATGGCATGTTTTAATTAAATATTATACTATATAAACACTCGAGGAAGCATTAATTGTTGCAGTCTTGATTAGGCTTTTTTTGAATGTGTTGTTCAGAGAAGCCGAAGATGACCTAAGTTTAGGCTATCCATATTATTGACTCAGAAGTGGAAATTGAATCTGAGCAAACATGTATTCTTCATTTCCCCACCCCTACACAAAAAAAGAATGAAAAGAAGAAAAACGCTGAACTATCCAGGCCGAACAATTCAAAATGATTTGCAAAGTTAAGCAGAATGCATTGCCTGCAAGGTCTTCAGTCTGGGGTCAGTGTGCAGTATTAAAGCCATGCAGCTCTTTGTGAGTATGCAATATGGGGCTCATCCCAGTTAACTGCCAAATTATGAAGTACTGCACAAGCGCTAATGATGTATGTGTGTGTGTGTGTGTGTGTGTGTATATATATATATATATATATATATATATATATATATATATATATATATATATACACACACACACATATATATATACACATATATATACATACATACACACACACATTCAGACAATACATCCCATACTGTATGCCAAGGGTACCAAATCCTAGTCTAAGAGATCTACCACCCTTGAGATTTCTGATTCAACAGACAATGTCTTTAAAGGCGTCCTTCATTACCTGGATCAGGTGTGCTTGATTAGGGTTGGAGCAAAACTGTGCTGGGTGATGGATCACCATGACCAGGATTAAGCACCCCTGCTCTAGGCTATTCAGTTAGCCTATATAAGTACTCATTCCTATTAGCACACTTACTAATTTTTAGTGTACGTTGCAACATAGACTAGTTGGTTTCAGGAAGTGTAGTGCTCACCAAACTTTTTCCTGGAAAACATTTTTCCTTGTGAGTTTAGCTCTGACCTGCAGCTAACATACCCTCCTGCCTTTTAACTAACACTAATGCATCTGAGCCAATCAGGGGCTTCTAAAGAAGTTAATTAGCTGGAACAGGTGTGGTAGATTGTGGTTAGAAAGTAGGGTTGGTGACCCCTAATGAAGTGAGTAATACTGCTGCACTCCATTCAGCAGATGAGGTTTGATTCTCTGCCAGGGCAAGCACACTACATCATGCTAATAAGAGCACTTGGGCAAGACTCCTTACATTAAATTGTAAGTTGTTCTGGATAAGAGCATCTACCGAATATGTAAATGATAGACAAATATGTCAGAAGTGTGTACTGTAAGAACAAACCCTCGTGGCTTAACTCTGTATATGTATATATAACCCCATTTCTGGAAAAGTTGGGGCATTTTATAAATGCAATAAAAAACAATCTGTGTTTTGTTTATTCTCCTGAACCTTTATTTAATTGAGAAAAGTATAGAGAAAAAAATTCACTGACCAACTTAATTGTATTTTTAAACAAATATAAACATTTAGAACGCAACAGGCTTACCACTGTTCATTTGGGAACTGATATATATATAATGTTCTGCATTTATTCCTTGCCTGAGATGTAATATGGTTTGATTCTTTTAATGTATCATTCCTACTAATACAATATATACAATACATACAAATATTACATACATCCTTTAGACAATTTATGTACTAACATTCAATGTTTACTAATTCAGTGCATATTGTAAGGTAATACAGATATATATACACAACATTTTTATTTTTTGTGTTTGTATGAGCAGCTTGGCTTACAGCGCTAGACTAAAATCCTCACAGTGCAATGTCAGACACAAACCACTAGAGGGATCCATGCATCCCTTTTGTAAACAGTAGCGCTTTAATAAATGACACCACTGTATACTATAAAGTACTGAGCCAGACACTACATACACATTGTGTACTTATACTTGCTCCTAGACTAATGAATAGTGCAGAGAGATGCTCCAGGGACACTTAAAGGAGCGCAAAGGCCACTTTATGCACTACATCCACTTAATGGTCTAGATCCTGGTTGTCTCAGGATGGTCAATTTTACCTGCAATGAAAAGGTCCCCAGTTACATCAGGTAGACCATATTCAAAACACTTCTTTAATCTGAAATACGCTCTTACCTGATCTTTACTAAGCCTCTTTAGAAAGGTTTGCACCTCCTCCAGAGTGTCTGTGAGAAGGTCATTGATGGCCACTATTTGATCCCCCTCATGAAATGGGCCAGAGGATTGGACATGCTTCAAATCAGACACGCTGCCAAGCAGAGAAGGATAAGAAAAGATAAGCATGGTAAGAAAAAAGAGAGCAGCAATGAGCTGAGTTTTCATAGTTTGTAACTAATTTGGCCCAGCCATGCAAAGTTTGAATGACCTTGAAAGACATTGACTGCTATCAGTATGATCAAAACTCCGTTATCAGCAAGCTCTTTACCAGGGTTTTCCCGCTTCCTCTGAGAAGATCACGTTGTTCTTCAGCTCCTCTTGACTCACGCAGATCTCTTTCTCCTCAGGACTGAGTGTTTCACTTAAGAATGTGCATATCTTTCATTAGAATCCGGGCAAATGGTCACTTCAAAAGCAGCTACAGTGAAACTCAGTCACAGATTTATAAACTTTTCTTCTAAGGTCAAAGAAATGTATTTCCTTATTTATCTATCTAGCAGGCATTTGGCTCACCTCAGCTGTGGAATTCGCCTATTCAGACCAGTGGAACCACTCTTGTCGTTGCAGTTCTGGCATGCATTCTCAGAATCTTTATCTCCTCCATTTAATCTACAAACAGAAATAACTTTTGTGTCACCATAAGGTAGGCTGGTATGCATTTGTCAAAATTAAGAGGAAGCAACTCTTGATTTAAACCGGAGGCCCTTTAATTTGAAAATGATCAAAGAACATCAGTGTTGTGCAAGTGTGTACCTGTTGTCTGCATACATAATTCAGTTTGTTCTCATGATGGTACTAGGATGAATCAGCATTAATATGACAAGGATTTTTGAAAGTCTTCAAAAGTCCTTGTCAATTGAAGTAAAATAGATTTACATGTATACGGATTTTCAGATTTCGTTGTCTCTACAGATTACTTAGATAAGGTGCTCAGAATATGACTCTGCATTATCTGCATATGGAATCCAAACATGGTGTTGCCTTGACTGAACCTCAGCTATGATCAGATACAGTATTAAATTAGCTCAGATTTTGTCATCAGTTAAGTAAACATTTGCAAATAGGAGTATATCCCAGGTTTAGTTCCACTGTCATATAAAAATTGTAGACTGAATTCATCTCTTGCAAGGATGTTCTGTGCCTTTGCTTTTATCAGCTTGGCCATTACAGACACTTGCACTATAAGACCAAGATGCCCTATGATTTGTACTTTATATACTAACATAGGATACGTACTAACATTAAATAAACACTAAATAAATGTCTTCCAGTCTCTAATGACTGTGTGTTTTGAGTATGAGGAAACAAGTTCAATGCCAGGTTTGTGCTGTAATCACAGCTTTCAGACACACCTGGCAGGTTCTGAAAGGTGATACTGAATGTTTATCTTCAATCCTCTCTACTTAGAGACATACCCCCATCCAGAAAAAAACATGCATTGTTTTGTGTAATCATGGACAACCATGTTCCTGGACAGAGCAGTGTTTATTTTTAGCTTTTAGAGTATTGCTTAGAAATGTACACAACCAGTAAAACCTCCACAGTAGTTAGTCAGCATAACAATAGCCAGCATGTTCTTTTGCCATTTTGGTAACTGATGTTTTTTTAGCAGTTTTTCCTCATCTGATCGTTTCCTCAGATTACTGATAGGTGAATACACACTGCAAATGTCTGCACGCTTCCCTCTTTACAACTCTAATAGGTAACTGCTTAAGACAGTGTTTCACTATATTCTTTAAACATGCCTCATGAATCTTTATCAAAGAAACAAAAATTGACATACACCTAATGACAATTCAAGAAACTAGGACCCCAGTGCAAAAAAGTAAATAAACACTAATCGTAATAACAGGGCCCCATATGAAAATTAGCTTGAGTTACGTTGTGAATGAAATACTTGGTTAAATACTTTGCTTGTTTATTCACTATTGCTAGATCTCACGTAGGGCTGTAAAAATAAGCAATTCCTAGATGTATCATGATTCTGATTGAAAAATTCTGCATCGATGCACACAATGTCATTATCAGAATTTTATATAGGTTTATGAATCTTTTTTTTATTGAAACCAAACATATCTCAGGAAAAACAAACAATATAGACTATTACATGGTGAAAAATAGAGAAAGAGGCCTATGAACATAATACATTTGCTGTCTGTAAGTTACATTTAAATTCAACTAAGCTGCTGCTC